CTGTTTTCGTCTATCAGTCTACGGCATTAATGAACATTTCCTGCTTCATATAATGTAAATAACCTTGATTTGTCTCTTTTTAATCAATTAACGAAGATTTGAACCAGCTACTGTCGCCTTAATTGGTACTGCGACTAACTTTTGAAAATATAAATATATGTATAAAAAAAAGTTAAAAAACACAACGCACCACAACGTTATAAAATGAACCAAGATATGACCAACATAGATAACAGTTCAAACAACAACAGACCACAACGTTCCGAAATGAAAATAGAATTGCAGCGCATTTTAAGAGTGTGCGCACGCAAAACGCTTATGTGGTGATATTCTAAAAAATAATGCACAATTTAATACTAAATCAAGAGTCACAAGTTAAATTTCATTTTTCAATTTAGCTTGTTTTAAAACTTTCTACGCATTGTTGAAGCATTGTAAAGGAGAAAACGTGTAGATATGGGTGTTATGTTGTATTGGGACAAAATCATACTTGAAAACAGTACTTGATTGTTATGAACAAAAGAAGTTTAAATATACATAAGACATAAATAACATACAAAAAAACACCAAATGGGCAACATACAATTTTCCACATGAGATAGGGGTCCTTACAATGTGTCAATGTATAAATCTTTTCTAGTCTATATAAATTTTACGACATCAACAGAAGAGGTTCCTGACTTGGAACAGGCACATCCAAATGTGGTTAGATTAAACTAGTTTTATAGATCTCAAAAGAGATTTTGTTCCGATCTAAATGATTGAATCCTTAAGTTATCATTGTCATTTAATTACATGTTTATCATTAAATCAAAAGAGACAAATCAAGCGTTTTGATTGCTTTCTTAAAACATTCCCACGCAATGTTCTAAAGTTGTCATGGATAATACCTATTGTTATTTGTAGTATTGGTGTGTTATTGGGATATAAAACATCACATTATAGCACTACTAGATCGCTGTTTGTCAATCAAAATGATTGAATCCTTTTGAAAATATTGATATATGAAGACATAATCTTTCAATCAGTTAAATTGAGGTCTGGAGCTGGCATGTCAGTAACTGCTAGTAGTCTGTTGTTATTTATGTATTATTGTCATTTTGTTTATTTTCTTTGGTTTCCTTTTCTGACATCGGACTCGGACTTCTCTTATACTGAGTTTTACTGTGCGTACTGTTGTGCGTTTGTTTTTTCTACATTGGCTAGAGGTATAGGGGGAGGGTTGAGATCTCAAAAAAACATGTTTAACCACGCCGCATTTTTGCGCCCGTCCCAAGTCAGGAGCCTCTGGCCTTTGTTAGTCTTGTATCATTTTTAATTTTAGTTTCCTGTGTATAATTTGGAGTTTAGTATGACGTCCATTAATCACTGAACTAGTATACTTATTTGTTTAGGGGCCAGCTGAAGGACGCCTCCGGGTGCGGGAGTTTCTCGCTGCATTGAAGACCCATTGGTGGCCTTCAGCTGTTGTCTGCTCTATGGTCGGATTCTTGTCTCTTTGACACATTACTCATTTCCATTCTCAATTTTACTTACAGTTTCTAAGCTTGAACATAAGAATTAAATTAGGCATTTCGGTTGTGTTTTTTGTTTTTGTTTTTGTTTTGTTTGAATTTTTTCGTTAATACATTTCTACACATTGATTATTCAGTGTAACTTTGTCATAGAGAGCTCGAGAATTCCTTGGTGTTCCGTTTTATTGAGACAAAAACATCCCTTTAAAAACAATATTTGTCTTCTATGCAAATGATTGAATCCACAGGGCAATCATGTTAATTAATTAAATTGCGGTAAACTCTTTAGCTTTTAAACATGCTTTGTTCCATATTTAAAGATATTTTTCTCAATTTTTCGAACTACTTTATCAATAGATGGATTACTACAGGATTGTTGTCCTGTGGTGTACCATTCCTTATCGGTGGAATGCCCATTTAAATGATATCCATAATCTGTCATATGATTCATAATTCATATCTGGTAGTATATGTCTGACTAGGAAGATGACGATAAAAAACGGTTGTAATGACAGAGGAAAAATAACAAAAGAAGCAGGGTGAACTTTGACGCTAGTGGTCGCTTGACCTTGCTATTTTAATTGTATCTGCTGACCCCTTTTGAAGAAAATTTCTTTGATTCAAAATTCTTTCATTTAAACAAATGGTAGACATTTCTGTTAATATTTGAAATATATGTAATATAAAAATAAGGCGATTTGGTATGATTGCCAATGAGACAACCATCAACAAGAGACCAATCGACGTGGATGTAAACACTTACAGGTCATCGGACGGCCTTTTACAATGGACAAACCCATACCATATGGTAAGCTATATCTAAAAACCCCGAGGAGACATAAATTAAAACAATTTAAATGTTAACAGCCTGATCTATGATAAAACAATGAAGAAAAACCTAATATGACAGAGATCAACCAACGACAACAACTGAATAACATGCTCCTGATTTGGCACATGCATAATGTGACGGGGCTAGCATGTATGCGGGCGCTCAACCCCCTTACCTCGGATAATGGTAAACAAACAGCACAACATTAGAAAAAAACTACTGTAAAATCAGTTGGAATAGGCTTGACTCATCAGATCGTCACGAAGTATATTATGTCACGTACATGTATTGATGTAAGTGTTTTATATGCTTTGTTGTTGTGTGCACTATTGACATATTTCTATCAATATTACTGGTTGAGGATTTTTTAAGTTGGAGACTATACAGAATGGTTTGCAAGATCTTCAACAGACACAGGACCGTGTTAAAGACAGAACAAATGTTGGACACATGTAAGTCTATATAATTTGTAACTTCGTAAAAATTAAAAACATATCAGGCTTATAATTTTGTACGTCAGACGTGCATTTCTGATTTTTGGGCGCATATATGGTGATTCTCAAGAGCATAAAACTTTTAGCAGCATCAAAACCATAGTCCTTAACAGGCCTTAACAGGCGAACTTTGCAAGAGAGAGAGAGAGAGTTGCAACCAAATTTAAAACAGTTCGGATACAATGAAATTATCACATATGTGACTGACAGTTAACAAGCAACGGCAGCTAACATTGGACATAATGAAAGTGATATCTATTTATGTGCGCATGACACGTATGTGTCATTGTTAAGTAACACGACTTCATATTTTTTTTTTTTTTTACAGACAAGGAGAACTGAGTAATGAGATAAAACGACTTGCAGGTAGATTTTAGTTTTATTTGATTGATGTTCAATAAATTTTTAGATACAATTAAAAATTTTGTTATAACATACTTTGATAATTACGTATGAATTTCATGGAATTTTAGGTCCAATTATGACTCTTCTTGAATCAACTCTTTTATCGTTGTATGAAATGGATTTTACCTGAGTCATTGCTATGTTACATTCAAAGTAGTGACTATTGGTGTTTTCTCAAACATTTTTTATATAATTAGCCGTTTAACATAACAATGACTATATTTTACTTAAGGAATCGAAGAACGTTTAGTCAAAGTTGAAAATACTTCATGCAAACATTCTTCTCAGCTGCAAGCTATACTGGGAACAGTTGAAAAGATATCCGAGAAAATAGATGTATTTTCTATTGCTTCTAAGAAAAGAAAAAGTTCTATAAAACCAACAGAATTACATCAACGAACATTGAAATCGAAAACATATTCAGATCAGACGGGGAAAAATCAAGCAAAAGAGGAAACTGTCACATCATGCGAACGAAGTATTGAAGAAATATATGAAGAAGGGCAGGAAAGTTGTTCAAAATTCAAGAAAGACGACGTAGTGCCAGTCAAAGATGATAATACTCACCGATTAAACAGTGGATATCCCAATAGTTCGGGAACTAAACCCTTGGAAAATTCGAATACACAGGTAACAGTAACAAATCGCCAAAGTCAGAAAGAAGATAATGTCAGGAGAGTAGTTCAAACTATTTCTAAACAAAAAATGGAACACAAACCAAAGATAACACAATCTAAAAATGGTTTCAAACATTGCAGAACCAATGTCGACCTCGACAATAGAATGTGTTATAAAAGAAAGAAACGATGCTTTCAGGGAGAACTGTTACATTCACTGATTGCAACAACTGAAAACCAGAGTCATGAAGAGCCTGAGCCCAACATACCCATCGATACTTTGAAAGATAGGTATGGCATTATTTAAAGATATATGTTATATAAAACATACAGGAGATCTTATTTATACGTGTGTATAATAATGAAAGGAGAAGTTGAGCAAAAAAAAAAACCCGTATGATATGAGTTTCCTGAGTACAACACGTGTTAACGTCAATTTGAAAGCAAATTAAAAACATTTTGAAAACAGACATTTAGTAAATCACATACGATCCACAATGGCTTATGTCTTCATGATTTATTTCAAGTTCTTTATCGCCCATAATATCATTGTTTGAAATAAACATAGAATTTATATTTCAGAAATAAAGAAGTGGACAGCAGTAATATACATACTCAATAATTTTAAAAGTGACATTAATCCTTTAAAAAAATCTATAATAATGTTGTCATTGAATCACAATGCATTTCAAAACAGTCTTTCACGACTTTGCTGAAATAAGAGCATACCTTGTATTTCTATATACATGATATACACGTTCTATTATTTCTCTTTTGTTCAATATGAAATGACCCAAAACAATAAGGGGCAAGAAAATAACAATAACACTTTGCAAACGTGGTGCGTCTGAAGCTCTGTTCTGGATTGAACTTCTTCAGGATCGTTTAAAAGATAAAATGAAATACATAGGATGTATAAAAATTTAAGTAGCTACACGAACAAAAGTAACATAAAAAGTATAGTCAAAATCGTATAAATTCAACTTTGCCTGAGGGAGTTCGGACAGTAGTTTTGTAAGACTTCCATTATCTTAAGAGAATTTATGAATACATCATGTCATTGCTTAAGGCTGTGTGTTTTATTTTTCAGAAGACAAAATAAGGAGACAAACATTGGATCATCTGGCAGACAGATGACAATGGCTAAGATGGCCGAAAGAGGTAATTATTAAAAACAAATCAGACGTTTTATGACCAAATGAAAATAAATGATTTTAGATCAGAAGCAATGACTACTGGGCTGCTAATACCCTCGTGGACACCAGTCCATCAGCTGAGGTATTGACCCAGTGCTATATGGAGCGATTGTCTGGATTTAACCTCATCAGGAACGCTCAAAACCAAATATTTGAAAACCAGAAATGATAAATAATTAAGATATATGACCGAAACATGAATCGCAGCATATTTGACGTCTTTTCATTATGTTAGAGGTTTTCTACGATGAACGAAGAACAACTAATAGATGACCATTATAAGGTAATTCTTTATGTAGACGAGTCAGAGACAGGTGAACAATAATGAACAAATGAATAGAATAAACAGTTTACGTTCAAAGTATTTACTATGACAGTGTGTTTTGAATGAAAGTTTACCAAATATCTTTATCTTTTAGATTTTGACAGTGGACAGAAAGTTCATTCATACGAAGAATGGTTGGAAATTGCAACACAGTCGCAAATGGAAGGTACACTATAAGAACAGAATAAGGTTTATGTAGGCTTTTATTTTGCTGATTTTACGGTTTGAAGATATCAAGTCAAAGCCTAATCTACAGAATTTTCAATGTTCTTTAATGGATTTGTATCAAAACGCTTCTGACAATAGTTTTAAAAATTAAGGATGTATGAATATATTGATCTCTATACAACATCAAGTACACATTAAAGATACTAGGCTTAACATTTGGTACGCCAGACGCTCGTTTTGTCTTAATAAGACTCGTCATATTTATCTATCAATAATAAAAATATAAAATTTGGAAATGGTCGAAAAAAATTATGGGACCATATAATGACTCATACCATATCTCCTTCATTTATCAGATTGTCAGTGGTAGTAATTCAAAGCATGCTTTGTTGTATTGGCACCATGGTGGAGAGAAACCATTAAACAACAAAAGCGATCAACAAAACTAGATTAACAAAACGATATTTAGTCAGAAATTATTTTCTAAACTATAATGTTGGAAAGATTTAATTTTTTAAAGATTCAAAGCTATGTAAGTGAGCCACAAATGCTCTTTATAGTTTCCTGTTGAATATACTAGTAACTGTTTTATATTGATTTTCATAACATTAAATTTAACATGGATGTTATGTTTCAGTCGTTATTCTCATTATATAAAAGTTGTGTCCTGTACAGTTATCCAGTCTTTCAAATTTTTAATGTGATATAAATGTTAAAGTTATTGCATGAAACTCAATAAAATTTTAAATAATATGTGAAAATTGTTTTGAGTTTTGGGTTGAGTAAAATGAGTTTACATTTCAAGTATTAAATGATAATGATTAATGTCTACAAAACCCTTTTTTGTTGATAATATTTTATGTCCCTTATACAATCTTTATTTACCTTGCAAATACATTTATGGTATTTGTCTCAAAGCATTTACAAGATGTACTTTTTACTTAACAGTTGCCATGAAACTGGTTTTAAGTCATGGAAAAAGGAGTTCCCGTGGACATAAATATATGTTACTGTTGGACACATCAGAGAGTATGCAAGGAGAAAAATTCGATACAATGATAAAAACTGCAACAAACTTTATCGACGGTAAAAAAAAAATACAAACAAATTACTTGGACAATTAAATGTTATATATATATAACAATGAATGAAAAGCATGTTTCAAGTCTTATTTGTTTTTATACAGACATAAGTAACTATGAAGATCAGCTAATAACGAGCTATTCTTTATCATTAGAATTAAAAACAAAACTTACCTTTGAATTGCCAAAAAGATAAATCAAAACTAAACACACACACTACTTTACTATTTTTAAGAGTAGAACGGGATCATAATAGTATAAAAAATATATGATACTAATTGCCATTGGTTCGAGACGTGTAAATTGAAAAAGTTACGCTTAGTACCAAAAGTGTAAAAGGGAAAACTATATAACATAAAAAGTCCATACAAACAGACAAGCCTATACTTATTTGAACTTTGTAAGTTTAAGCCAATTAAATAAAAGATGATTTGAATTAGATGATATTTAACTTCGCATGGTTTTCATTGATAACGGTGCCTTTAGATATTTCCACATTGTTAATTGCTGACATTGCGATTTGGACAGGTCTACATCAGATCAGTTTAAGATACGGTATACGAGATAATGTCGGACTAGCTCATTTTGGGGAAGACACTGAATTGATCATGCATCCTCTGGCAGATTATGATGATATAAAAAAAGAAATAGGTAATAGTATACATCATATACCTTTATATTTCATAATATGAGAAAGCAACACAAATCAAATTTTAAGGTTCTAAATATGTATAAGTACTTATTATTGGAAACAAAGTAAAATATTTGAAATGTCATGATATAATTCTTATATGATTTGCATATCTACAAATACTTTAAATCGGATTGGTCCGTTAGAATATTTCCTTTGGTTTACATTTCGATAAACCATGTTGCCGAAGCTACTTTCGTTACATTCTGGCGCGATACACATGTATGTGATTCAGGAGTACTAAGCAAGTTGGGATTGAAAAACAAATTATTTAATTGCATAGCAAAAAGAAAAAATGCAGGCGAAATATCACGAATGATCTTACCGTGTTAACGTGGCTAAACATGACGTCAACACGAATGAAAACTCTCAACTTATAAAACCATTACAAGGACGTTTTTGAGGTATGTGTTGTTTCATTTTAGATTGTATTGCATTAATCGCACATTTATGGGTTTCAGAAATTCAATATGACGGCTAAATCCTTAGTAACGACTTGTCAGTTGTGCATTTGATGGTAAATAGAAGCCAAAGAACAAAAAACATGCTAATCAAACATCGCAATCGTTTGGCCTATGAATTATAAGTATTAAACACATTTGTTTCCAGAGGTTATTGATGTGTAAACTTGGTCACTTTCTCACAAACTTTTCATAAAAGTCCCGAAGGACTTTTATTCAGTTTGTGAATTAATCGCCACAGTTTACACATCAATAACCTTTAGAAAAATGAAGCCTATTGTGTTTCCTGGTTATTGTAAATCAAATCTTAATAGAAATATCATTCAGACTGCATCGTATAATTTTCATGACTTGTACTTATATATCCATTCCACGCGTTTTTGCTTGTAAAAAAAAATAATATCTTTATCTTTAATTTAATGTATTTCAGCCAAGTTGCATCCTGGTGGTCCGTCCCCACTAGCAGCTGGTCTGTTGATGGCTTTATCTGGAATTACTCACTGTAAGTTTATTTTACAATATATAGGCATATTCCATAAAAATTCCCTTCTCTAAGTATCAAAAGTTCTTGCGAATGAGACGGTTGTGAAAAGGGGCAAAACTATGTAGTTAGCCCTCTTTTTTGGCAAACAAATTTATTGACAATAAAAACTGAATATGAAAGCACACTGATTGACTTCTAGTTTATCAAACAATATGAAATATGTTTTTTGCTTGTCACTTTTCAGAGGTCCAACCTCCCTAAAAAACAGTTTTCAGTCTACTCCTTCGCCACTGATTAAAACAAACAGTTAGTTTAGGCTTTTATTGTGATTTCATTTATTACAAGTGATTAAAACATGTATGAAAGCAAAGATAGATTAATTTTCAGACCATACTGTATATATATCTATATATTAATTATATAATTCTTAAATTAATTAATTTACAATGAGCATTTTTCTAAAGGTGGCCCTACTACCATAGAAAACCATAATTTCCTACCGTATATTATTGTGATCACGGATGGAATGGCAACTCGTGTAGATGCCCCTGGTGAAGATGACAGAGACAGTATTGGTGCGCTATCAGTATCGTCTTTACTGGCAAGTATTAGTTTCAAAACAGGTAAACTACTCATTCAATCAGGAAAGTACTGGTTATATCAAACCTTCCATTTTTAATTGTTTTTTTTTATCATCGTATGCAGTGCTGTAACGTCTTGAATGATACGTTTCATTGTGACATAAAACTTGAATTTAAAGCACCGCGTGTAATTTGTCTGCCAATTGAAATGACAAAACTCTTATAAACAGTACGTCATGTATTTATTAAAATCTTAAGACTACTATAGTACAACAAAAAATCCAAACTTTTCGTCTTCACACAACTGGTAGGATAATTTAAACAAAAAACCAATGTCACGAGCGCAAATTCTGTATCAAACATTTGCTTATTATCACTGGATCTGAACTGCTGTTGTTGGACAACGATGTGATCCGAAGAGAATGATTTAGTGTTAGCATAATTGAAAGGAGACATTTTGACAGTAAATTCAGAACATGAAATTGTACATAAACTAATTGGAAACAAATTCCTGAATCAAAGTTGACCTGAACGGATATTAAATAACCTATTCTGTTCAAGCTCATTAAGTTTTCTTATACAGGAAGTTTATGTTACTTTCTTGAGGGGGAAGGGGAGGGAGTTGCGGAAGGGTGTCAAGAGGATTTTGGAAATGAATATGCCGAACTGAAAGAAAAATTATACTGCCCAAGGCAGGATTAGCAAATATATTTTGTCCCCATTATAATGCTGAGTACAAAATTGAAAACGAATAAAATGGATCAGCATCTTCTGAAATGATCCGTACACAAACAAGTATCCTACAGAACATGAAATGATCTTTCACTTATGATCACTAACTATTTATGTATGTTGCCTTCCAAACTGTTTGCTTCATCGACCCCTAAATGATTAATTAGATGAAAATAACATTTTACTAGTTTAACCTTTCTAAAAAGGTATGGAGTGCCTCGCAGTATCAAAATTCTGTCAGAAATTTTATTTCGTGTGATTTTCGAGGGAAAAAGAGGGATTTTTTTATAGTTTATATATATTTAGATAAAACATACAATAGTGAAAACTAAAAGCTTAGTCATCAGACAAAGAAGGTTATGGTGAGACTGACAGGCACTGCCATAAATTCTGAAAGATTTTACTCTCTCTAATGAATTAAATTGTTTAAGGTAAAAATAATACTCCCGATTCCGTCGTCATCTAAAGAGGCCTTAAATTCGCAGTTAAACCATTACTTATTTATGTATTTTCCAGCGATCAGACAAACAATTGACATCTTAATTAGATATAAAAGGGGCATTAGCTTTCAAATTCAGGTTCACCGATTTGACTGAAATTTTCATATTTAATTTACGATATACTAAAACGTATATCCTAATTACAAAAAGTATAGGAAAAGAAAATGGTGGGTTAAACCTGGTTTTATAGCCAGCTAAACCTCCCACATGTATGACAGTTGTTTATAGTTTCGTTTATATTGACAAAACTGGGCGAGGAACCCAAATTTACATAATAGGTTAATGTGACAATAAGTGGGATCCAGCAGCCAATAAACAATATATTTAAGTTTATATTGTTTTACATTTTACTTTACTTTCAGACTATGTTGAATTTAGAGATGGATATGGAAATAGATAAAACTATTACAAATATTGCTCTTAGAGGAATGAAAATATTTTGTGTACCAATTGGAGGTGCGAACACTGACGTAAGCTTTCTTATCTATTTTTATTATTATAAATACTTTCATAATATTATTTTACGTTTTGTAGAAACTAATTTAAGATACCGGGCTTACAAAATGGTACGCCAAACGCATGGTCTGTCAGTTGCGTAAATAGTGTTTTGTCTAAATTAAGCTTTTCGTTAATCGAATTCCCTTTTTTTCCTTTTTTTTTTTTTTATAATAGCACTCAACTTAAATTAGAAGTTTATCGTATTTGTTTGTATCATCTTTGATTTCTTTCTATCCAAGATTTCAATCATGATGTATATTCCAGAAAAAGGAGTTTTGGATACGTGTATACTTAACTATTATGTACTGAACAAAGATTGTCATATATGATTTGATTTTTAGATTATGAGTAAGGTTGCAAATAAGACTTCTGGGAAGTTGATTCCACCCGATCAGATTCAGCGTCTCTCTCAAAATACACAGATTCTGGTAAATATATAATAATAAATTTTCAAAGGCTACCAAAGTTCGTACCGGTTATCTCGAATCGTTCATCACACTCCCTTTGTTTTGAGTCAAAACTATCATAGTAGAAAATGAAAAGGAGTAAGGTATGCGTCATCAATGACAACAATACTAAAAAACCATCGGGAAGTCTACTATTAATCGCCTTATTAAATCGAGTTCTTGACGGAGAATGAATTATGCACGAATATAGGGGGAAAACCTTACAAAGAATCCTCACAACACCTTATCTAACAAACGCAAATACATTTGATTCTGTATAAATTAAGGCGAAAGTAGTATACCAATGTTCAAGTTTTCGAAAATCGATTAGGACGAGATAAATCACGGTAACAAACAGAACTTGAGGGAATCGCATGAACTCCAATAGGAGTTAGGCAGGAGCCGTCGACAGGATGAGAATCTCCTGCTATTCATGCATCACCTGCCATGTGAATTCACACCTAGTAAAAATATCACAATCGGGAATAGGACACAAATGGTAAAATTACAGATCCGTCGTCTTAGCTAAAGATCTATCACTGCGAAAACATGTCGCTAGTGAATTGAGACACCTACATATCGTATCAGTCAACCAATTATTGATGACCGTAAATCTTATATAGTGTGGATATAAGGCATTCATCCTCATGACTCTCTTGGAAAAGTTTTGATCAGAACATTTCTGTTAATGAAGTCCATATAGTGTGAACATACACGAGCGTAACGTATTAACTGAGATATGTAAACACCAAACGATTGAGCAGAGTGAATGTTACTGCAGCGAAATGAGAAGTTGACAATTGGAAAGTTGAAATCATCAAGTTTGTCATAGATTCTAGTTTGTAGTCGTCCATCTGTTTCAATATCGATTCCCGTACCGAATAATACAGAAAGAGAACAGCTGAATGGGAACTGATTTTTATCAACTTAGTTCATGACTGATATATGTCCATGTCTGTCATATTCTTTCAAACTTTACCACACAACACAATTTGGCGCGGACGATTGCGATGGAGGATCAAGTATTTTCAAGAATGAAAAAGTGCACCGAATAAGAAGTGGGCCTGTTACCCCTGTTTTTCCTTCACTCGCTGGGTTGAAATCTAAAAGTTTTCAGAACCTACACGAATTTGAAAATTAAAGAGTCTATATCATATTTTTTTGATGATTTTGGTTAGGAATGTCCTTATATATTTTTAAACAAATGCTAAAATAATTTAAAATTGCACGTTTGGGCAATCGTCAGGCGTTTATTATTTGATCATCTGGTTGAAGAGAAGCCATAATATTGTTAGAACTTCAAAGACAATACATGGAGATGTGATACTGCGAATAAAATACATTGTTAAAAGTCTTATCCTGAACTTTAATTGTGCTTTTATTCGTGATATTTTGTAGCAAGCTACGTATTTATTGATATCGAATCCAAATGTTTATCAAAATCCAGTGCTCAACATGGATTATAACTAATGCTTTTCAGATCCATGCATCAAGAATAGCAAATCAATTAGAGAAACATTCTGAGTTAACTAAAACCTCTGTAAAAGCAGCTGTTCGTTCTGCTACTCTACAGGAACTAGATGCATATGTGAGTTCTTAGATTTTTTAAACGTTGATATAAACTATTTCTGAAAGTACTCCTCTTTTAGTGATACTTTTAGTTTCATCTTTACAGACTATGTTTGGTACAGAAAGATCCGTGAAATTATGTGTGTGTTTTGAATAGAAAAATATCTTATATGGTTCGATGTTAAAAAGAAATCGCTGTGAAAAATTATTTCAAAGTGAAAAAAAATATAATGTTGTAATTAAATATGTTTTAGTGTTTGTTCATCACATTTAAAATATATAAACGTGAAACTTCATCAAAAATATGTTGCCATGCTCTTTAGCATTGTTAAAAAAACAAGTCCATAACTAGCCACAGAATTCTGATGTTAGAAATACAAAAATATGTTCTTTAAAATTTTTAGAAAGAAAAAGAATTTTTTTTAAAAACTTAACCCCCTTTATCATATTGTTTGAAATGCACAATTTATAACTACAGTACCATCACCATAGACTAAAAATTTAAATTAGATATTTTTTATTAAAACACACTCTGAATTCCACCAAAAATCATCCATGGTTTTAAAAGAAAGGCGAAAAATACCAAAGGGTCATTCAAACTCATAAGTCGAAATAAACTGACTACGCCATGGCAAAAAAAGAAAAACAAACAAAAGACAAACAACAGTACAAACAATACAAAACAAATGAAAACAACACATAATAAATTTCATGCGTGCGAAGCGCTTGTCTGGATTTACCTTCATCATGTACGCTCAAAGACAATACAACATCGAAAACTAAAGACCGAGCAGCCGAAACTCCACCAAAAATAGGAGATTGTCTCAGGTGATCCAAAATAGTAAGCAGATCCTGCTCCACATGTGGCACCCGTCGTGTTGCTCATGTTAGTACAAACCCAATGATAAGTCTTATTCAGTAGGTCACATTCGTTGAAATGAGGACCGGATTGTGGTTACGACATTTGGAACATATCCGTCGTCATCTGTGAAACAAATATTCAATAACGGTCAACCAACTCGTGATGGCGTCCGTAAAATTTAACAGGTCTTACTGGCACTGGGTCGATACCACTGCTGGTGGATTATCAGTCCCTGAGGGTATCATCAGCTAAGTAGTCAATACTTTGGTACTGACATGATTTATAACAAACCTTTTTTAAATTGTCCGTTATAAACTTATAAATTATTAAGAAACTAAGGTTTAAACTCCCTCCCGGAAATTTTGACCTTGAATGCAATTGGCTATTATCTTAAGGTCCTTTTTAGGCTATCAAATATTCAGATTTAAGCGTTCCTAATGAAGGTAAATCCAGCAAACAATATGTAAAGTGTGTTTTTTTTCATTTCTACTACTTTCTGAACCTTTAGAATCACTTTAAAGACTACGTGATACAAACTAATCAATCACATAATATAGTTTTACTACCGATACAGGATGATATCACGGATAATGTTATGTTGTTACTGGATCCTGTAACGCAGTATCATGGTCGATTCAAACAACCGAAATGTCAAGCTGTCAAGTTAGGAACACGTGTTCGACGAGGACCAAATTGGCAATGGAAAAATCAAGATTCGAACATGGCTGGTACCGTTATTGGTGAAGATAAAGATGGTATTTAATTTATCGCGCAATTGAACGCTCTCATGACCAAATGCAAACAAAATGAATCTAAATCATGCATACAATTTAGCATTACAGAACGATACAAGCACGTGTGTGAAATACTTGTTAATTTATATATACATGATGTTGCCAGAAAATAAGATTTATTTCCGCTGAATGCTTAAAGTTGTACATTTGAAAAATTGCTAAAGCAGTACAAGACGGATAGAAAAAAAAACATTGTGATTTGTATATCCCAGGCTGTGAAATTAAATGAAACGTTTCAGGTGCTTATTACTTTTTAAAACAACAAAAAAGTATTGCAAAAAATGGTGTGAGGAATGCATATATATATATATATATATATATCAATACCACTTTAGGAATGTGAAATTAAAATCTGTGTGCAAATTCTTTTCAGGAATGATATGGGTTGAATGGGACAGTGGTCTCAAGAATTGTTATAATTATGATGAAAGCATCAAATGTTATGATATTAAACCTGTAAATGAACCTAGGCGATTAGTAGATGAGATGATTGCTGTTGGATGCAAGGTTAAAAGAGGTATTGTATAAAATAAATTATTCAAAGAAAGTTGTCGCTACCAATTATTAAAAAAAAAGTGGCAAATATTCTAACAACAGCATTATAAAATTCAGTTGGAATGATTGTTATGACGTTTTAGAAAAGAGATTGGTAGACAATTTCTATACTATGATTGAACTACTAGTATTCAAACTGTTTAACAATGTGCGAGAATGTTAAAAGCACTTGTATGACTTCGGTTTGTATCGGTATCATCATGTATTTGTATCATTCGACTAATACACCGAAAATTATAGCTGATTATGTCATGGTTACGCTTCTTTTGTCATCCACGATGAAACATAATGGAAACAAATAATATGAACGGGATATGTGGAGTAAACTACTCTGCTACAGGAATTGCAACCCATCCATACAATCAATCAAATAAACAACCAAAAAGCATATAGAAGTCAAAATATTGACTATAATAACGAGAGTCAAGTGTGAAAAGTTTTAAATCGCTCCAAGTCGAGGCATATTGTGAAGGAACACAGCCGACCAAACCGAATGTTTTCCGACAAAACCAAGTACTAAATATGCAAAAAAAAACATGAAGAAATAACAACACCCGATGAAGTTGTGAAATGGGCATGAAGATCCCTGAATACACAAAAACATCATGAAATGATAACAACTAATGGAGAGATAGGACCATTAAAATGTTGATGGACTAACCTGATGGGAAATGTACTCAACGTTTACCCTTTAATACAGCATAGTTTGCTATTATTCACATTTAAATTTAACAAGTCCATCTTAAGCTTCTTTGTATACGAATGAATCAACCATTTCTGTTTATGTTTATAGGTAAAGATTGGAAGTATGGTGAACAGGATGGTGGTAGAGGTAGCCAAGGAACTATTCTGCGTGTTGAATCAAACGGAAAAGTTGTAGTATGTAATACTTAACATGTATTTGTATTAAAAAAAAATATCAGTTTAAGGGAGTCGTGCCCATCAAGCATTAATTAGAAATCAGAAAAGAATACTGTACTCTTATTATAGTATAAATTTCTCTTTATTTTGCATTTGGTTACTTTCTGATGTGGTTAATATTTATATAATGTATGCCTCAGTTTCGCGTAACTCATTTGATATTTGTATACTGTATAATAGAGTTATTGCATTGACATTGGTGAATATTGTCCCAAGTAGAAGATTTTTTACATTGCTGTAGCTTGAAGGGGGAAAGTGGTAAAATGTGAGTGCTTGATAAAAAAAAAATCATGTATTTTGTGAAACATCTCTTTGTGCTAGAATTTCATCAAAAGTTATAAAATTTGAAAATTATTGTAAGTATCAAAAATAATCTTTTTGTTAAAGAAATCACAAATTTTCAGAAATATTTTTTTCAAAAGATAGGATTCCAACGAATATTGTTATGTCATTCCAAATATGCTTACTTTTGGAACATTTTGGCTAAATAAACATACATCATACGCTCCTTTTGTGAATATCTTTTTGAGCAAGGGTTGTGCTCTATCATATTGTTAGTAATATAGGTGTCAAATAATCAAGATTTTGCGCTGTTTCGTCATTTCCTGAATTTACTGTTATTTTATGTCTGTATAACCCATGAAAAGGGTATATATTAAACCAAAACTGCAATGTTATATCAAAGTTCAAAGATTCCACTTTTGATTCTGCAAATTGGAGTCAGTGAAGGATACATATAATTCAAGGGCCATTTTGGTCCCAAATCGTACCTTCTCCTTTAACAAATAACAACAATTTAAACTTAATTTCTGACATTATAACAACTTTATTAATTATTTGGGATATGCGATCTCAATGTTTGTCGGTAAAAAAAACATTCGGATTTCTAAAAATAAATAAAAACACCTAGATATAATACAGCCACAATAAATTTCAGGTTCATTGGGATCGAGGAAGACTTGGAACCTACAAGTTTGCATGTGATGATTTGTTTGAAGTGGCAGTCTGGTGTGTACCTTAATTGTATTTAACTATCATAAATTAAATAAGAATAAAATGTAAATTCAAATTGCAGGTATCATATGCACATGCAGCAGTGGTAACGGATAACCGGAATAAAACATGATAATAATGATTTTTTAATATAGGAAAATTAATATATCATTTATTTAAATAAATAAAAGAAACATAACGTATACGTCAATGATGGGACACCAACCAAGCGACAAAAATTTTTGATACATCTAAAAACATTAAGATTTGACGCAAAACAACCAATGACAGGATTTTGGACTCGGGACCGGCACTTGAATATGTGGCATGCTCAAATTTTTTTTTTGAGAACTCAACCCTCGCTCAGCTAATGCTAGTGTACTACCAAATGTTGTATAAAAAGAACATCAATGAAAACTATTGCAGCATAAACACTTAACACTAAAACGATAATAATAATAGATTACAAAAACATAATTACAATCAAACCAATTGTATCCAATATTGAACAATTACATAATGCTCGCAATTACTGAAATATATGGAAAAACAAAATAAATGTTCAAGTTTTGCTGCAAACTTTAACTAGCTACTAGTAATTGATATTTATGCTCAAAAATACCAGACGCAGTGATTGAACACTAACATTGGAAATATAACCTTTATCAATAAGTTTTTTTTATAGCCGAAGGGGACGATTTGAAGGAAATTCTTGACCTAGTTAGCGTTATAAATTACGTGACCGTTAAAAAATTGATGCGAAATAAAATTAGTTTTATCAAATTTCTGCAGATGGAATAATACTTCAACAATACGTCAAATGATTGTGATAAAAGTTAGTGAAAGTTTTAACCTATTTATAATATATATATCCTTAATGTACAAGTTTTTTTAGTAATACAACTATTATGATAATTGAGATTTTTGTGCGTATCGAACCAACTCCGAAATGTACGAGCTGACGGACTATCATCATTAAGTAAGGACAAGTCACTTTGTTTATCATGAATTTTGATATGAAGATTGCCATGAGCAATCCTAATATCAAGGTTAACTTTTCACCAACAAAATATTCATTTTCACCTAACATTTGCTAGACATGCTTATTAATTTCACATTTTGTATACAATTATATCCTGCATGTTGTCAATGTTTGGAGGCAAACTAGTCTATTTCAACCTCGAGTGCCTAAGACAAGATTATTTATTTTCATTTCTTACCAGACAAGCATATTCATTTCCAAAATTCTCATGTCCCTAATGAAGCTTTGCCATACATTACAGGATTAAAATTTTAATAAGAGGAACACATTAAGTTCCGGTTGGATTATCGAACACTTGGTGGTATACTTTTTCACCAAATCAAATTGTTATTCAGTAAAACACGTTTAACTTTATTTTTTTCCATCACCAATATGATAGTTTAAGTTTAATAACTGATAAAAGGAATTGTTACAACTGCAACATGTATCGTTACCAAAATAAAGCTATCAAAAACCCATTTTATCAAATAAACTCACCTACATGAACCGTACGACTAGTAAAGTCATCGCCTTGTATTTGTGATTTTTTTCAGCGAGGATGGTCTTACAATAAGTTCACAGAATTTAATAGAGGATGAGCAGAATAGCCAACCGGAGGTGATGTCCGATTTACCACTTATACTACCTTCCCATAAAAATAAAAGTAAGTATATTACTTTTAAATGCATAATGAAAAATAAACTTACACTTTTGTGAGTTCAATTACCATATGAACAAACATACTGAACTCCAAGGCAAATTCAAAAGGAGAAATCCATAAAAACTGACAAAATCAAACGCTATCAATCAACGGAACAAGTAAAACACAACTGCTATATTCCGAAGAAAATGGTGGGTTAAACCTGGTTTTATAGCTATCAATTAGTTCAATACTTCGTCACGACGGATGCCACATGGGGATCAGGATTGGTTTCCTTTTTGAAGCACCTTAGATCAACCTCAGTTTTGGTTCTTGTTTTTCAGTGTTTAGATTTTTATGATTTTTATGAAGACTATTGTTTCTCTTTTCGTTGTTTTTCGTGTTTGCCATGGCGTTCGACTTATGAGTTTGAATATCCTTTTTGTATCTTACGGCTCTCTTTGAAATTGTTTTACTTTTTTCTTACGTGTTTGCGTTTATGTCGTTTTTAATTTGATCAGATATAGGTAAACGTTTTAGATATATTTTAGTGTGGGTTCTTTTATGAAACTTTATGAATTCTTGATTTTTTTGAAATACCACAAAGTGGCCATTAAAAGGCTGACTTCATACAGGAATTCTGAGGAAGAAAGAAAAGAAGTTAGCAGTATCCTTTAACTTTACTTCTACGCTATATAGATGATGTTCTCTCACTAAATAATTCAAAATTTGGTGACTATATTAAACGCATCTATCCCATCGAACTTGAGATAAAGGATACAACAGATACTGTAAAGTCTGCCTCATTGTTTGACTTACATCTAGAAATTGACAATGAGAGTCGGTTAAAAACAAAACTTTACGACAAAAGAGATGATTTCAGCTTCCCAATTGTGAACTTTTCATTTCTATGTAGCAAAATTCCAGCAAAGCCTGCATACAGAGTATATAGCTCCCAGCTGATACGATATTCCAGGGATTCTTTTTTCTATCGTGGTGAAGTTGAAATCATCCCTTTGTAAATTTTACGGACGCCATCACGAGTTGGTTGACCGTTATTGAATATCCGTTTCACAGATGATAGCGGATATGTTTCAAATGTCGTAACTACAATTCCGTCCCCTTCTCCCCGAAAGTGACCTACCGAATTGGACTTATTACCGTGTTTGTACTAAAATGAGCAACACGACTGGTGCCACATGTGGAACAGGATCTGCTTACCCTTCCGGAGCACCTGAGTATTGCTTAGTTTTCTATGTGGTGTTTTGTGTACTATTGGTTGTCTGTTGGTCTTTTTCTTTTTTAGCCATGAAGTTGTCAGTTTATTTTCGACTTATGAGTTTGAATATCCCTTTGGTATCTTTCGCCTCTCTTTTACAGGAGGAACTCATACGTTAATAATGGTACCCATACATTAATAATGCTACCCAGAGTCGTAATTGTAAATGTTTATATTTAAATGGTACTTTTTAGAATAATTTGTTGTGGATGGAAGATCTCCGATAATCACTTTTCAATTTGTTTTCAACTTTTTCAATATGGTATAGATACTTGTCCGTTATAGAAGACTTTATATTTCCCTCTACAATAAAGTCTATTCTGGTTTTGTTGTGTTTTATGATTTGCAGTCACATTGGTGGCATATATTTTATTCAAAGCTGCAAAGTACTTTCAATGAGACAGTGATTCATATCAATAATACTTATTGGTATCAAAATTAGATGTCAGTGGTACATTTGAAAAAAATTAAGGAACAAAACAACATTGCTAAAGTTATGTATTTGTACAATGCATATTTCATCCACAATGATTTGAATATATAGCATTTTGCTTCAAGATGGCGGGGAACTATTCGTTCAGTGTATGTTCACTTGTTTTTGTTAATATGTCTTTTGATTGAGTTATGCCATTTCAATTGATATTTTATAGTGTGTCTTTCTATGTTGTGATATAACACTATTGTTTCAGGTAGGGTGAAGGTTGGCGCCTATTAAAACGTTTAAACCCGCTGCATTTATTTGCACCTGTCCTAAGTCAGGAACCTGATGTTCAGTGGTTGTCGTTTGTAGATGTGGTTCATAAGTGTTTCTCGTTTCTGGTTTTTTTTATATAGATGAGACCGTTGGTTTTCCTGTTTGAATGGTTTTACACTAGTCATTTTGGGGCCCTTTATAGCTTGCTGTTCGGTGTGAGCCAAGGCTGCGTGTTGAAGGCCGTACTTTGACCTATAATGGTTTACTTTTACAAATTGTGATTTGGATGGAAAGTTGTCTCATTGGCACTCATTCCACATATATCTAATTTTTAACAGTGAAGCCAGTTAAATATACCTGGCAGTACCAAAATGCTAGTGGTAACTGGGAGTCGTATGGTGAAGAAACTAATGTTAAGGTAGACCGTGCTTACAGCAGAAAACCAAACGGTAAATGTATCGTGGAAATTAACAAAACAGTGTAAGTTACTGTATTTGTAAGCACACCCGAATCCTGCACTACATAGCTTATATTTTATAGACAAACATTCGTCATAACATTTACTAAGGTAATTTTTACAAATGTAAGATTTAATTTTGGAAGGAAAATTCTGGTAAAAGAATGTAAGAATAAGGTGATTTCTATAAAAGTTATTTACGTACTTTGATCTTAATTTCATGCAGACATTCTTTGATTATTAATATTATCAAGTAACCTTTAGATTTTGGTTGTCTGAAAAGTTGTAAGAACTGATGTACGTTTTGTTTTTATTTGTTAATTTATTATACTTTCTTTTACGAACTTTTAAATATGTTATGGTGTTGCCCATTATTATAAAAAAAATTGACTCCTATTTATCATTAGTGAAATGCTGGTGTCAGCTCTTAATTTCTATAGTCACAGGCCTGTTTCAAAATACCATTTTGTAAGTTTGAATGACATTTAAGTTGTCGAGTTCCAAATCGGCATCTGCAACATTCCTAAACTCAAGATCTGCTCATGTGAACATACTATTGATTAGTGGGACGAACGCTTACGACACTATCAGGCGGCAATGTAATGCTTTCCCAGAGATAATTTATTTTAACAATATAGATAACCATAATGATATATCTTAATATCAACCATGTTAAACATTTCATTACGTATTATATGATTTTAGGCATGTTGTACTGTTTTCAAAAATGATCCAAGAAAACCAAACAGACCATAGCTCAGTTCCTGTCCAGCGATTAGGTAAAGTTATTGCATAAACATATTTCAATAATATTTTCAAAGTAAATTGTGGGATGGTATATGATTTTAGAAAATATATGATTTGAACAAGACACTTTTATGAAATCAACATATAATTTTAGTTTTTGATATCAAGAACACATGCAAATAACATCTTTCTCTTTTCCTATAAAGCATTCGAAAAATGTTTGTAGCTAGATCCAACTAACAACATTTTCAAATTTCCGTACAATGATAACTGAATGTGTTCCATTAAGAATATAATAAAAGATATCACACTTTATTTAGGTCTGTTATATCTTGACCTACATATAGAACTTATTAAAAACTTGGCACAAAAAAAACATGATTTCAATATTTCTGTTGTTAATTTTTCATGCATTTGAATGTAACTACAATCCGAAGCACCTTCGAATTGAGTATTTAGATATAATTATTCCAGTGGAAACGATACACAAGGACTTGTATTTCCCTTATATGATTTTCTTGATAGAGCGTTGATGAACATCTATAAAGATGATATTGTAACAGGGGTTTTTAATGATATAGTGGAAGTTTTTAACGACACAATAATAATTGTATTGATCGTTATTGAAATCTGACGATAACCCATATGTTACACTAGTCGAAGTCAAAATCCCGTTCTGTTATATCATGAAAATCGTCATATCGCATCCCTGTTTTTAAAGGTTATTATATCGCTTTGGCATTAGTTTTGTTTTCTATGTTGAATCTGTGGTATTTTATTTTGTCAATGCCTCTGTAGTTTCTATAGGTTACATTCTTGTGTATCATATTTTCTTTAAAGTAATTTTTCCAGTTGTACTTAAGTTTTTTGTCTTAAAGTTAGCGAAGTAAGATGAACCAATGGTTTTAAAACTTGGTAATGTCTTAGGGCTAGATAGGAGACGTTTACCAAAGACTCAAGTGTGTGATTCCTTATCATGGAATGAGTTTCAGCAACGAATGATAACTGAAGAATCACAACGGGTGCAAAATATAACAGAAAGAACAGCTGACCCTTCTAGAGCCCCTGAGTTTACCAAAGATATATCCTCGGGTTCATGTTGTTCATTTTTGTGATAGTATTCAGTGTTCTTAATTTCTTCGACTTATGGTTTTTGATTGTCCCTTTGTATCTTTGTATTTTTTCCTTTTCAATTATAAATGCACAGTACATGTACATCAACATGGTAAAAATAATGATAGGTCGGTGGGCTTGTTTTTAAGTGAGAAAATTAGCAGCATAAATATGTTTGTTTTTATTCTTATAAAATGCTTGGGAAAATTAATGGAAACCTGTACTGAACAAATGTGTGAAATAACAATATCAAAATATGTTTAACCAGAACTGTATTTGAAATGCAATTCACAATAACAGAAAAGGGTGATTAAATATATGGGTTGTTGGAAAAAAAACGAATTTTTCATTAATAATAGTCAGTTTGGTTTAATTTTGTCAAATTAAGCCAAAAACATCGCTGAAATATTATTGACTTGCAAGACGATAATTCGATCACATTTAATATCCATGCAATCTTTACTTTAAACTCAGTGGAAGATTTTTGCGCATGTGGTTAACAGGTTACGTTTTTGAAAACAATATCAGCTGAAAAAAAAATAAACTAAGGTCTAACAGGTCTTGACGATCGATTTCTTTGACTGCTTCGACCCGCAAAAAACAATTGTTTTTACCGGTTACATGTATTTTTTGTTCACCTCTTTTAGGAAATCGAACAGACAAATTGTCATTATAATTTTGCACATACAGTGTATTGGTATTTATCTGTTTATATTCATCAATTTATATTTTCACCTCATGGTCACATGTAAATCAGAATCGTTGAAAATCATATCGACAGTTTATTAGATGGCGCCCGGTCTGAAAAAGTTGATACGTTTTATGATTCCGTGCATAATTTTTAGTATTGTTTCCTGATTGACTTTTTTAAATCTTATATACGCTTTAGTGTGTTTGAAAGTTTGAGTCAATTCGATGGACATGAATTTGGCAGCCCTACAAAGGAAATACAATTTCAAAGAATGCTAGCAGTTCCTGAAGTATAACGATCATAAAATCATCTCTTCTTTCACTTTTCTATGAATTTATTCTTTTAAATACTGTTCATATAGCAACATCATTTATTAATAGCATAGGAAAAACACAATCAACTGCGTTTTTCACTATACTAAATTCCTACGAAAAAAAATTACAAACATAGGTAGAAACGGATTAGAATTTAAATGCATCTAATAGTGTTCGTTAGAAAATCTATCATAACCATAAGAAAGAAACAAATTTCAGAGATTTTACAAAAATATCACTGTATCCTTGGTCAACTAGTTTATATAGGCTTACACAAATATAAATTGTCTACTCTCAAATAAACTAATGTTTTCGTAAACGACCAGGGAAACATCGTGTTTGCTTAAGTTTCAGCACTTAAACAGCGTTTGGAGCTTCCTTAACCAAAGGCATTTTCTTCCTCATCCCCGAGTCTTCGACAGGAAACTATTCTTACTATTCTTTGTTTTCTGTTACAGATAAAACAACCGATCTTACAGAGTCGAAACAATGAAATGACATCCAATTTTGACAATATGAGGTATGAAGACTAAAAGGATCAGGCTGACAGACTCTTAGATGTATATCGTTTTTATGATGGTTAAATTCTATTTGACAAAGAACACGATTAACTTCTTTTAATTACTTAAGTACAAATATTCATTCTGTAAAGTGCTATTTTAGAGAGAAAAAAGACTTAAAAGACATTGTGTATGTTAAAAAATAACCTGTTGATATATGTGAAAACAATACCTTTCCATGGGATATCATGTCCCGCTCTAACTACCACAGTTATATGGTCATGCTGGGTCTTCCAAGTGCTCCACGAAACCTCTTTCTAAAATATTAACATCTATTTTATCAGCAATCAAAGCCGGGCTCCAAAGTTATTGTGAAACTGCCTATTCTAGAGGTGGCGTGAATCAGATGTAGATACTAAAAAGATCTTTTAGAGTACATACAATCTAAGACTCTCTCTTCTTGCAATAGTATTAAAACATTTGACTTTTCTACACTTTACACAAGTATTCCCCATTCCAAACTAAAAGACAAATTGAAAGAGTTGGTATTACTTTGTTTCATTAAAAAGAATGGCGAACGTAGATACAAGTATCTTGTCTTGGGGAGGGATAAATCCTACTTTGTAAAGAATCACTCTGATTCAAACAAAAAATTCTCTGAAACTGACATTATCAAGATGCTTGATTTCTTGATTGACAACATATTTGTTACGTTTGGAGGACGTGTTTTTCAACAAACTGTCGGAATTCCAATGGGAACCAATTGTGCCCCTCTTATTGCCGACTTGTTTCTTTATTATTATGAGGCTGACTTCATACAGGAACCTCTTAGGAAGAAAGATAAGAAGTTAGCAATATCCTTTAACTCTACGTTCCGCTATATAGATGATGTTCTCTCACTAAATAATACAAAATTTGGTGACTATGTTGAACGAATCTATCCCATCGAACTAGAGATAAAGGATACTACAGATACAGTTAAGTCTGCCTCATATCTTGACTTAAATCTAGAAATTGACAATGAGGGTCGGTTGAAAACAAAACTTTACGACAAAAGAGATGATTTCAGCTTCCCAAATGTGAACTTTCCATTTCTATGTAGCAACATTCGAGCAGCGCCTGCATACGGAGTATATATCTCCCAATTGATACGATATTCCCGGGCTTGTGTTTCCTATCATGATATCCTTGATAGAGGATTGCTGCTCACAAGGAAGCTATTAAACCAAGAGTTCCAAATGGTGAAGTTGAAGTCATCCCTTCGTAAATTTTACGGACGCCATCACGAGTTGGTTGACCGTTATGGAATAACCGTTTCACAGATGATATCGGATATGTTCCTTATGTCGTAACTACAATACCCTTCCTTTTCACGAATGTGACTTACCGAATAAGACTATTTACCGGATTTGTAATAACATAAGCAACACGACGGGTGCCACATGTGGAGCAGGATCTGCTTATCCTTCCGGAGCACCTGAGATCACCCCCAGTTTTTGGTGGGGTTCGTGTTGCTTAGTCTTTGGTTTTCTATGTTGTGTAATCTGTACTATTATTTGTCTGTTTGTCTTTTTATTTTTGGCCATGGCGTTGTCAGTTTGTTTTCGATCTATGAGTTTGACTGTCCCTCTGGTATCTTTCGTTCCTCTTTCATAGAATCGCGAAATCGTTAAAAACCCTAATTTTGGCAAATGCACATCATGATGTCAAGATCAAGTTTATGTGACCACAACTTCGTGGTTAACTAACTTAAACAAAAACTTTAACCTGATACGGGACGGACTAATGGACTAACGGACCTAGACTAAAAAATTATAAAAGAATAAATAATAAATGATAGAGAATTTATTTTTGAACTAAATGTTATTCATAAGTGTATGAATATATCCTGTAGGTTTATTTAAATGCATTGTATACATTCTTTTAAAATTTTGAAAAAATTGTTTTTAGAAAAGATAAATGTTCATTGTTTTTTTTCTTTGAAAAAATGAATTACGAAAAATATTGGAAAATACAGTATACAGACCATTCATTGCAATACCCAACTCATTCGACGTAGACGTACAAAGACTAAGAACAACGAACAACAGATCGTCCACATAGCCTCATTTGGTACAGACACAATATGTGGTTTGGTTAAATCAGTTTTACGTACGCATAAACCTACCACTTTGCCTATCTAAACTGTATGTAATATAAATTAAACACCATAGAAACCGGGCACACTTCAGCTATATCATTTTTTTTAAACTGATCTTAATTTTTAATTTGCATTAGGACAGTCTATTTGAAGAAGTATGTGATAAGGATGATTGCCGTTATTAATATTATTATTGGTTACACCTGTTCGTGTCACAAAACTGTAATACAAAAAAACTGAGTGTATGATGAGTGAAAGTGACAATGATGACAATGTGTAATTTAATTGCAATTGTATATTTTCAAACATCTGTGATATATAAAGAATTTTGTGATAAAAATATTAATTTCAATTAATATGTCTCACTAGTTTTCTATGTTGTGAACTGTTGTTTGTCTGTTTGTCTGTTGGGTTTTTTTTAGCCATGAAGTTGTCAGTTTATTTTTGACTTGAGAGTTTGAATATCACTTTGGTATCTTTCGCCTCTCTTTTGTAAATCTAAGTTGAATAGGTTTTTTGAAAAGGCACAGAAAAAAAATTAGACAGAAAAGATAATAGATCATAATAGATAATTAAATGATAAAAATTACAAAACAACCAAAAAGGGAGACTGTAAACATATACATTAAAGCATGGTATGGAACGAAAACTATTCTGTTTCATTCGGTGCGTGCTTTATTTGCATTTGTTACACAAACCTTTAAATAGCCTTTTGTTACATTTATATGCATGTTGCTAAATCATGAAGGAAAATATTGAAAGAAAATTCAATGAGCTGTTTACGCTCTTTTGTACTCAGTTTACGTCAATGACATGGAAATTGAAATGTTAAATCAAGGTTGTCAACTTTATGAATTAAGAAAGCTTAATTTGTATTTGATTATGTATGCTGATGATACAGTTTTGATCAGTGAAACTATTGCTTATTTACAAAAAAAATATTGATGTTGTTAGCGCTTAGTCAAATGAATATGACTTACATGTAAATATTGCAAAACACAAAAGTTGTAAAAGAGATAGAAGGATTAGTAAAGCCAATGAGAGGTGATCTTTAACTGGGGAACGAATAGACTCATGGGATCAAATTTGTATATCTTGATTTATTGTTCAGATATGCCGGTTCTTTAGTTCAAACTAAAAAAATGTTAGCAAATCAAGCAAAAAAGGTAGTATTTAGTCTCTTTAGTAAAACATATGATGTTTTTTAATCACAAAACTTTGGTTTCTTTATTTAACAAATATCTATCTTGTATCCTCAATTATGGTTGTGCGGTTTGAGGACACTACAAAGTAGACCTTGTTGAAAAGGTGATTTAAGCATCTTAAAACGTATTCTTAAAGCAAAGGATTCAACTGTTAACTATATAGTATTTTGTGAATTAGGAAGATTCCCTATATTTTTCAATAGATATTGTAGAATGCTGAAATATTGGTTCAAACTATTATGTACTCATATCTGTATTTTAAAGTGTTGTTATGAAGAAATATTATAAAGGTCTATTGTTACATATAATGACAAGTACAACTGGGCATATAAAATTTAGAGATATTTAAGATCAATATGGATATTTATGATATATGGTATAAACAAAGTGTTTATAGTACTGAATTATTTCTATACATTTAGAGAAAGAGTGGAGAATAACTTTGCTCCTGAAATGAATGCTTTTTTGAAAAATAATCGAAATGTTATTTTTATAGATTTATTAATGATACATATGAGTTGCAATTTTATTTAGATCGCAGTGTAAATTATATATACATATCGTTCACTTGCAGATACCGTTCTTTGGAAAATGCCTGTACTAAGTCAGGAATAGGGCAGTTGTTTTTCACTTGTTCCGATGATTGATAACGTTTGATTTCGTTAGTCTTTATGGACTTACCCATTTGGAATTTACCTTGGAGTTCAGTATTTTTATAGTACTTTTTTTTATCTTCTCATAGCTTAGCTGTGGAAAACGGTAGATATTATAATATTGATAGAAATATTCGTTTATGTCCGATGTGTGGCAAACATTTATAAAGACAACTTTCATTTTGTTTAAGTTTGTGAAAAATATGCCAGTTTAAGAAAAATGTATATTATAACTAATTATTGAAGAAGACCAGCCAGTTTCAAACTTGTACAAATATTGTCTATCCATAATGTAAATTAACTGATTAATTTGAGAAAATATTTATATCTTGCTGAAAATATCCGTAATTGTTGACTGTAGTGTATATTCTCTGCCGTTATGATTTCAAATTGTATGTACATTAATTATCAGCTGGACACGAATATTTGTTAAATGTATATAATTTATGAGTTATTATTATTATTTAGAAAACAATAAGGTCGAAGTACCATTTGCAAATTATGCTCCCCTCCCCATAAACAAATGCATTCAGGAATAAATTATAGAAAAAAATCGTTCATTAAAACGTAACAGAATAAAGAAATATGCATATGCATATTTTGCAACTGCCAGCGTCTGAGTTATACTTTAATATTTCCACAATTTACAAAATGTGATAATTTTTTCATTTGTTTTAAACTCAGTATTGCTAGAAAATGAATGGCTATGTGTCACTATTTACTTTGAGAACATAAATGTAGTGTTTTCATATTTTAATCGGATTAATGACCAAACCTGGACACTTCAATGATGAGTTTATCCCCCAAAAAACCTGTTGACTGTTCTATGATTAGCGAATTATTTTAGCTCGCCAAGTCACTTGAAATGAATCAAGTAACAAATAGGTAGCCATAGCTAATGGTTGAATACTGCCACCCAAGAAGAAGTAAATCAGAAACAGTACGCCTAACTGGCTTAATGAGGTCTCATCATACAAAACATTGAAATCGGCAAGTATTTGTTAAAGTTCAGTCTGAAATTGCTGCACAATTAAAGAAAAAAAAGTTTTACTTTTAATTCATTTGACACATTTTACTTTTTAACACTTTACGCTACACTTCCACATAATAAAGCTCTTATTCAATTGAATGGTCTCTTAAAGAATCTGATTGCAAATTTATTTGCTGCAACTCATATAAAGCATTCTTCTCTAACGAGAAAGGTGAAAATGCTAGATATACTTACGAGAGTCGTAATGAAATGATTAAAACTGTAAATTGTCAACATTTGGTACGTTTCGGCAATAAATTTTATCCACAGGTTGTAATTATTTCAATGGGTACAAATAGCGCCCTTTTAATAGCAGACTTGTTCCTGTATTGTTATGAATTACAGTTTATAGCCAAAGTTAGTAACGATCCTTTTCAAATCCGTACAACTGAGAAATTCAACAACACTAACCGTTATCTTTTCGTTAGATAATCAGGAATAGTCTAAATATACTGCCGAAATTTACACAAAGGAACTTACTTTAAGTATAAACAGAAATAACTGTCCTTTCCTAATTATACATGGGAAAATTTACGACAAAAGGGAAGATTTTTCGCTACCTATTGACTTTTGACGTGACTCGGTTTAATGCATCCCGCCATCGGGTTTTTTACTTTGAACGTACCTGGTGCAGGTGGGTCCTGTGGAGCGATTCGAACGCAAACACTTTGTGTTTTACAGTGTTGTTTACAAAAACATTTTTGTTGTCTTTGTTAGATTTATTTGTATGTTTCTTTGAAATTTTTTGTCAGTTGCGATGTATGTTTACACAGTTTGGCTGCTGGATCACATTTACCGATTATGTTTGTTTGGGTTGCTCACCCAATTTTGTCAATATATCGGAACTATAAACAACTCTCATGCAAGTGGGGGGTTTAGCTAGCTATAAAACCAACTTTTACCCACCATTTTGTTATGAAAATGCCTGTACCAAGTCAGGAATATGACAGTTGTTTTCACTTGTTCTTTGGATTGATAACGTTTTATGTTGTTTGTTTTTATGGCCTTTTCCTTTTTGAATTTACCTTGGAGTTCGGTGTTTTTGTTACACTTTTTTGGTTAATTTTCCTTTTTTAAACTGGGATGTTCCTTTTGCTTCATCTTACGGTGTTTATATATCCCTATTTGTTTGGCATGCCCGTGTCTTTAATGACGTTTTGGATTTCAATAAACGTAATCTACGTATTACTGGTAAATTATTAAATCAATGATTTCGTTACCACAAATTACTAAAAACTTTTACTTTTACAAATTACTGAAAACCTTTACTTAATTCATAAATACAAAATTTGGTTTAGTAGTACTTACTACAAACCGGCTGGCACATCCTAACTTTTACGATGATGGTGTTCACCGAGCCAGTAAATTTAGATACGATCTGGGTAAACTTATAAATCCTTTAGATAAACTTGTTCTTCTAAAAGATTACCAATTTTGAGATCTTTGAAAATTGTTTTTATTTTTATAAATACTGATTTTGTTATCAATAGATTTAAACCCAACTAAATTATATTATTGCTAAGTATACACATAATTATGAATACATTCACAATCATACAATCCGGTGAAGCCTATATTTTGGTATTATACAAGGTCACGTTTCCCCTGACTGTTAATGACGCCTTTATACTAAATCAATCGGATGTTGGATGTGTACTTTTTGATATTTTAGTCTTAGATACTTGATTTTTTTATTAGTTGTTTTTGGTTTGAACTAGCTTCCAGTAACTGCGAGTTTTCTCAGATCTGTACTTTTTGTCTTTTGTGTTTTTGTTGTTTTTTGTTGTGCTTTGTACGGATCTGATGAGTTAAGCTCTTTTCAACTGATTTTATAGTTTTTTCTTATGTTGTAATGTACCACCACTATCCGGAGTTATAGTTATTGACCAAGCAAGTCAGTATACGTCATTTGATCTGCATGGCTCGGATGACCCTGAACAACTTCGTAGTTTGATTGCTGTTTTATTGGCATCTACAGTTTTGTAACTCGCATATCCAACAGTTGTAGTCCATTTGATGTACTTTTAAATCTGTGTATGACAAATCATAAATAAAAGGGTTGTTGAGTATAAATTAATTGCTTTTCTTTCCCTCAAGTATAAGCTCAGAGGAAGATTAATCAAAGAGAGATGCACTTAAATTTATATCGCAAAGTTAACAAAACAAAACACGTTTCATTTTTCAATCTTTAACTCCCCCTCCCCAACAATTATTTATCTTTATTCATTCTGAAGACATGTCCCATCTAGACAAAGTATGATTGATCTCCAGCTTACCAGTATATTTTTTTGTTTCTGTTTTGACACATACTTGAATATTAACCTCATAATTAGATTCGATCCAAACATAGTCACTCAAAAGGAATTAATATTTGAATGGTTGTAATAAATGCAGTGTTTTAAAGTCTTAAAGGATAATTTTGTTTTCTTATAATTTCTTAAAATATCCAAATAGCTAAAACCTGAAAATATAAGAAACAAATTGATCTTTTATGACTTTAAAACACTGATTTAAGATTTTTAAAAATTGTACACAATACCATAAAGTGTTCAAAGGAATGAGAAGCACTTTCCATTGAGAACAAAACTAATGTAAATCAGGTTTCAGCTATTTGGATATTTTAAGAAATTATAAGAAAACAATATTATCTTTTATGACTTTGAAACACTGATTTAAGATCTTTAAAATTGTACAAAATACCAAATAAAGGCAACAGTAGTAAACCGCTGTTCGAAATTCATAAATCGATTGAGAAAAAACAAATCCGGGTTACAAACTAAAACTGAGGGAAACACATTAAATATAAGAGGAGAACTACGACACAACAGAAACACAACATTAAAATGTAACACACACAGAAACGAACTATAATATAACAATAGCCATTTTCCTGACTTGGTACAGGACAAAAAGTGTTCAAAAGAATGAGAAGCACTTTCCATTGAGAACAAAACTAATCCAAATCAGGTTTTAGCTATTTGGATATTTTAAGAAACCATAAAGAAAACAAAATTATATTTAATGACTTTGAAACACTGATTTAAGATTTTTAAAAATTTTACACAATACCACAAGGTGTTCAAAGGAATGAGAAGCACTTTCCATTGAGAACAAAACTAATCCAAATCAGGTTTCAGCTATTTGGATATATTAAGAAATAATAAAAAAAAAAGCACTATTATATTTTATGACTTTGAAACAATGATTTAAGATTTTTAAAATTTGTACACAATATCATAAAGTGTTCAAAGGAATTAGAAGCACTTTCCATTGAGAACAAAACTAATCCAAATCAGGTTTCAGCTATTTGGATATTTTAAGAAATTATAAGAAAACAAAATTATCTTTTATGACTTTGAAACACTAATTTCAGAATTTTAAAAATTAATTGTACATAATACCATAAAGTGTTCAAAGGAATGAGAAGCACTTTCTATTTCACAATTTGAAACGGCAAAGTGTATACAAAGTAACTGTTGTTAATTGTTCAATTATGCCGTAATTGCGAGGTCAGTGGCGGATTCAAGGGGGAGGGGGCGAAGAGAAAGTACATCCCCTTTTTAATTTTTAGTCTTCAAATTGTAAAACTTTTTTTTATGGCATTATGTTCCCGTGCCTTTGAAAAATAGTGGGTCCGCCCATAAAGATAAGACTACATTTGAACTGTGCAGTATATTTGAAGTAGTTAATGCACACCTTAGCTGTGCATTATCCAGATTATGGCACAGTAAGAACAGAGATTTTTCCTATGTCATGTGTTAACTACCGTATATCTGTCCATTTTGACTAAAACTGTTGGATAACTCCTTCAACTTAAAGGAGTAACTGCCTTTAAATAACAGTTTTCATCATGTTTCCATTTTTATTGGCCCTTATCTTGTGGCAAATAAATATCTTCTTCGATTTTGACTTTCAAAATGGCAGACAGTTACTTTAAAATATGGGCTTTTTAAGAATAACAGCATCAAAGGCAACGCATAATTTGAAAATGAATGAATAATCGAGGAAGGAGATACAAAGGGGCATTCAATTCAAAATTCGAGAGAAAATGACAACGCCATGGCATAAAGACAATTTCACAAAACAAAACACAGTCCAAGTTCCAGCTTTCACCCTTGTGAACCATCTATTGTATAAATTTAATAATTTGTTCTTGTCCTGAATATGCATGAAATAATTGCTACTGGACGCTAATTAAGCAACAATCAATAAATCAAAGATTGTCAATAATAAACAGTAAAGCAGGGTAGACAGCAGAGGGCGGGAGGATTTTGAAAATAAATATCCTGACCTAGTTATAGCTGAAAATAAATAACCTTTAGCTTGCATAAGACAGGATGAAAATTAATATTCTGCAACAGAAAATGCAGAAAAAAATTGTGTGCAAAAGTGAAATTAAATGTTTGCGCGGAAAACAAATACTACAGTAAGCATGCGTAGCAACATATGAAAAGGAAAAGTCAGTCCGCAATAATTGTTTTTTTTAAATCAAAAACTGCTATTGACGTCCTTTCCATAAATCCGTTGGAGGTGTACTGATTTACTTTTTAGTTTGGAATAACATGACATGTTGATTATCTAAAATTGGCTTTTGAACTAGCTTTCAGTAACTGAAATATTCATATAAATGGCAACATTTTCCCCTTTTTAAAAAGACCATAGTTCAAATGAGAACTGAAAACAAAGGCAATGGCCTCCTAAGTTTGGGTATAATACCCATAAATGAGGATAGTACCGATTTATGAGGATTCTTCCCAACCTCTCTAATTTGTTTCCCGAACGAGAAACAAAACGCACACGTCCTTCCGCTACAGCATGTACAGGTTTCGTTCAATGTTTTATTTTCTTCTAAAAACGAGCTAGCGATTAGTTTCATTTTTGTGTCCTACTGATCTAACCTATCCTATTTATACATATTTCTATAAATAGCTACTAAATTTTTCTCATAAACGGAACTTTAATATAAGAAAACAACAATGGTGATTTCATTCTAAACAGAACGTAAGATCCTTTAGGTATTATTTTAATGTATCGGTAGTGTTTTATGTGATTAAATATTGTTATTTTGCTGTAGAAATACTAGAACAATTTGTTTTTAACATTTTAAACGAGATCATATAAACGGAATAATTAACCACCCTACACTCCATGTAAGAAACCTGTGAACACTGTCATCAATCTACCATCTTAATGTTCTGTATAATTTATTAGTGTCAGCATATTGAACCGTTTCCGTTTGAAAAGGCAATGAATTTATTAAAAATGGAAGATTTTGAGTACTATATAATTATGCACTTCGAAGGAAAATCGTACATGTCAACATTTCCCAGACATTTAATTAAATTGTGAGAGAATCCCAGAGTAATTAAAAGTTGTTGTTTTTTCATATATTTTTTGTAGCAGACAAAGATATCGAGAGAGATCTTTCTAATTGCGTTCACGGACTAACTTATCATGGCGTTGACTATATCCGATATGCATGATATGGTAAGTGACCTTATCTGAATGATTTCATAAATGGAAGCTTACTAATAATTTTTCCTCATACAAAATTCCCCTTTTCTATTACATTTTATGTAAATTCAATTTCAAATATCATACTAATCGCAAAGGCCCTTTCCACTGATGGAAATGTAAGTAATAAATTTCAAAATAATAAGGGACTGGTCATTAGGGGGATGGGAGGAAACATCTGAATTTTTTTTAAGTCCCCATCTTGAAGAAGGAAAATAAATTCATTGCCCCTTCCGAAGACATTAAAATTTCAACCTTCCTCCCCCCAACACACGTTTCAATACATTTATTCTTTACAACAAAGTGCATGCATACAATTTTGGAAACAAGGCTTCAAGTGGGGAAGTTGTTTTTGACTACAGAGAACTATATATCTAGATAAATGCCTGTTATGGTCTCATTGGCATTTACCAAGCCTTAATTAAATTTCAGCACATTGTTCCTATCCCTTATATAAGAAGTTAATAAATTAACTTCAGATAAAATAGTTACTTTCCTGGAAGAACATGATGAAACTTCGGATTGTTTTCATAACAATCAAGGCGAGCGAAGCGAGGGGAAATTTTTTCATATCTTTCCTGAAAAAAAACCCTTATATTTTCTTTATTAAGGGAAAGCGTTGGGTGTGGGTCGCCTGACTCTGTATTTCTAAGTCTTCAAGGAAATTTATTGACGTTAAGACATGCCAGCATTGAAAATGCCACACTTCGACTCCTATTATCTTGAACTATTGAAATACATGCTCAATCATGAGTTTTTCGATTAATCATGCAAGGAAACAACTATTAATATTATCAGTGTTCTTATTTTATGGAAAGGGGTATAATATTAAGAAAACCTTTGAGAAAAACCCGCAAAAACTGAAAGACATCAAACCATTATTCCTTTTTTACTGTTATGTTCATGTCCAACAAACAAACAGAAGATGGTCAGGACTCAAATGAATAAAACATTTAACATTGAAGCCAACAATTATGACACTATAGTTATAGATATGACATTTCATTCTGAATCAAGTGTAAGCCACTTTTGTTGAATAATAATCAGATATTGATTTAGAGTATTAATCAAATTAGCTATATATGTTTCATGTTTGAAATACAGAATTGCTAAAATTTTCTAATAAAAATCGATGCACCCCCCACCAGTCCCCCTTTCATTCTGAAGTATTGAAAAATCGAATACCCCATTCCATTCACAAAAATTGTCAAGGCCCCTTAAACTCCCCACTTTTAGGTTGCAAATGACCAGTCCGTAATCACAATACAGGAAGAAAACTGATTTTCCAGTATATTGAATCTGTCCCCTTTTTACTGTCATAATAACTGTTTATTCCTTTTGGAAAAAAAACAACTGTTAACTGTCCATTAATATTATAAAAACTACCCCCCAAAAAAAATAAGAAACAACCCAATTGATTCTGTATAGAAATTGAGGAAATACATAGTGTAACATTAATGGCATACCACATAACCTGCATAAATGCATATCAATTTTTTATTTCATAGGAGAAAATTGACTAAACTAGATATGTAGATAATTCTAAAACTAGACAGTATAAGGTAGAAAATCATGCAAATACGTTTAAATTTTTTTCAAACGTACGTGTTTTCGTCTTTGATCGTCTATCAGTCAACGGCATTAATGAACATTTTCTGCTTCACATAACTATATTACTTAAGAAAAGTCAAATCAGGTTCCAATAGAAATAATTTTAAATATATGTATATAGTATACACAGAAAGGCTTCAAAAGTCTGTACAGAAGTTATATACAAACTTGATATATGGTTCAACTATGGAGAAAATCATAAGTATGTTTTGCTGGGATTGGTTATTAGACAGGCTATTTATAAGATCTTGATTTGTCTCTTCTTGATCGATTTACGAAGATTTGAACCACAGTACTGTCGCCTTAAAAAATACTGCGCAATACAACGTTATACAATGAAACAAGATATGACCAACATATACAAACAGTTCAAACAGCACCGCATAACAACGTCCTAAAATGAAAAGAATTGCAGCGCATTCTAAAAATGTGCGCACGCTAAACGTTCATGTGGCGTTTCATTCTATAAACAATATGCACATGGTCAACATTTTGTCACCCCTATGATAAAATTTGAAATTTCACTTTTCGGCTGATTGTTTTAAAAGATTCTACGCATTGTTGTAGCATTGTAATGGAGAAAGCGTGTAGTCATTGGTGTTGTATAACTTTGTATTAGGACATACTCATATTTTAAAACAGCACCTGATGTAGTCACCAAAGTTTTGAATATGAAATAGGGATACTTACAATATGTCAAACTCTATATCATTACGAGTCTATTCAAATTTAGTATAATTTTAGCACACAAAATTAATGATCTGCCATTAACTAAACGATGACGATATGACTGACGATATCAAAAGAAGAGGCCCCTGACTTGGAACATGCACATCCAAATGTGGTTAGATTAACTAGTTTTGTAGATCTCAAAAGAGATTGTCTACCAATCTTTATGATTGAATCCTTAAGTTATCATTGTCATCTTATTACAAGTGTACATGATTATTATTAAACCAGAAGAATAAGAGTGAAATCAAGCGTTTTGATTGCTTTATTAAAACATTCCCACGCAATTTCTAATGTTGTTATAAAAAATCACATCAAAACATTAATAGATTGCTGTTTGCCAATCAAAATGATTGAATTCTTATGAAAACAAAAAGTATGTGCACTTACAGATTTTATGCATAAACTTAAGACTTAAGAGTGAAATCAAGCTTTTCGGTTATATATTTAAATTATATTTCTACCCATTATTCATTGTAACATTTTCCTAGAGAGCACGAGAAGTCATTGGTGTTCCGTTTTATTAGGACATATCTCAATTTTACGACCTTCTTTATCAATAGATTGACTACTACATGATTATTATACGTATAATGCTGATTGAAAATGATACTCAATTTCATTATTGGTCTCATAATCTGTCATACTATTCAAAAGTTATATCCGGTAGACCAAGTATATTTCTGACCAGGAAGATGACGATAAAAACGGTTATAATAACAGAGGGAAAATAGTGGAAGAAGCAGGGTGAATTTCGACGCTAGGGGCCGCTTAACCTTGCTATTTTTAATGTATCTGTTGACCCCTATTAGAGAAAATTTCTTTCATTCATCATTCGTGCATTTAAACGAATGGTATACATTTCTGTTATTTGAAATATATATGATATGAAAATAAGGCGATTTTGTATGATTGCAAATGAGACAACCATCTACAAGACACCAATCGACGTGGATGTAAACAATTATAGGTTATAGGACTCATCAGATCGTCACAAAGTATGTTATGTCACATGCCTTCAACAATGGGCAAACCCATACCATAAAGTAAGCTATATCATAAAGGCCCCGAGGAGACATAAAGTAAAAACAATCAAATGATAACGGCCTGATCTATGATAAAACAATAAAGAAAAACCTAATATGACAGAGAGCAACCAACGACCACCACTGAATAACAGGCTCCTGATTTGGGACAGGCACATGCATAATGTGGCGGGGCTAAACATGTTATCGGGCGCTCAACCCCCCTAACCTAAGGATAATGGTAAACAAACAGCACAACATTAGAAAAAAACTGCTGCAAAATCAGTTGTAATAAGCTTGACTCATCAGATCGTCACGAAGTATGTTATGTCACATGCATGTATTGATAAGTATTGTATGTGCCATGCATTAAGGAATGTCTGTGTGTATAATTGAATCTGTTTTGCTGCATGATCTAAACGTCATCTGAAAAGTATGCATGCTATGTTGTTGTGCTCTATTGACATATTTCTATCAATATTACTGGTTCAGTATCTCTTTAGTTGGAGACTATACAGAATGTTATGCAAGATCTCCAACAGACACAGAACCGCGTCAAAGACAGAACAAGTGCTGGACACATGTAAGTTTATATAAATTTGTAACTTCGCAAAGATTAAAAACATTTCAGGCTTATAATTTTGTACGTCATACGTGCGTTTCTGATTCTAGGGCGCATATATGTGCTTCTCAAAAGCATAAAAAATTTAGCAGCATCAAAACCAGAATCTTAGCAGGCCTAACCAGGTGAACTTTGCAAGAGAGAGTTGCAACCAAATTTAAACCGCTGTTCGGATTATAATCAGAATGTACAATTTAATTTAATAACATGCCCATTACAGAAGTCCCGGATACAAGGAAATTAGTCACATATGTGACTGACAGATAACAAGCAACGGCACCGACCATTGGACATAATGAAAGTGATACTTATTTACGTGAGCGTGACGCGTATCTGTCATTGTTAAGTAACACGACTTCATAATATTTTTCTTTATTTGACAGAAAAGGTGGACTGAGTAATGAGATAAAACGACTTGCAGGTAGATATTTTTTTTATTTGATTGTTGTTCAATAAAATATGTGTGAATAATACAGAATGATATATATTTGATAAAAGAAAAAGGTGTAACTTTCTTGTAGACTGCCATGTACATTAAATGTTGAAATGTTATATAAAAAGATTAACGATGCCACACTGGCATGCATAATGATACATAAAACGTTTAAAATTTAAATCTAATTCTTACAATCCAAAAATTAGGTTAAACAAAAGGTTAAATAAGGAAAACATTTTCCCCTTCCAGTTTTATATCATATGCCAATAGTGCGATACTGTTAAAAGCGTCTAAAGTATCATGGTATTCCTATTTTAGCTAATTGTGTTGTTATAGGGCATTTTAAAGGACCAATTACTTTTGGGAAACATTGACAATATCCTTCGACCAAAGTTAAGTTGTGATGGAAACATGCATAAGGGTGTAATACAAATTTTATTGAAAAGTTATATTGGTTCGTGCATGTGGCTCATGCTGTCTGATGAAGGAAAAAAACATCTACCATGAGGAATCTTCTTAAAAAGTTGTATCATTTTTATAACAAATGTTTGCAATTGTGACGTCATGATGACATAATCATTTAAATGTTTAAGTCTTGTTTTTTTTAGTTACAATTATACAATTTGTTATAACATGTTTTGATAATTATGATATATAAACTTTATGAAATTTTAGGTTTAATTATGACCCTTGAACTTGAACCTACTCTATTATCGTTGTTATTGATTTAATTCTGCATGAGTCATTGACATTTTAAGTTCAAGGTAGTGAATGTTGGTGTTTTCTAAACGTAGTCTTTGATATAATTAAAATAACAAAAACTATATTTACTTAAGGAATCGAGGAGCGTTTAGTCAAAGTCGAAAATACTTCATGCAGACATTCATCCCAGCTGCAAGCAATACTTGGAACAGTTGAAAAGTTATCTGAGAAATTAGATATTTTTTCTATTGCTTGTAAGAACAGAAAAAGTGCTATAAAACCTACGGAATCAAATCAACGAACATTGCAATCAGAAATTTATTCAGATCAGACGGGGCGTAATCAGGCAAAAGAGGAAACTATCACACCATGCACAAAAAGTTTTAAAGAACCATATAAAGAAGGACAGGCAAGTTGTTCAAAATTCAAGAAAGACGATTTATTGCCAGTGAAAGATGATAATGATCACCAATTAAACAGTGGATATCCAAATATTTCGGGAACTAAACCTTCGGAAAATTCAAATCCACGGGTAACAGTAACAAATCGCCGAAGTCAGGTAGAAGATAATGCTAGCAAAGTAGATCCAGCAACTTCTAAACAAGAAATGCAACAGAAAGCAAAGATAATAAAATCTAAAAATGGTTTCAAACTAAGCAGATCTAATGCCGACTTCGACAACAGAATGTGTTATAATAGAAAGAAAAGATGCTTTCAAGGTGAAATGTTACATCCACCAATTGCAACAGCCGAAAACCAAAGTCATAAAGTACCTGCGCCTAATATGATTATCAATAATTTGAAAGATAGGTATGCAATTATTTAATAATAAAGAATGTATAAAACATGCAGGATATCTTAATAATTGCTTTGTTTGAAATGAACGAAGTACTGTTTAATGTAGCATAAACCCTCATTCAAAGCCTGTAAAAGTGTTGCAACTGAATCACAATGTATTTCAAAACTTTTTTTACTGCTTTTTTTTTGAATAAATAGAATACCATGTATGGTCATATACACCTTCCTTCCTTTTTCTTTTGTTTAATATAAAATAACTCTAACCAATAAGGGATTAGCTAATATCAATAAAACTTGGCGCATCTCAGGCTTTTCTTGGATTAACCTTCACCAAGACCGTTCAAAACAAAACAAAATATAAGCAAAGGATGTATAAAAAATTGAAGAGCTCCATGACAAAAAGTGATTTAAACAGTATAGCCAAAACAGTCTAAGGTCAACTTTGCCTGTGGGAGTTTGGACTGTAGTTTCTGATAATTTTAAGAACTGTATGTAGTTAATCATGTCAGTGCTAAGGACTGTATATTTTATTTGTCAGGAGACAAAACAAGGAAACAAACGTTGGAGCGTCTGGAAAACAGAGGGGAATGATGACAATGGCTCAGATGGCTGAAAAAGGTCATTATTACAAGCAAATCATAAGTTTAATGACAAATGCAAATAAATAATGTACGAAGCGAAGTCCTAACTAATGATGTGATAATACGCTAGGGGACTATAAGTCCACATGCAGTGGTATTGAACCAGTGCTAGTAAAGGAAAATAACTGTTAATGAATCTCGTACATCCGGAGTGCTTTTCTGGATTAACATACTTCATGAACGCTCAAAACCAAAAAAATGAAAACAAGTGAGGATAAATATACAGGGGCTATATTTTCGAAAGAGACCGAAAAAGAATATCGTTTAATGCAGTAAAGAAGGGGGGAAGGAGATATGAATCATATAAGAATATTTTACAGTCTTAAAAATATGTTAGAGGTTTTCCATGGTGATAAAAAAAAGGACATTACATAGTTTACAATAATAAGGTAATGGGTTGCTGTACACGCGTCAGAATCAGGTGAAAAAGATTAACAAATGAGTAAAACAGTTTGAGTTCAAAGTATTAACTATAACAGTTATCTCATATTACAAAGTCGTTTTTAGAAAATGGTTATTAAAACAGATAAGAAAATATATTTAGCGAACTCAGTCATATAGGTATCAAAAGTCGAAAGCAGATTGCAAAGCAGAAATAAGGCAATTTAAAAACAACAAGTAACAGACTAGGAAAGGCAGAAACAAACATATAGAGAAAAATAAAAAAATAAGTCATGGGCAATATCAAACTCCCTTCAAAGACAGAAAATGTTATCCAGTTCTCCTGAAAGGAAAGTAATGTAAATTGTTCAATAGGAATAACACAACAAGTACTACCTGATAAATGTGTGTGTTTCGTAGAATTGTTTACCAAATATCTTTATATTTTAGATTTTGACAGTGTACAGAAAGTTCATTCATACGAAGAATGGTTGCAAATTGCAACACAGTCGCAAATGGAAGGTAGAATATAATATGGTTTATATTGAAATTAATTTTCCTGATTTTTTGGTTTAAAGATATTAAATCTGTGCCAAACACAAAATAGGTAATTTATGCCTGCGGTAGAAAACACCGGTATAAAACTGAAAATATACTGGATATTCTTTTCCTGAAAAGGGGGAGGTATGACAAAACGCCGTAATTTGGCATCATGATTTGCGCAATAGAAATTCATGAACTTTTATAAAAGTATGTTATATCAATTTTTACATTGAATTCCTCATATATTTAAAATTATCGTGCTCTGGAATGCTATGTCGTTTTTCATCATAATATAAGAGGTGTGTCATGATCCGTGATCCAGTCTTTCTGGTTTGAATGTTAATGTTATTCAAATGTTAATGTTATTCAAATGTTAATGCTATTCAAATGTTAATGTTATTCAAATGTTAATGCTATTCAAATGTTAATGTTATATATTCAATGAAAGGCTAACAAATAATTTATGAAAATTGTTTTGAGTTTTGGGATAAGAAAATCAGTTTATATTTGAAGTATTGCAAGGTGATGATTGATGACTACAAAAAGCCTTTTCTTGTTGATGATGGTTTATGTCCATTTAATTCAATTCTTATCTACTAGTTGAGCAGAATCTGCTTACCCTTCAGGAACACCCGAGATCAGCCCCAGCTGATGGTTGAGTCGTGTTGTTCAGACGTTAGTTTTCTATGTATTGTTGTGTGGACTTGTTTGTCTTTGCGTTTTCTTTCGTTTTTGTTTGCCTTGGCGATGTCAGTTTATCTCGGAGTTTTGAATATCCCCTTGGTAACTTCCGCCTAATTTTTTTTATTTATCAACCCTGTAAAGGAATTTATAAGATATTTGATGCAAAGCATTTACATGGTGCATTTTTTATTTTACAGCTGCCATGAAAATGTTTTTAAGTCATGGGAAATTGAGTTCCCGCGGACATAATTATATGTTATTGTTGGACACATCAGAGAGTATGCAAGGAGAAAAATTTGAGACAATGATAAAAACTGCTACTAACTTCATCGATGGTAAAACAAATATATCACTACGTCTATTAAATAGTGTAAATATGGTGTTGAGTGAAATGCATGTTTCAAATCTTATTTGTTTTATAAAGACATGCGTAAGTATGAAGATCAGCAAGAAATGGGCTATTCTTTATCATAAAAAATGAAAAGCCTTATCATTGAATTGACAAAAAGGTAAATCAAAACTAAAAACACACTACGGGCTAATATTGATAACAAAAAAAAATATGAAAACAACTTCCATTGGTATCACAGATATTAGTTGAGTATGTTTCACGAGATATGATCAGGACCAAAAGTTTAGGACGGCAAAATTAAAAGAACGTAAAAGACCACTGAAAGCTACAGAAACAGGTCAGCTAAACCTATTTCAACTTTGCATGAGATAGTTGCATCCTTAGTTTTAGGCCAATTACATAATTTGTGTTTTGAATTATTTGGTATTTAATTTGATTGACATTGTATTTATAGATAAAGGTGACATTAGATATTTCCAAATTGTTAATTGTTGACAATACGGTTTGTACAGGTCTACATCGGATAAGTTTACGATTCGGTATACGAGATAATGTTGGACTAGCTCATTTTGGGAAAGACCCTGAATTGATCATTCATCCTCTGGCAGATTATGATGGTATCAAGACAGAAATAGGTATATTATAAACGATATACATTTATGTTTCATAATAAAGGAAAACAATACAAATCAAGTTTTAAAGCTTAAAAAATAAAAAATAAATATCTTAATAAACTATCAAAGTAAAAGTTTTAAAATATCAATATGTGTTTCATGGTTATTGCAAATCATCAATGTCCAATACAAATATCATTCAAAATAAAGCATATGCTTTTTATGCTTGAACTTAAATATTTCTTTTTTACGCTTTTGTGCCTATAATACATGATTGTGTTTTTTTTTTTTATTAACATACATGTATTTGTTTTTTAATTAAAAAAATCTGATTATATTCCAGCCAAATTGAGACCTGGTGGTCCGTCTCCACTAGCAGCGGGTCTGTTAATGGCATTGTCTGGCATTACTCACTGTAAGTTTGTTTTACAATACATAGGCATATGTAGACATATTCAATATAATTACTTTTTTCTATGTATCAAAATTATTTTTGGCCGAAAAAGTATAATATTTACAATACAAAATGAAAATTAAAGATTGTAAGTTAATGTTTAGGTTTTTATTGTGATTTTGTTTATTACAAGTGATTATAAAAGCATAGCTATACTCATTTTCAAACGAGACTGTATGTATATCTATTTATTGATTATGTTATTCTCAAATCAACTAAAATGAGGAATTTTCATAAAGGTGGTCCCACTACCATCGAAAACCATGATTTCCTACCGTATATTATTGTGATAACGGATGGAATGCCAACTCGAGTAGATGCCCCTGGTGAAGAAGACAGAGACAGTATTGGTGCGCTATCAGTATCGTCTTTACTGGTAGGTATATGTTTTAGAACAGGTAGACTACTTCATTCAACCAGAAACTGGTTAAATCAAGCCTTTTGGTTCTTTTAATTATCATACGCATTGATGTAACTTCGTGGAGAGTACGTGCAGTCATAAATGTGCGTTTTATAGCTTTAGAACACCTCGAGGAAAGTTGTTTGAAAATTAAAATGCCGATACTCTTATAAAACAACGTTATGTACTTCAGATGAGAATGATTTAGTGTTGGCATGATTCAAATGAGACATTTTGAATTTTGAATGTAAATTGAAAACATGAAATTGTACTTAAACTAAATGGAAGCAAATTTATGAAGCGAAGTACCACATTGGAAACAATGAAATGTAAGCCAGTTTAGAAACTTTTGAATTTTTCCGTCCGCAAAACAAAATATCCTTACAGAGAATCAATAATATTAACGGTACCAATTTTACTGCAGAAGATGCGCATTTCGATAATTTTGTTCAGTTTTGCTCAGAATGTTGTCTTAAAAAAACAAATATAAACGTTGGAGAACTGATAAAACCAAAAAAGATATACGTAAGCCAAACCTGGAAAAGGAATCAGAGCTTTGCACGTGGGAGATATATTCCTTAATTTAAAATTATTATTTCCAAAATTTTATAACAGCAAAGTATACTTCAATTTCGCTCACAAACGATATATGGATTTTAACTTGCAATCTTTTTTTCCTTCATCGAACCCTAAATGAAAAATTTAAAGAAAATACCACTTTATATGTCGTGCGTCTGAAGCGCTTTTCTGGGTTTACCTTCATCAGGAACGGTCATACCAGGGTTATTCCTGAAACAATTGAATTAAGAGATTAACTCTTTTTACAATTGATTGAAAATGATTATAACTTTTATTACGGACGGGCATGCCCGTCAAAAATATATTTTTTTTCGCGTAGTTTGTTAACTAAACCGAATAAAATTGTTTTAACATAATTTTTTAAGCGTCTTTTTGTTAGGATGACATACTTTCAAAATTGAAAACTCTGTTGCAAACTCGTCTTCCGTTTTTCCCCCTTGTTTTGCTTTTATTCAATGTGATAATGTATCTTTTGAAGTCCAATCCGTCAGATTACTTTAAAATATATTTTCAAATCCCTATAAAGTGAGACTTGTAAACATCTCAGTCCCTATATAGAGCAGAAGTTACTTGTTAAGCTATCTAAAAGATTTGACATCCATTGTAAGTTTTAAGCTTTCTACAAGATTTGTCATCTTTTGTCATTTCTGTCATATTTTATTCGCACATATTAAGAAATGCATACTCTAATCTTGTGAAGAATCAGTGATTTGCTAAATGAATACAATATAAGGACAATAAAGAGAGCGAGAGAGACTATACTTCTTTACCTCAATCACTGCCTCTGTTCGTCCGTGCATTTTTTCGTCTCCTGAAATATTCTTCGTAAGAACTTCTGATCAGAGACTCCTGAAATTTGATATCAATTTTTATATGATCATGTTTTCAACGCTCATTTTTTATAAGATCATGCTATATTGTGTGTTTTCAACGCTCATTAACTTCCTCTTTACGAATATATTTCTACACTTAATGGCCATGTACGAAATTTTATCGAATTTTTTTTCTCAAGAACCGCAATCCGAGCTTTCCGAAATTGTATAAAGGTGAGCATGCTATACTGTGTGAAGCTATTTCTTATCCGTCCTTCATCAATTACCTGTTTACCTAATAATTATAGCGGTGGTCATTATTAATGTTTAGAATAATATCTCAAAATTATCTTGTTTTAAACATTGTACTTTACTTTCAGACTATACTTAATTTAGTGAGGGATAGTGAAATAGATAAAACTGTTACAAATATTGCACGTCGAGGAATGAAAATATTCTGTGTACCAGTAGGAGGTGCGAACACTGATGTAAGTTCTGTTAGATAATTGTTATTATAGATACTTTCATAATATTGTTTTAGGATTAAATGTAAACATTCATTAAAAGTATCTGACTTATGATTTGGAAAGCCAGAGGCGTTTCGTCCACATAAGACTGATCGGTTAAGAAGATAGTGGTTTGACTACATAAATCTTTTTGTAATTCGAATTCTTTTTATTCTCTTTTTTTTCCCGTAACTTATCAATATCGTTTTTATTAAATACATAATATTTTGTCAATGCGTCAAACGAGAATGAATACCAAAAAGAAAAACAAATTATACTTATTTTACAATTATCAAATGTTAACTAATAGCTTCGTTGTCATCTTTGATTTAATCATGCTGTATTGTATAGCGAAGTGATATATGTGTATAATTACGTCTTATGTATTGAACAAAAGATATCATATATGATTTAATTTTTAGATTATGAATATGGTTGTGAAAAGGACTTTTGGCAAGATGATTCCACCAGATCAGATTCATCGTCTTGCACAAAATACACAGATTCTGGTAATTAAATTATATTAATTTTTCAAAGGATACAAAACTCTAACCTTATTGGTTGATATGCTTAGCAACCCTACAACACACAAAAATACCACATAGGGATGTTCACTATAAATCGATTTTAATTTTGTATGATCAGAGCAGATGAATGTGAAATGATTTCTATCAACTTAGTTCAGGAGTGATCTATATGCATGTCTGTTATATTCATTGAAACTTTACGACACAAAACACAACGCAATTTTGCGCGGACGATTGCGATGGCGGATCAAGTATTTTCAAAAGCTGGAGGGTTCATTGAAGGGTAGGGCCAGTAACCACTGTATTTCTTTCACTCACATGGTCGAAATCAAAACGTTTTCAGATGATACTGGAATTTTAGAATAAAGTCTATATCAGCTTCTTTTGATGATTTTGGTTCTAAATGTCCATATACATTTTTGGCGGGGTGGACTCCAATACCGGCTTATAGTATGGTGATGTGGGGCTAATGTTAGGATGGGCGGGCGAACGGGGGAAAGTGGGAATATAATTTGTGTAATCCTTTCCTCCTACAGTTTTCAACCCAGATTACGAAACTTCACATGAAGATTGTACATGTTTTGAAGTTGTGCACCTGCTGTTATGGAATTGTTTGAGAAGTTTTTTTCTGATTTTACCAGACATAGGAACTTAGTCATTTTTCAGGAATAATTAATGAAAGAGGGTACAAGTTTTGTGGAATCAACTCCATCTACAGTTTTCAACCAAAATCCATAAGACTTCATAGAAAGATTGTACAAATGTTGAAGTTATGCACCTGCTATTATGGAATTGTTTGAAGAATTATTTACCTTTTTCCGGACTTAGAACTTAGTTATTTTTCAGCAAAATTTACAACATTTTTTGTCATTGTAACTTCATTGTTAACATTCTACATTAATTAGTCACACATATTGCAGCCCGGCTTTATGAGACTAAGGTCCATTTTTTTTATATATATGTGCCAAAATAAGTCAAAATAGCACGTTACGACTATCTTTATGCATTAATAATTTGATCATCTGGTTAAAAATAAACCATAATATTGGTTAAACCTCAAAGAAAACACATGGAGATGTGATACTGTGAATAAAATATATTGTTAACATTCGTATCATGACCTTTAAATGTGATTTATGAGATCTTGTTACGAGTTACGCTTTTATTGACAGCGAATCATAATCAAGTGCTCAACATGGATTATAACTAATGTATTTCAGATCCATGCAGCAGAAATAGCAAACATATTAGAGAAAAATTCTGAGTTTACTAAAACCTCTGTTAAAACAGCTGTTCGTGCTGCCAGTCTTCATGAATTAGATGCATATGTAAGTTCTCAAATTTTTTATAGCGTTAATATAAACTTTTACTGAAAGTACTCCTCTTTTAGGGATATATTCAATTTCATTCTTACAGACTATGTATGGTGCAGAAAAATCCGTGAAATTCTAATTAGAAACAACAAAACATATCTTATTTTGTAAGATGTTTAAAAGAACAAGAGCTGTAATTAAATTCAAAATGAAATTAATCTCATATTATTGTAATATACTAGTATTATGCTTTGTTGGTTGTTCAGTACATTTAAAATATATAATTGTAAAAAGTCATCAAAGAAACCTTGTTATGCTCTTCTGTATTGCAAACAACAATTTTATAAATAAATACACAATTCTGATATAAGAAATGCACCTATGCGTATTTATAATTTTTATTTGCATGCTTGTTTGAAATTTTAAGTAAGTTGTGTGTGTATGTCTGTAATGTATTTTTACACAGTTTTAGCTGCTAAATCCCAGTTATTGTCACGTTTACCAGTTATAAAATTGAGAATGGAAATAGGGAATGTGTCAAAGAGACAACAACCCGACCAAAGAGCAGAAAACAGCACAAGGCCACCAATGGGTCTTCAACACAGCGAGAATATCCCGCACCCGGAGGCGGGCTTAAGCTGGCCCCTAAACAAAAATGTTTACTAATTCAGTGAAAATGGATGTCACACTATACTCCAAAACATATTAATGAACTAAAATTTAAAAAACCATACTAACAAAGGCCAGAGGCTCCTGACTTGGGACAGGTGCAAAAATACAGCGGGGTTAAACATGTTTTGTGAGATCTCAACCCTCCCTCTTTACCTCTAGCCAATGTAGAATAAACAAACACACACCAATACGCACAGTAAAACTCAGTTTAAAAGAAGTCCGATGTCAGAATAGGTAACAGAAAAAACTAAGCAAAATGACAATGATACATAAATTAACAAGGGACTACTAGCAGTTACTGACATGTCTGTTTTGGTTGCTCTCATATCCAATTTTGTCAGTATAACGGAAGTATAAACAACTGCCATACAAGTAGGAGGCGTAGCTAGTTATGAAAAACATGTTTAACCAACCATTTTCTTTAGAAAATGCCTATTCCAAACTAGAAATATGACAGTTGTTTTCATTCCTTCCGTTGGTTGATATGTAGAGCGTTTGATTTTGTGAGGTTTTATGGATTCCCCCCTTTTGGAATTTAATTTGGAGTCCGGTATTTTTGTTTAAGGGGCATTAGCTGTATAATTCATGTTTACCGATTTACCTCAAATTCTCATATTTGATTTATAACATACTAAAACGTGTTTTCAAATTATAAAAAGTCTAAAGTAAACAATTGACAATGCATGGATTCCATAATGTGTATCAGCACTTCGTGTGTATTTTAGTCTAGACGCCATCTAATTAACAATTGAGATGACCTCCAAGGACTTCCGACGACATAAATATAAATATAGATATAAATAGATAGCGAACAAGTGCAGTTGGATTTTTTTTTTAGATCTGTTTGATTTCATTTTATAGGTTAACAGATATGTTTATCATCGTTTTTACCTGTATAATAATGATTTTTTTGTGGATCGAATCAGTCTACAAAATGATTTACCCTTGTTTCAATGTTAACATTATTTTCCTTTTTATAGCTGAACATGCCTAGTTTATGTGTAACCCATCTCTAGCTAAGGGGTTAAATTAAAGGTCACATGAATACGGATTCAATGGGGTTGAATTATTCTTTTGCAAGTTAATAATTCATAAGCGATGTTTCTTATCTTTTTTTTTTGACAAAATTGAACAAAACTGGATGCTAAAAGCGAATTATTATTTCACTATCTCACTTTCATTAATGATTGAACAAAAAAATCATATTTATTTTTTTAAATATTTCGTAGCTAATTCCCCTTTAATTATTTTTATTTGAGATAAAACTCAAAAAATATTTAAAAACTTTTCTCTTTATCATGTTGTTTTATACAATGCACAATGTATATTAACAATTACCAAAACCAATGAATAAAATAAAAAATGTAGAAATTTTAATAAAAACAATTTCGATCAAAAATCATTAATGACATTTAAAAGCTCTTGCTGCTTGATTTTTAGAATCATTTAACAGCAAAAAGATATATAATAATTGTTTAACTACCAATACAGGATGACATCACGGATAACGTTATGTTTTTACTGGATCCTGCAACGCAGTATCGTGGTTGGTTCAAACAACCAAAATGTCAAGCTGTTCAGTTAGGAACACGTGTTCGACGAGGACCAAATTGGCAATGGAAAATTCAAGATTCGAACATGGCTGGTACCGTTATTGGTGAAGATAAAGATGGTATTAAATTTATCGATTTATCAATTGAACGCTCACATGACCAAATACAAACACAATAAATCTATATCATGTAAACAGTTTAGCTTTACAGAACAATACAAGCACGTATGTGAAATACTTGTAGAATGTTAATTTAGATATGCTGGATTTTGCCAGAAAATAAAATGTATTTCCGCTAAATGCCTAAAGTTATACATCTAAAAAAAGAATAGCTAGAAAGTAGAATAATGAAAATACTGAACTCCAAGGAAAATTCAAAACGGAAAGTCCCATATCAAATTGCAAAATTAAAAGCTCAAACATATCAAACGAATGGAAAACAACTGTCATTGTTCTGACTTGGTTCAGACATTTCCTTATAAAACAGCACAAGGAGGATTAAAAAAATATTGTTACTTGTATACCCAATGCTGTGAAACTAAATGAATTTTTTCTGGAATATGAAATGTTAATTAGTTTCTTAAAACAACAAAACGTCAAAGACAATTTCAATATTATTGCAAATAATAAGTGTGAAGTATGAAAATACATCAATACCACTTCAGGAATTTGTAATTTTAATCTTGAGTGCAAATTCTTTTCAGGAATGATATGGGTTGAATGGGACAGTGGGCACAAGAATTGTTATCATTATGATGAAGGCAAAAAACGTTTTGATATTAAACCTGTAAATGAACCTAGACGATTAGTAGATGAGATGATTGCTGTTGGATGCAAAGTTAAAAGAGGTATTGTAAAAAATGAATGACAAGAGGAGAATTGTCGATATCAATGACGAAAAAGTGATGAAATAGTTTAACAACAGCAGTATAAAATTCAGTCTTAATGATTGAATAACCAGTAAACGATATGGAGATTTTAACAATATCTATACTAGGAATGAACTACTAGTTTTCAAACTGTTTAACAGTGTGTTAGAATGTTTAAAGCACTTGTATGAGTTCACTTTGTATCAATATTATTATGTATTTGTAGCATTAGACTGTGCTACACGGAAACATTTAGCTGATTATGTCAAATGGTTACGCTTCTTTTATCTCCCATGATATCAAACAACATGGGAACAATTAATATCAACTGGATATGTATAGCAAACCACTCTGCCACAGCAATTGCAACCCATCAATACAATCAATCAAATAAACAAAGGCTTTTATAGATCAATATTTTGACTTTGATGACGAGAGTAATGTGTCACAAACATATCTCAAGTTTTAAATCAGTTCATGTCGAGACATAGTGTGAATGAACACAGCGCTCCATTCCAAAGGTTTTCCGAAAAAAAAACTTATGTCCTGAACAAGCAAAGTATTATGAAATATTAACACCCAATGAAGAAATATCTGACAAATCCATTAACGTTTCGATGGACTAACCGGATGTAAAGAGTACTCAATATACAAATAAGAAGATGTGGTATGATTACCAATGAGACAACTCTCCACCAGAGACCAAATGACGTAGAAGGTAAGCGATGTTCACCCTTAAATACAGCATATTGTGTTATTATTCACATTCACATTTTACATATCCATCTTCTTTGTATACGAATGAACGATCCAATCATTTTTGTTCATATCTAAAGGTAAAGATTGGAAGTATGATGAACAGGATGGCGGCAGAGGTAGCAGAGGAACTATACTGCGTGTTGAATCAAATGGAAAAGTTGTGGTATGTAATACTGAACACTATACCTGTATTAAAACACGAAATATTGAACAGAATAACACCCGTGAATTTAAAACAGTCGTGCTCATCAAGAAGTTAATTTAATGCAAAGTGGTTGTCTAACTACATACAACATAGATTTTTACAAAACTTAATATTTATCGAGAACGCATCCTGAATCATTTCCTGGTGTCGAATTTAAGAAAATTGATAATTCATTTATTAACATGTATTACATTGTTTGCTTCTGTAAAGATTATTTGTGGCAGCGCTTTACACACAAAAAAAGGGTAAGGAATAAATTCATCATAGATACTAGGTTTAAAATTTTTTACGCCGCCCCTGCTTAAAAGTCCATTTTCTAGTTCCCTTTTCTTTCCTTAGTCTATACATTTTGTACCAATGCTGATGAAAGTTTAGTAAATCAATGCTTAAGTAATGTTATTTGTTTTCACATAAACAAGTTGTAATTTTTACTATAAATGGCTGAGTTGAACATCATAATGGTTTTCCAGTTCTTTAAATGCTCTTTTGTTTTTATAGCTAAAAATATCTATGTTCACCTTACTTTCATAATTTTTATCTATGTAGGTTAATCCATGAAGTGCTTTGAACTCAATAAGGTCGTATAGATGTGAAAGAAGATGGAGCATATTTGGCTTATTTGGCCCTATTTACTCAACTAACTGAAAAATCGTAAATTTTCATGACTTATATCATTTTTCATACAGCAGAATAAAGGCTTTCAGACAATTCATATATTACAGGAGACTCGACTTCAAAACGGAAATTTTTTTTTAAATAATTTAACATAAATATGCATATTTCAAGAACATTTTAGCTTAATAAACGTACAACACAAGCGACGCACAAAATGAAAATACCAGTGAATAAATATTGAATATATAATACTATTCCTGTGTGAATATATATTTAGCGAGAGTTGTGCTCTATCATTTTGTTAGTCGAAGAGATGTCAAATAGTCATGAATTTGCGCTACTTCATAATTTTTCATGAATTTACTGTCATGTTATGCCTATATTATCCATGAAAAGGGTGTATAATGAACCAAAATTGCAATGTTATATCAAAGTACATAAATTAAATTTTTGATTATGCAAATCGGAGCAGTTTAAAACACATTTAATTTAAGGGCCAATTTTGACCAAATCGTACCTTCTCCTTTAACTTGTAACACTTAAATAAGTTTTTGGGGATATATTATCTCAATGATCATTGGTAAAAACACATTCAGATTTATAATAATAATACAAATACTCAGATACAATATAGCAAAAATAAATTTCAGGTTCATTGGGATCGAGGAAGACTTGGAATATACAAATTTGCATGTGATGGTTTATTTGATGTGGCAGTCTGGTGTGTAACTTCATTTTATTTAACTATTATGTTTTAATTAAGAATAAAATGTAAACGTAAAATCGCAGGTAGCATATGTTCTTTCAGCAGTGGTTACAGGTAACCGGAATTATATGGGATTATATATATAATATAGTTATGTACATAGTCAGAAATCAATTTGTTATCAATCAAAACACTTGATACTAAATTTTTTTCATATCCAGTTTGATAGTTTAAGTTTAATAACTGAAAAATGGAATTGTAACGACTGCAATATGCATCGTCTCAGATCAAGCTATCAAAAACCCATTTTTCAAATGAACCCACCTAAATGAATCGTACGACTAGTTAAGTCCTCGTCTTGTATTTGCTGTTTTTTTCCAGCGAGGATGGTCTTACAATAAGTTCACCGGATTTAATAGAGGATGAGCAAAATAGCCGACAGGAAATGATGTCTGATTTACCACTTATACTTCCTTCCCATACCAACAAAAGTAAGTATGCAGAATGAAAAGAAAACTTTCAAGTTTTGTGCGTCCGAATTACCATATGAACAATTATAATGATTAATTTTACACTGCTATCAATAAATGCAATAATTCATTTCGACGGGTGCCACATTGGGAGCAGGATTTGCTTACCTTTTCGAAGCACCTTTGATCAACCTCTGAGTCACTTTTTGGTGTGGTACATGTTTCTAAGTCTTTTTTGTGTAGTCTGTTGTTCGTACGTTGTTTTTCGTGTTTGCTATGGCGTTCGAATTATGAGTTTGAATTTCCCTTTGGTATCTTACGGCTCTTTTTTGATAATGTTTTACTATTTTCTTACGAATTTGTGTTTATGTCGATTGTAATTTTGATCAGATATAGTTAAGTGTTTTAGATATTTTAGTGTGGGTTCTTTTATGTAACTTAAAGTATTCATGATTATTTTTGAAAGCCTTACTGTAGGAACCCATACGTTAAAAGTGCTATCCAGAGTCGAAAACCATGTCAGTTATTGTATTTGTTTATATTGTTTTACTTGTTTTAAATAATTTGTTGTTGATGGAAGATGTCCGATAGTCTAATGAATTTGTTTACAAATTTTTCATATGGTATAGACACTTGTACGTTGTAGAAGACTTTATATTGGCCTCTACAATAAAGTACATTCTAGCTTTGTTGTGTTTTATGATTTCCAGTCACATTGTTGGCATATATTTTATTCAAATCTGCATACAAATACTTTCGATGAGACATTGATTCATGGCAATAATACTTATTGGTATCAAAATAAGATTCCAGTGGTTCATTTGAAAAAATAAAGGAATAAAACAACATTGTTAACGTTATGTATTTGCACAATGCATATTTCATCCACAATGATTTGAATATATAGCATTTTGCTTCAAGGCGGCCGCTGAACTATTTAAGTTTCCAATTAATATTTAACAGTGAAGCCAGTTAAATCTACCTGGCAGTACCAAAATGCTAATGGTAACTGGGAGTCTTATGATGAAGAAACTAATGTAAAGATAGACCGTGCTTACAGCAGAAAACCAAACGGTAAATGTATCGTGGAAATAAACAAAACAGTGTAAGTTTTTGTATATTTAAGCATACTAGAATCCTGCACTACATAGCTTATATTTTTTAGACAATCATTCGTCAAAACATTTACTAATGTCATTTTTTCACAAATGTACGAATTAATTTTGGAAGTAAAATTCTGGTAATAGAATGTAAGAATAGGGTGATTTCTATATCATCAATTTATGTTCTTTGATCTTAATTTCATGCAGACCATTCTTTGATTATTAATATTATCAAGTAACCTTTAGTTTTTGGTCGTCTGTAAAGTTGAAAGTACTGATTTAAGGTTTTTTTTTCTAAATGTATTTTATTATAATTTCTTCTACGTACTTTTAAATATATTATTATGTTGCCAATTATTGTAAAAAAATGGACTCCTATTTATCATTAGTGAAATGCTGGTGGGTGTCAGCTCTTTATTTCTATAGTCACAGGCCTGTTTCAAGATACCAAATCGTATTTTTGAATGACCTTAGGTTATCGAGTTCTTAATCGGCATATTCAGCATTTCTAAGCTCAAGATGTGCTCATGTGAACATACTATTGATTGGTGGGTCGAACGCATACTTCACTGTATTAGCACCAGCTGTACTTACTATCAGGCAATGTAAAGCTTTCTTAGAGATGATTTGTTTTAACTAGATATATAACCATAATTATATATCTTATCTAATATCAACCATGTTAAACATTTCATTACGTATTATATGATTTTAGGCATGTTGTACTGTTTTCAAAGATGATTCAAGAAAACCAAACAGACCATAGCTCAGTTCCTGTCCAACGATTAGGTAAAGTTATTGCATAAATATATTTTAATAATATTTTCAAAGTAAATTGTGGGATGGTATATGATTTTACAAAATATATGATTTGAACAAGACACTTTTATGAAATCAACATATAATTTAGTTTTTGATATCAAGAACACATGCAAAAAACATCTTTCTCTTTTCCTATAAAGCAGTCGAAAAATGTGTGTAGCTAGATCCAACTAACAACATTTTCATGTTCCCGTCCAATGTTAATTGAATGTATTCCATTAAGAATATAATAAAAGATATCACATTTTATTTAGGTCTGTTTCATATCTTAACCTACATATAGAACTTTGGCCCAGAAAAAAACATGATTTCGATATTCCTGTTGTGAACTTTTCATGCATTTGAATGTAGCTACATTTCAAAGCACCTTCAAATGGAGTATTTAATATATAAATTATTCCAGTGAAAACGATACACAAGGAATTGTATTTCCCTTTTATGATTTCCTTGATAGGGATTTGTTGAACATAGAGATGCTATTGTAACAGGGGTTGTTTATGAAATAGTGGAAGTAATCTCTTCGAAGGTTTTAACGACACCATCATGATTGTGTTGACCGTTATGGAAATCTGTATGACAGATGATAAACCATATGTTACACTTGTCGAAGTCAAAATGCCGTTCTGTTACATCATCGAAATCGTCATATCGCATCCCTGTTTTTTAAAGGTTATTGTATCGCTGTGGCGTAAGTTTTGTTTTCTGTGTTGAATCTGTGGTATTTTATTTTGCCTCTGTAGTTTCTAAAGGTTACAGTCTTATGTATCCTCTCAAGTAATTTTCCCACATGTAAATGAGTTTTTAGTCTTAAAGTTAAACTTGGTATGTCTTAGGGCTAGAATTTAGACAGGAGAAGCAAGTGTGTGATTCCTTATCATGGAATGCGTTTCAGCAACGAATTATACATGAAGTATCACAATGGAGGCAAAAGATAACAGCGGGAACCGCTAACCCTTCTGAAGCCAATGAGTTACCCAAGATATATCCTCGGGTTCATGTTGCTCATTTTTGTGATAGTATTCAGTGTCCTTAATTTCTTCGACTTATGGTTTTTGATTGTTCCTTAGTATGAGTGGCCGTTCGTGTCATTGGCGGTATGTACATACCGTATGAATTTTTCAACGCGTTGGTTTTTACTTTCAACGTGTTGGTTTTTACTTTCAACGCGTTGGTTTTTACTTTCAACGCGTTGGTTTCACTTTCAACGCGTTGGTTTTCACTTTCAACGCGTTGGTTATTACTTTCAACGCGTTGATTCGTAATTCATACGGTATGATAAACCAACGCGTTGGTTTTCAATTCCATACCGTAAGTTTTTCATTCCATACCGTAAGTTTTGCACTTTTGTCAACCAATCAAAATGTTTGTTACAAAGTATTTTCTAAAATTTTCTTATAAAAACACTTCATGTCTGCAGCTTCCCGATATTTTTTGCAAGAGTGGTAGACATGGGGAGTCATTGATTCCTTTCATCTGAATTCCAAACATTAAATTTCCAGAATTTCGTTCCCCTGTTACTTCATTTTATTTGTCAAGTATAAATTAACCATATTTTTAGTCATTTTTTTCTCCCAGTTCCTGACCCTAACTTATGATTCCCTCTGCTCTAACCCACTATTTTCACCCCCTCATTCCCGGGTTCCAATAACCATGCACACCTACTTATAATACTGTAAATTTAGTGTAAATACTTTACTATATATAAATTGTATATAATTTTTCAAGGAACCTCTGATAGCAATTTTAACCTATCTGAACGTTATAACTTTGAAACCCAATTGTTGTAACTTTCATGGGTGCAGCTCGTTTCGTAACATGGTCGTTTCGTACATAGACGATTCGTAACTAACTAGGTCGTTTTGTAACTGAGACGTTTCGTAACCTTATCACAATATATAATAATATGAGTTGTAGGTTATGGAAAAAATGTTGAATAAAAGTTTCTACAAAACATTTATTATTGCTTTATGGAAAATTATATCTTTTGAAAGAGTTTTCCACCTAAATAATTTTCTTTGTAGAGTGTACTGCTTGAATGTAAGCTCTGACGAGAACTCAGACTGTCAAGAAATATTTTTGGACTTATCATGTAGTTTTTATTAACCCTAAACATATATCAAACATGTGTACATTCCTCGAACTTTTTCTGATATATCATCGTCCATTGTATCTGAAGTGCTAATCCGGCTGCAATAATTCAGCATTTCCTTGAATCGATCTAAAAATCGCTCCCGGTCTCCCCTACGTGTAGCCATATAGTAAGTCAGTAAGTATCTTCAACAACGGAGAATACATTTTCCCGCCAAACTTAACAACAATCTGGAGTCCGTCCGAACGGTTAATTAGATTGTACTTTGTTAGAAAGATTTTGATTGGTAGACATAAGTGGAAAACTTACGGTATGGAATGAAAAACTTACGGTATGGAATTGAAAACCAACGCGTTGGTTTTTCATATCGTATTAATTACGAATCAACGCGTTGAAAGTGAAGACCAACGCACTGACAGTAAAAATCAAAGCGTTGAGAGTAAAACCAACGCGTTGAAAGTAAAAACCAACGCGATGAAAGTAAAAACCAACGCGTTGAAAGTAAAAACCAACGCGTTGAAAGTGAAAACCAACGCGTTGAAAGTAAAAACCAACGCGTTGAAAGTAAAAACCAACGCGTTGATAATAAAAATCAACGCGTTGAAGGTAAAAACCAAATTTCATACGGTATATTCATACCGCCAATGACACGAACCGCCACTCATACCTTAGTATCTTTGTATCTTTGTATTTTTTCCTTTTCAATTAATGCACAATGCATCAACATTATTAAAAATAATGATAGGTCGGTGCGTTTGTTTTTAAGTGGAAAAATCAGCAGCAAAAAGATGTTTCTGTTTTTATTCTCTTAAAATGTTTGGGAAAACTAATGGTAACTTGTACTGCAAACATGTTAGAAATAAAAAATTCAAAAAAATCAAACCTAGATAGAAACGAATTAGAATTTATATGCATCTCATAGTGTTCGATAGAAAATATATCATAACCATAATAAAGAAACAAAATTGCAAAAGAATCACCTCTCCTTGGTGAACTAATTTATAAAGGCTGACAAAATATAAAAATGTCTACTCACAACTAAACTTAATTTCTTCTTAAACGATCAGGGAAATACCGTGTTTGTTTAAATTTGAGCATTCTAAAAAGGATTTTAGAGCTTACTTAACCAAAGATATATATACTTTCTTTTCTCCGAGTCTTCGACAGGAAACTTTCTAACTATTCTTTGTTTTCTATTACAGATAAAACAACCGATCTAACAGAGTTGAAACAATGAAATCCAATTTTGACAATATGAAGTATGTAGACTAAAAGGATCAGCCTGATGGATGTTTAAATGTATATCGTTTTTATTATAGTTATATTTATAAGTACACATATTCATTCTATAATGTGCTATCTTAGAGAGAGAAAAATGCATAAAAGACATTTTGTAGTTATGTAACAAACAAAAACCTGCTAATATATTTGTTAGCAATACCTTTCCATAGAACACCATGTCCTGGTCAAACTTTACCATTTCTTTGTTCAGTAAATAGCGTCAAAACCATAATTTTGGCAAATATGTTAAAAAGTGCACATCATGATAATCTTGGGTACTAAGATCAAGTTGATTTGAACATAGATTCTTGGTTAAAATTCAACCAAAACTTTAACCTGATACGGCACGGACCAATGGACTAACAAACGGAAGCATACTAGAAAACAATAAAAAATTCATTCTTGACCTAATTGTTATTCATTAGTATATCAATATATCCTATAGGTTTATTTTAATGTATTTTATAAACTGTTTTGAATTTTTGTTAAAATTGTTTTTAGAAAGGGTAAATACTTTGAAAACGTATTTTTTTGTATATGCGTATTGTAGTGTAATTAGACCATCAGTATTTAATTTTTGCATAAACCAAGTCAGGTTATCTGGATCGTATGTAGCTCATTGTGGTTTTTCTCTGATAAAAGGAATTACCAAAAATATTGTAAAACACAACAGACTAAACCAACCACCAATTTGCAATACACAACTTTTCACTCCAAAAAAAAAGTACAAAGACAAAGAAGAACAAATCGTCTACTTGGCCTCATTTGATTGAGGCACAATATGTGGTTTGGGTTAAACCAGTTTTACGTACGCACAAACCTACCACTTTGCCTATCTTAACCATATGTAATAAAAATAAAACACGCCATAGAAACCTGGCACACTTCAGCTACATCAGTTTTCTAAACTGATCTTACGTTTTAATTTGCATTAGGGCAGTCTATTTGAAGACGTATGTGATAAGGATGATTATTATTATATGTGTTATTACTGATTTCTAATCACATGTTGGTGTCACAAAATGGCAATACAAAAAAAACTGAGTTTATGATGAGTGAAAGCGACAACGATGACAATGTGTTATTTAATTGTAATGGTATATTTTTTAAATATCTGTGATATATTTAAACAAATCTGTGATAAAAATATTAGTTTCAATAAATTTGTCTCGCATGTAAATCAAAGTTGAATAGTTTTTTTTAAAAAATGCAGAAAAAAATTAGACAGAAAAGATAATAGATAATAAAAGATAATAAGATGGTAAAAATGGAAACTGCTACCATCCCACTCACCCAATATATAAACCTTTAAAAAAACAGAGGTAAGAAAAAAGAAAAACAACAATACTTAAAAGCATGGTATGGAACGTAAATTATTCTATCCAATTCGGTGTGTGATTTATTGGCATTTGATACTTAAACCTTTAAATAGCCTTTTGTTACATTTGATATGCATGTTGTAAAATCTTGAAGGAAAATCTTTAAAGAAAATTCATCGAGCTGTTTAAGTTCTTTTGTACTAATTTTACGTCAATGACATGGAAATTGAAATGTTAAATAAAGGTTGTCAGCGTCGTGAATTAAAAATGTGTATTTGTATTTGATTATGTATGCTGATGCAGTTTTGATCAGTTAAAATACTTCTGATTTACAAAAATGTAATTGATTTTGTCAGCGCTTACTCAAATGAATATGACTTACATGTAGATATTGCGAAAACAAATACTGTAATAGAAATGGAGGGCTAATTAAAGTCAATAAGGGGTGTTTTTTAAATGGGAAACTAATAGACTCATTGGATCAATTTGTATATCCTGGTTTATTGTTCAGATATGCCGGTTCTTTAGTTCAAACTCAAAACATGTTAGCACATCAAGCAAAATAGGCAGTATTTAGTCTCTTTAGTAAAACATATGATGATTGTTTTAATCACGAAACTCTGGTTTCAATATTTGACAAATGTATATCTTGTATCCTAAATTAGATTGTGAAGTTTGAGGACACTGCAAAATAGATGATGTTGAAAAGGTGATTTAACCTTCTTAAAACATATTCTTAAAGTAATAATTCAACTGTTAACTATATTGTATTTTGTGAATAAGGAAGATTCCCTATATTTGTCAATAGATATTGTAAAATGCTGAAATATTGGTTCAAACTATTATACATTGATAACTTTAAAGTGTTGTTATGAAGAAATCTTATAAAGGTCTATTGTTAAATATAATGAAAAGTACAACTGGGCATGTAAAATTAGATATATTTTTTAACAATGTGGAAATTATTATGTATGGTATTACCAAGGTGTTGATAATACTGAATTATTTCTACACGAATTCAGAGAAAGCGTGAGGAATAATTTTGCTACTGAAATGAATGCTTTTTTTTAAAAATCATCGAAATGTTATTTTTATAGATTTATTTATTATCATATGGGTTGCAATTATATTAAGGACGCACTGTGAATTATATATACATATCGTTTCTTCGGAAATGCCTGTACCAAATCGGGAATATGGCAGTTATTTTTCACTTGTTCCGTAGATTGATAAACGTTTGATTTTGTCAGTTTTCATGGACTTCCCCTTTTGGAATTTGCCTTGGATTTCGGTATTTTTGTTATACTTTTTTTATCTTCTCAAAGCTTAACTGTAGAAAACGGTAGATATTATAACACTGATAGACAAATGCGTTTATGTCAGATGTGTGATTTAATTGAAGACGAGTATTTTATTTTAGTTTGTGAAAAAATATGCCAGTTTAAGAAAAATTTATATTAAATTAAATTGAGAATGGAAATGGGGAATGTGTCAAAGAGACAACAACCCGACCATAGAACAGACAACAGCAGAAGGTCGCCAACAGGTCTTCAATGCAGCGAGAAATTCCCGCACCCGGAGGTGTCCTTCAGCTGGCCCCTAAACAAATATATATACTAGTTCAGTGATAATGAACGCCATACTAAACTCCAAATTGTACACAAGAAACTAAAATTAAAAATAATACAAGACTAACAAAGGCTAGAGGCTCCTGACTTGGGACAGGCGCAAAAATGCGGCGAGGTTAAACATGTTTATGAGATCTCAACCCTCCCCCTATACCTCTAGCCAATGTAGAAAAGTAAACGCATAACAATACGCACATTAAAATTCAGTTCAAGAGAAGTCCGAGTCTGATGTCAGAAGATGTAACCAAAGAAAATAAACAAAATGACAATAATACATAAATAACAACAGACTACTAGCAGTTAACTGACATGCCAGCTCCAGACTTCAATTAAACTGATTGAAAGATTATGTCTTCATCATATGAATATCAGGCACAATCCTTCCCGTTAGGGGTTTAGTATCATACCATCATAACATATATGAGAAGAACATAACCCGTGTCATGCCAACAACTGGTTTTTAAATAATTGTGTTTAGTGCCGATGCAAAGACCCTATAAGTGAATCAATATTAACGCCAAAATATGCAATCTTTAATAACCTGACAACAGTATCGTAACTATATCCCTTCTTAATAAGTCTATTTAAAGGTTTTATTAGCTTCAGAGGTGAATACTGACATTTTTGTGCTTTATAAAGAATATTTCCATAAAAAATTGGATGTGAAATACCTGAACGTATAAGAAGTCTGCATGTTGAGCTATATTTACGAATGATGTCCTTATACCGATGATAAAATTTAGTAAATGTTTTGACTAGTTTGTGATATCGAAAACCCTGGTGTAATAATTTTTCAGTAATACATAAATTTCTCTCGTTAAAATCTAAAACATTGTTACATACACGAGCGAATCGTACAAGTTGAGATATATAAACACCGTAAGATGGTGACAAGGGAACGTCACCATCTAAAAATGGATAATTAACGATAGGAAATGAAAAATCATCTCTTTTGTCATATATTTTAGTATTAAGCTTTCCATTAATGATATAGATATCAAGATCGAGGAAAGGGCAGTGGTCATTGTTAGTATTAGCTTTATTTAAAGTAAGTTCAACAGGATAAATTTCTTTAGTATACATACTGAAGTCGTCATTATTGAGAGCCAAAATATCATCCAAATATCTAAAAGTATTATTAAATTTGTGTATCAGATGTTGTTTCGATGGGTCTTTGCTGATTTTTGTCATAAATTGTAACTCATAGCAATACAAAAAAAGGTCCGCAATAAGTGGTGCACAGTTAGTCCCCATTGGAATTCCGATAACCTGACGATATACGGAATCTCCAAAGCGAACAAAAATGTTATCTAGTAAAAATTCAAGGGCATATATAGTATCAAGGCATGTCCAATTGACATCGTTTTTTTGTTTATTGCTACTAAAAAATGACCTAAAAGAGTTTGAACATATATATTCACATTCTGACTTTATAAATGCCCATTTAATTAGGTGTGTGAATTTTTTCTTAATGAGAATGTGAGGCAATGTGGTATATAGGGTAGAAAAATCACCAATAAAACATGTTATTAGAGAAGACCATCCAGTTTCAAACTTGTATAACTATTGTCTGCATATGTCTATACTGTCAAATAATTGATTAATTTAAGAAAATATTTATATCTTGATGAAAAGATTCGTAATTGTTGACTGTATTGTATATTCTCTGCCGTTGTGATTTCAAATTGTTTGTACATTAATTATTGGCTGGACACTAATGCTATTGTACTGTGAATATTTGTTAAATGTATATATTCTATGAGCTATTACAAATAATGTTAATATCTTTATTAAAAAATCAATAAGGTTGAAGTATCATTTGCAAATTATGCTCCCCTCCCCCTGAAGAAAATGCATTCAGGAATAAATAATAGAAAACAAACGTTTATTACAACGTTATAGAATGACAACATATGCATATTTTGCAACTGCCGTCGTCAGAGTTATACTTACACAATTCCACAATTTCCAAAATGTGATAATTTGTTTCACTTGTTTAACTCCGTATTAAGAAAACTAACGGCTTTGTCTCACTATTTACTTTGCGAATATAGATATAGTGCTTACATATCATAACTGGATAAATGACCATACCTGGAAACTTCATTGATGAGTTTATCCCACCCAGTCCTTACAGTGTTGTTTCCCAAATCATTTTTGTTGGCGTTTTGTTAGATTTATTTGTATGTATGTTTGAAATTTTTTTGTCAGTTGTGATGTATGTTTACACAATTTTGGCTGCTGGATCACATTTACCTATTATGTCTGTTTAGGTTGCTCACCCAATTTTGTCAATATAACGGAACTATAAACAATTCTCATACAGGTGGGAGGTTTAGCTAGGTATAAAACCAGCTTTAAACCACCATTTTCTTCGGAAAATTCCTGTAACAAGTCAGAAATATGACGTTTGTTTTCACTCGTTCTGTTGATTGGTAAGGTTTGATTTTGTTAGTTTTTATGGAATTCTCCCTTTTGAATTTACCTTGGAATTCGGTATTTTTGTAACTCCTTTGCACCATCTTACGGTGTTTAAAAATCCCTACTCGTTTGATTTGCCCGTATCTGTAATGACGTTTTGGATTTCAATGAACATAATCTAGGTATTACTGGTAAATTATTAAGTCAAGGATTTCGTTACCACAAATTACTTAAAAACTTTGCTAAATTCAGAGATACAAAAATTTGTTTGGAAGTATGGCTTTACTTACTACAAACCGGCTGGAACATCCTTATTTTTACCATGTTGTTCATCGAGCCCGTAAATTTAGATACGATCCGGGTAAACTTATAAATCCTTTAAATAATCTTATTCTTCTAAAAGATGATCAATTAAACACTGTAATAATATCTTTGAATATCGTTTGTATCTGTATAAATATTGATTTGCTTACAACAGGTTTAAACCCAACTAAATTATATTGTTAGATATACACATATGTACATTCACTATCATACAATCCGATGAAGCGTATATTTTGGCATTACACAAGGTCATGTTTCCCCTGACTGTTAATGACGCCTTTATACTAAATCCATTGTATGTTGGATTTGTACTGATTGATATTTTAGTCTGAGATACTTGATTATTTTATTAGTTGTTATTAGCTTTGAGCTAGCTTTCAGTAACTGCGAGTACTCTCAGATATGTACTTTTTGTCTTTTGTGTTTTTGTTGTCTTTGTTGTGCTTTGTTTGGTTTATTTTCGATTTATGAGTTTGAATGTCCCTTTCGTCTCTATTTTACACTCTTTTCAATTTATTTTATTGTGTATTCTTATGTTGTATTGTTACCCCACTGTCCGGGGTTAGTGGGTGTGTTTGGCGTAAGCATAAAATTGAGAATGGAAATGGGGGATGTGTCAAAGAGACAACAACCCGACCGAAGAGCAGAAAACAGCCAAAGTCCACAATGGGTCTTCAACACAGCGAGAAAATCCCGCACCCGGAGGCGGGCTTCAGCTAGCCCCTAAACAAAAATGTGTACTAGTTCAATGAAAATGGAGGTCATACTAAACTCCAAAACATATAAATGAACTATAATTAAAAAACATACAAAACTAACACAGGTCAGAGGCTCCTGACTTGGGACAGGCGCAAAAATTCGGCGGTGTTAAACATGTTTTGTGAGATCTCAACCCTCCCCCTATACCTCTAGCCAATGTAGAATAAACAAACACACAGCAATACGCACAGTAAAACTCAGTTTAAAAGAAGTTCGAGTCCGATGTCAGAATAGGTAACAAAAGAAACTAAGCAAAATGACAATGATACATAAATTAACAAGGGACTACTAGCAGTTACTGTACATGGCAGCTCCACATCTCAATTAAACTGATTGAAAGATTATGTCTTCATCATATGAAAATCAAGCACAATCCCTCCCGTTAGGGGTTTAGTATCATACCATCATAAAATATATGAGAAGAACATAACACGTATCATGCCAACAACTGGTTTTAGAATAAATGTATTTATTTTCGATGCAAAGACCCTATGAGTGGATCAATATTCATACCAAAATATGCCATCTCTAATGACCTGACAACAGTATCGTAACTATATCCCTTCTGAATAATTCTGTTTGAAGGTTAAGTTAGCTTTTGAGGTGAATGCCGACATTTTTGTGCTTTGTATAGAATATTACCATAAAAAATTGGATGTGAAATACATGAACGTATAAGATGTCTGCATGTTGATTTATATTTACGAATGATGTTTAACCCCGCCACATTCTGTATGTGCTTGCCCCAAGTCAGGAGCCTTTATTCAGTCGTTTAATGCTGTATATCATAACATATTTTTGTTTTTTTTGTTTTTTTTTTTCGTTTGAAGTGTTTTACATTTTGCATTTAGGGGTCTTTAACAGCTTGCTATTCGGTATGGGTTTTGCTCATTGTTGAAGGTTGTACGGTAACCTATAGTTGTTAACTTCTACGTCATTTTGGTCTCTGGTGGATATTTGTCTCATTTGCTATTATACCACATTCTCTTATTTGTTTATTTTTTTTAATTGAAGTAATGAGAATATCCTGCCTATAGCCCTTGCTGTTGAGAAATGCGAGAACTCCAGATCCAGCGATAAAAAATGTAAAAAAAAATTTGAAAAACCGATCGTTGCTACTAGAATTTTCACATGTACCTTTTCTAATATATAGTCTTACCTGTCTGAAAGTTTAAAAGCCATTGTTCCAGTAGAAATCCAAATATATTCATTATCTCAATGTCGGATATTTTAATTGACTGTACAATCGCTTGCGAGTTACTGTACAATCACTTGGGCCTTTCCTGTACAATCGCTTGGTGAACTTCAAAAATTTGGTAAACAAAAATTGAATGGATGTAGAAATTATGTTAGTTGGCTTGATTTGTTTGATTCGTAGTTCAATGATTCAAAATATTCTAAATAAAGACTGTCCCTTATCACTGATATTTTCGATTGCAGGTTAAATTAATGACGCAAATGTCATTAAAATTATTATGAATCATCTTATTTTCGTGATATAGCTTTTTGTTTAAACATATTTTATTTGAAAAACATGAAACACAAAATACGATTACAGTTATACACAAAGAGAATTGGAAACAATATTGTTCTTATATTAATCCGTCTCCCTGTCAACAGAAAAAAAGGAAATGACTGCTATTCAAATGGTTAAAAAAATGTCACCAGGATGTGTTTCAAGGCTGTACCTATCAAATCCGAGAAAAAGAGGAAATTATTATAGACCAAAAAGTGATTTGATATATTAATGGAACAGAAGAGTTTCTAGTGTTTACGTTTTCGGGCATGTGAATAATTATGACGCTCAAGTAGGAAATGCTTACTGCTATCTATTCTGCGTCTATGTCTGCCACATTCATGAACAGATTTTACTTTCCATGAGATTTCTGTTATATTAATGTTCATTAAAACTACTGCAATCCAATGCAAAATATGTCTGGCATGAGGTTTTTTCTCCATATATATGTTACGATTTGATAACAGTAATTTGGTCTTGTTATCAAAAGTTGATTTAAACTTCAATTATACTACGGGTGCCACATGTGGAGCAGGATCTGCTTACCCTTTCCGAGCACCTGAGATCACCACCGGTTTTTGGTGGGGTTCGTGTAGCTCAATTTTTAGTTTTCTATGTAGTGTTTTGGGTACTGTTGTGTTGTCCTTTCGACGTAAATCGTTTTGTGCCATGGCATTGTCAGTTTATTTCGATTTATGAGTTTGAATATCCTCTTGGTATATTTCGCCTCTCTTTTACAGGACATTATATTTACATATAAGATGCTGATGACTGTATATATGTTGAATTATTGAATGTATCAAAAGTGTATGGTATCAGTAGCCCTGTAACTGTAATCTTAAAGTGAAATAATACAAAGTTTTGAAAATAAAACTCAGTGTTGATCATACATGTACATGTAGCATGTATGCATATTGTTAATGTTTTATTCTAATGAATAAGAACTGATGCATGTGTGTTTGTTGTTATGTAGTCAGTATAAGTTACCTACACATTTGCCGTTAGCATTTAGATTGCACCAATCTAACCATCAGCTGGACATCATTATGCCAAACTTTCTGCATTAGTTTATTATCGTGTATTAAGATATAGCTACTAGAGATTTACCATAGTTACAAAAAAAAAAATATAATTTGGTACGGCAGGCGTGCATTTCTTCTAAATAAAGTTCATCCGTGGTGCTCTTCACAAAAGACTTAGAGGACTAAATAAAGCACGAAATTGAAGACCATTTAAATCGGAAATTCCGTAAAAATTGAACCAAATACGACTTAGGCAATATATTCATAGACATAGAAATTCCATAGCGTTTCGAATAAATCAACTTATTATGTACACAAGATTTACTTAACTTACAGAAAATGAACATATCAATGACAAACATGACAAAGATACGATTTTGTACGCCAAACGAGCGCTAGCGTTTCGTCTACATAATACTCACCAGTGTCGCTATAATTAAAAACACTTTGAAGGCTAAATCGAATTCGAAGTTCAAGAGCATTAAAAACCGAAATTTCCGTAAAGTTAAATCAAATAATCTATGTTTTGGGATAGTAAAATGCCGCATGACGTTATGTTTTTATTATTGTAAAAAAATAGGGCTGCATTTGTACTTTGATGAATGATTTATGAAAGCTTATGACTTCTAAAGGTAAACAAGTATAAATTAAATTCAAGAAAAAGGTTTGCATTGAGGTCAATGGGAGATCTTTTATTGAATTTCTCCCTATAAGGTACATTGCAACATTGCTATTAATAACACGAGATTTCCCACTGATGTTCTATATTTACCAGACTTGTTAAAATCACGTGACTGATAAGAATTAACAACCGCGGTATAACAGATAGTAGATCATAGTAACCAAAGGGGTCTTAATTGTCACTGAGACAAAAATTGAATAAATCCCTTGACTTTAGTACAAAGATTTGAAGATTATAAACAAAACTAATATATCGTTGTTATTGCTCTCGATATTACTTCCATGCTTGCACCAAGGCATGTTTGGGTAATGCCAAAAATAGCTTTCAATAGTTTAGGAGGAAGTGGGGCTGTGGGGTCTTATATAATGGTAATGAAAGACAAATGCAGGATATAACATTTCATAAATAGCATGTTAAATATAAATGATTAAAACAATAATGCTAAACAAAACAAAAGTTGTATAAAATAAGATAAAGTGCAAAATAAGAAAAAAAATATTTCTTATAATAAAAACTTAAACGGAACGGTTATTATTCTTTATTAATTTATTAATCTTAATTAATTTTTGAATTGTTGTCTAACAAATTTTGATAATATTTTATGTTATACTGTTAGATTATACGAAGCTAATTTTTTAGGCACCGTAATGTATTCAAAAAATTAAATTACCGCTGTTTCTTTTGATTGTTGTATTCCAATGTACTGCTAGGTGTAAATGTAACTTTGCATTTTTCTGGGTTTTTATTTCGACACCGGAGACAATGGACAATGCAATGACATGTAGTCCCCAATTATTACATTAATCATAATTGCATTTTTTTTATTTGCTGTCCAAATGATCAAATGATATGACAGTGAATTCTTCTTTCTTTTAGGACTAAGAAAGATGAACCTTTTGCAAACGTCCACTTTATTTTTAACTTGTATGTCCTATAAAAAAAAGTGCGTATTTCAAAGTGTTTGTAATTTATTCGTCTCTTATGTTCATACAAAAACATTTTTGGTAGAGTGTTCAAAGTAGATGTTGAACGTTCGAGATTCAAGACATGACAGAGTTTTTAATGTGCTTTCTGGGATGTTTACATCATCTTCTGTTGCCAGTCCAAATAAAACGTTTGGCCATAAAAGACTTAATAAACGAGGTTATAATCATAATAATATTGCCGTCAGTTAAATCTAATTTTAGAACATAATTTTCCCATTGGAGTTATTTATAAAAATTCATTTCCGGGGCAGACATGAATGATATTGTCAGCTGAATGATACTGATGGACTTCCTTGAAAACAGAAAGTAAGATTTTTTTTTAATGTATCAGTAGTCTTTTATGCAACTGAATATTGGTAGTTTCCTATAGAAATGCTATAACGATTTGTTTTTATCATTTTAAACGAGATCATACATGGAATAATCATCCTACACTCCACGAAAGAAACCTGTTGACACTGTCATCAATCTGCCAGCAAATGTGTCAGCCATTGTTTAAGTGTAAGCAGTAAACTTGAAATTTCACTGTTTTTGTTCAAAATGGAAAAGAATTTATACAAATAAAATGAAGATTTTTAGAACTTAATACTTCAAGGGAAGTTAATTGTGTTCTAGTACATTTTAACATTTTTACAGACATTAAATGAAATGATGAGAGATTCTTAGAATAATTAAAAGTTGGTTTTTTTCCCTTTGTTTGTAGCGGACAAAGATAGAGATCTTGTTAATTGCGTTCAGACTATCTGATCATGTCGTTGACTATATCAGATATGGTAAGTGCATGATTTAATAAAATTCAGCTTACTTTTTTTTCTCTTTAACTTTGCCTTTTCTACTGAATTCAATTTTTAATCTCTTTCAACCCTTAGAGAGACTTATTACTGATGAAAATGTGAGAAAATATTCCAAAATAATAATTCTAATTTCAGGAAGAAGACTGTTTTGCTCTTTTTGATTCTGTCCCTTTGTATCGTTCAATTAAGCTGTTCACTGTCCATTCATTCTTTTTTACTTATCAATTGTTTCCTGATTTAACACATCAATATCTTCCAAAGATTTTCAATACCTTGCAAGAAATCTGATCATGGATATCAGGACTACATCCAGCATATATGTTTTGTTTAACAAGTTTACTAAGATTGTATGTGATATAATTAAGGTAGTTTATAAACCAAAGAACATTATCTGAATGTTTAAGTTGGAATAGAAGTCAATTAATACTGGTGATCTAATTTAGTAAACATATTTCACAGAAATATAATTATGTAGTTCTAATTCTATATTTCGTACCCGTATTAGTTTAAATGGGGATATGATTATTATGTTACGAATGAAATTAATAATCAATTATCGTTTAGAACAGGTACATTTGAAAAAAATGAAGTTTTTGCATGTTTTTTTTCTAACTTTTTCTGTCTTGTTTTAAAATTATCTACATATCTTTATTACTCAATTCAGTCCTCTGAAATAAAAAAAAAATAAATGATGTGTGCAATTAGTGGTACAATATTGACCTGTTCATCTTCTATTAAGAATCCATTGGTTTTTTTTTTCTTCTTTTTCTTGTTGTTAGTTTTTATTATAATAATTATTTTATTTCAATTTGAATTTGCCAATCTTGTACCAGACGGTTGTATTTGAAACTGCAAAAGATAGTTAAAATATGACAAAGCACCAATTAAAAAAAAACCGCACCACAACGTTCTTAAATGAAGCAAGACAAGACCAACATAAACGAAACAGTAACGAATTACACCGTTCTTAAATTGAAGTAGAATAAGAGCGCATTCTAAAAATGTGCACACGTTAAACGCTTGTGTGGCGATTCATTCTAAAAATATGAACACGGTCAATATTTTAAGACTTATAATAAAGATAGAAATAGGCATTTAATTATATTACATCAATTTAATACTAAACCAAGAGTCACAAGTTAAATATCACTTTTCCTATTGTTTTGTTTAACAAATGTTTCTATGCATTGTTGTAGCGTTTAAATGGGGATCAGGTGAAGAAATGGCTGTAACGTGTTATTGAGACAAAACCAGACTAAAACACCATATGATTGTTAAGAAAAAAAAAGAGATATGGGGTTTACCCAACGACAATAAATAGTAAAACGACATCCAGAGAGCAACATGCAGTTTTCAACATAAGACAGAGTTCCATACAATTGGCAAAGCTCTTAATTGTTCAAAGTCTATACATAATGTGAATGCATTAGAAAATATAACCAATGATCTGCTATTTACTTAACAAAAAATATCAAGATATGACATACGACAAATCAAGTGCATGCAAATGTAATGGTGTTAATCCAGTTTGTATCAATCTCAAAAGAGATTTAATACCGATCAAAATTATTTCATCCTAAAGTTAGCATTGTAAAATAATTATATGTTGATGATAAGATCAGAACAGTAAGAGTTAAATCAAGCTTTTTCATTGAAATTGCTTACAGTTCTGAAAATATTCTCATGCAATGTTTTAACGTTGTTCTGGAGAATACTTAAGAATTTGGTATATGTGTTATTTGTTTGCGTTAGTTAAATATAGTACATTATATCAAAACACTACTTTATGGCTGTTTGTTAATCAAATGACTGGATCCTTATAAAAAAAATATAGGTATATGTAATTACAGTGTTTTAAGCTTAAACCAGAACATTTAGAATGATATCAAGTTTTTCGGTTGTTATTTCTACGCATTTTTTTAGTGAAACTTTGTCCTAGAGAGCACGTGAAGTCATTGGTATTCCGTTTTATTGGTACAAAACCACCCCTTTAAAACGCCACTTGAATGTTGTTTTCCTATTCTAATGACTGAATCCTCATAAAAAAATCTATGTTACGTAAATAAGCTGAGGTGAACCCCTAAGCTTTTATGCATGCTTCGTTCCATATTTGAAAATGTTTTTTCTCAATTGTACTACCTTTTTTATAAATGGATGGACAACTTAAGGATAATTTTGTACCATTCGTATCGATAAAATTGACTTGGAACAGGTACATATGGAATACGGTAGGGTTAAAAATGTTAGCAAGTGTTCCACCGTCCCCTTACCTGGAATACTAATGTAACACCACAATATAGCACCAACGGTAAAATCAGTTGGAACAGGCTCGAATCAATGCTATGTGACATGCATGTATTAATGTATGTAAGTTATAGTTATATGACATGCATGTATAAATGTATGTAAGTACGTTATATGACATGCATGTGTATATGTATGTTAGAACGTTATATGACATGCATGTGTAAATGTATGTTAGTGCGTTATAAGACATGCATGTATAGTCGTGCATTAATGAAAGTCTGTGCGTATGATTGAATCTGTTTTGCTGCATAATCTTATACTCTTTTACAAAATATTCGAGATATATTGTTGTGCATATATTGGAGCTAAAGACTTTGCACTATTGACATATTTCTATTTATATTACTGGTTTAACATCTTTTTAGGTAGAGACTTTAAAGAATGCTATGCAAGATCTTCAACTGACACAGAACCGTGTCAAAGAGAGAACAAATGTTAAACACATGTAAGTTTGTAAAAATTCGTATCTTCACAAGAATCAAAAAATATTTAAGGTTGATAGCTTAGTACACCAAACTCGCATTTCTAATTTTCGGGCGCATATAAGGTGCTTCTGCAAGATAGATTATTTGTGACTGACAGTTTACAAGCAACGGCAACGATCATTGCACGTTATGAAAACTTACACCTAATTTTGTGTGCATGTATTTCTCATTTTTAGTAGCACGACTTCATAATTGTTTGTTATCTTACAGCAAAGCTGGACTCAGTAATGAGATAAAAGGACTTGAAGGTAGATTTTTTTTCTATTTGCATGTTTTCAATAAAATATGTGAATAATACAATATAATATACATCTGGTAAAAGAAAAGTTTTGGATTATCTTAAAGAATGCCATGTACATTAAATGCTAAACTATTATTTACAAAAACAATTATTGATGCCACACAGTTATGCATAGTAACACAGACGACGTTTAATTTAATTGTCATTTGACAAATCGACAAACCTCAGTAATTCTTTAACATTGATTTTAGTTGTTTTATAAAGGGCGACCGTTTTATGAACATGTATATAACGTTTTATAAAAAAAAATGAGACTGACGAAGGCGATTTGTTTAGACAAAATATTTGTCAACACGATTTTATAAATCCTTTTCGTATAGTACCATCTTATAAATATAATCTAGAAGGATATGGCAAGAAAGACCTAAATGTGACCATAAATGTTAAATTGTGTCATATTTAATTAAAATCCAGTTCTTAAAATTACAAAACTTAGGATAGACAAAAGATTAAAAAAGAAAACATTTCTTCCTGCAAATTGTATAGATCGATAGTTTTGAAAGCGTTTGAAGTATCATAGTATACCGGTCTTAACCAATTTTGTTGTTTTTAATTTAGTACATTTAAAAGGACCATATCTCTGGGAAACATTGACAACATCCTTCGACCAAAGTTAATTTGTGACGGCAAATTTATGTCAAGTTCTTCTGAAAAGTTATTTTGTCAATGCATCTGTTATCTGATGAGGCAACATTTAAAATATAATAATTTCTATAATAAATAATTGCAATGTTGACGTCATAATGACATTTAATTCGTATACACTTGTTGACTGTAATTATAACCCTTCTTGAAGCTACTCTTTTACAGTCATTGAAATGTTAAGTTCAAGGAAGAGAATATTGGTGTTTCCAAAGCATTTTTTATATAACTGATATATTAACGTAACAATGATTATGTTTTATATAAGGAATCGAGGAGCGTTTAGCAAATTTTGAGAATATTTCATGCAGAGATTCTTCTCAGCTGCAAGCAATACTGGGAACAGCAGAAAAGTTATCCGTGAAATTGGATATAGTTTCTATTGCCTTTAAGAACAGAACAAGCACTTCCAAACCTACAGAATTGAATAAACAAAGATTAACATCTGATACATATTCAAACCAGATAGAGCCAAATCAAGCAAAAAAAGAAACTATCACATCCTGTGAGCAGAATGTTAAAGAAATACATGGAAAAGGACAGAAAAGTTGTTCGAAATTCCAGAACGATGTAGCACCAGAAAAAGTAACAGACATGCATCGCCGAAGTCAGATAGAAGATAATGTCAGCAAAGTAGTTATTTTAAAACAAGAAAAGCAACCAAAGATAATACAATTTATAAACGGTTTCAAACATTGCAGAACCGATGACGACCTTGACAATAGAATGTGTTATAAGAGAAAGAAATGCTGTTTTCAAGGAGAAATGTTACATCCACTAATTGCAACAACCGAAAACCAGAATCATGAAGAACCTACGCCCAACATAACCATATATTATTTGAATGAAAGGTATCACATTATTTACAGATAAATTTATATGAAAACATACAGGAGATCTTAATACGTGTGTATAATAATAAAAGCATAAGTTGAGTTACATAAGTACAAGAGGTGTAAACGTCAGTTTGAAAACAAACTAGAATCATTTTGAAATAGAATAGAAAATGGAAATGGGGAATGTATCAAAGAGACAACAAACCCACCAAAGAGCAGAAAACAGTCGAAGGCCACCAATGATGGGCCTTCGACGAAGCGAGAAAATGTCGCACCCGGAGGCGGGCTTCAGATGGTCCTTAAACAATGATTATACTAGTTCAGCGAAATGGAAGCCACACTATACTCCGAAACATAGAAATGAACGAAAATTAAAAAGAAACTCAAAACTAACAAATGCGAGAGGTTCCTGACTTGGGACAAGTGCAAGATGTCAGAATAGGTAACAGAAGAAACTAAGCAAAATGAAAATAATAAACATAAATTAACAAAGGTTTACAAACATTTAGAGGTGCACATACGAACCATAATGAATTATGTCTTCATCGTATATTTTAAGTTCTTAATCACCCATAATATCTTTGTTTGTAATCGCCCATACTATCGTTGTTTGAAATTAACTGAGAATTTATAATTTAGAAATAGAAAAGTGGACAACATCAAGATGTATATTCAGTAATTTTAGGAGTAATATAAACCATTAAACAAAGCATGTAAAAATGTTGCCATTGAATCACAATATTTTTCAAAACCTTCTTTTACGGCTTTGTTGGAATTTAAAAATACCTTGTATCATCATATACACTTTCGTTTCTTTGCTTTTGTTCGATACGGAATGACTCATTACAGTATGGGACAATACCACTAAAAACTTGGTGCGTCCGAAGCACCTGGATTGACCTTTGTCCTCAGGAACGTTCAAAAACCGAAAGCCAAGGGTGTTTAAAATTTGTGGAGCTCAATCACCAAATGTGACCTAAACAATATAGGCAAAATAGTCCGGGGCAACTTTGCCTGATGGAGTTTGGACCATTGATTTTTTAGGAATTCCTATATTTTAAGAAATGTATGTAATTAATCATGTCAGTGCTTACGGCTATTTTGTTTGTCAGGAGACAAAACAAGACAAACGTTAGATCATCTGAAAGACCGAGGGGAATAATGACATTGGCTCAGAATGCTGTAAGAGGTAATTATTACAAGATAATCGTAAGTTTTATGACCAATGACAATAAATCATGTTAGAACCGAAGCACAGATTACTGAACTGAAATTAAACTCATGGACTAGCACTGAAATAGTAGTGATATCGACTCATTGCTAGTAAATGAAAAAATACCACTCAATGAATTTCGTACGTACGTAGCGCTTTTCTGGATTGACTAACATCAGGGATGCTCAAACCAAACAATTTTAAAAGCAGAGAGGATAAATACATATATATGTCATTATCTATGTTTCCGAAAGAGACAGAAACAAAATATTGATTGATAAGGTTATGTCATATCATATATTTGACGGTCTTTGGTGAACAAAAAAATCAGCCCATAAGTGACAATCATAAGGTAATTGGTTGGTGTACACTAGTCCAAACTAGGTGAACAATAATGAACAAATAAAAACAATACTAGTAAACAGTTTAAGTTCAAAATATTGACTATGACAGTAATCTAACATTACAAAGTAAGTTTAAAATGGTAAGTAAAGCAAATAACAGAATGTATTTAGCGACCTCAATCAAAAGGCAATCAAACATTTTTAGCAGATTATAATACAGGAATAAGGTAATTTAAAAACAACAAGTAGATGAACAGACTATTAAACGCAGACACATACAAATATAGTTTGTTCTTATGTAGTGCTGTAACACAACTGTCCCAGGTTACGGGAGGGTTGAGCGCTCACAAACATGTTTAACCCCGCCACATTCTTTATGTGCCTGTCCCTCGTCAGGAGCCTGTTGTTCAGTGGTTGTCGTTGGTTCATGTCGGTCCTATTTATTTTTTCGTAAATTGTTTTGTTATGAATTAGGCCGTTTGTTTTCTCAATTGGCTTGTGTGATATTTTTCATGTCGTGGCCTTTTATAGCCGCCTATACGGTATAAGATTTTCTAATCGTTGAAGGCCGTACGGTTGCCTATAATTGCTTACATCCACTTTATTTGAACGTTGGTGAATAGTTGTCTCATTGGCAATCATACCACATCTCCTAATTTTTACATATAACAATTTAAACTAACGGGCCATATCATACTCCAATCACAGAAAGGTTATCAGGTTCTCCAGAAAGGAGAGCAATATAAATTGTTTTAAAGGAATAACACAACAAGTACTGTCGGATATATATGTGTGTTTGTGTTTGGTACAAATATTTGCCAAATTTCTTCATCTTTTAGATTTTGACAGTAGACAGAAGGTTCATTCATACGAAGAATGGTTCGAGATCGCAAAACAATCGCATATGGAAGGTAAACAGTAAAATAACAAAAATACCGACCTCCAAGGAAATTCCAAAACGGAAAGTCCCCCATCTATTGTTGTGACGTCAAAACACGCCATAATTGACATAGTTAACATAAGTAGCTCTTGTACATGTAGTTGATGTATTTTTAGGTTCTATTTGGAAATGATTTAACCATAAGCGTATTCCATTTACAACAACATCTTTGCTTATGCCGTGATAACGTGGTTTAGTTACGCTATAATATAGGTATATCTAATCTAAGAAATGAAGTTTTTCAAAATTTCATAAAACATAAAGCCCTCTGATATTTTTACGTTGACATTTAATTCAGATGTAAGCTACATTCTTAAATTTACGTTGTCAACTAATGGCTATTATCATATTTCCTCCTTTTGTCGATTACTAATTAAACAAAACATATGCTTTAAGTCATTGTTAGTAGTGATGATTTACAGCCGGCCTGGGGAGATGTCTAAATTTAAAATGAAAGAAATAGAAAAATACACAAAACAGCAAAACTGATCAGCAATACGAGATCAATAAAAAAGAAATTTAGCCATGAATTATACCCTTGTTTATAATGTTGGAGAATGGCCATTTTTAAAGAGATTAAGGTGCGCGATGAGGCTCTTTAAAGTCTGTAGTTGAATAAACTGGTTACTGCTTTACATTGGTTTTTGTAACATTAAAACTAAAGTGCTCTAGAATGTTATGTTTCAGTCGTTCTTCCTCATAATATAACAGCTGTGTTCTTGTTGATATTGGTTTACATCTATATATTTACAATCTTTACCTACCTTGCAAAGCATAATGTGTTTTTTTCAAAGCGTTTACTTTTTATTTTACAGTTGGAATGAAATTGGCGTTGAGCAATGGGAAAAGGAGTTCCCGCGGACATAACTATATGTTACTGTTGGATACATCAGAGAGTATGCATGGAGAAAAATTTGATACAATGATAAAAACTGCTACAAACTTCATCGATGGTAAAAAATCAATCATTACAATTAAATGTCATATAGATAATATTAAATGAAATGCATGTTTTAAATCATTTTAGTTTTTATACAGAGCAACTATGAAGTTCAGAGAGAAACAAGCTGTTCTTATTTTTTTAAAAGCGGAAAAGACTTAAATTTGAATTCATAAAAAGGTAAATCAAAACTCAACATACACTTACTTGCTTCGTTTAAAATTAGAACGAGCTAATAATTATTACAACAAATGTATGATACCAATTTCCATTGGTACGGCAGGTGTTAGATGAATGAATTTCAGCAGATACGCTCAGGACCCTGTAAAGTTTAGAAAGGAAACAAAAACATAACTCAAAACCACAGAAACAGGTCATCCAAAACGATTTTCAACTGAATATAGGTGCCTTTAGTTATTTTCCAATTGATAATTGTTGACATTACGATTTGTACAGGTCTGCATCAGGTCAGTTTAAGAATCGGTATACGAGATAATGTTGGACTAGCTCATTTTGGAAAAGACACTGAATTAATTACGCATCCTATAGCGGAGTATGATGATATCAAGAGAGAAATAGGTACATTATATATCCTATAAATTTATATTTCATAATAAAGGAATAAACAATACAAATCAAATTCCAATGTTATGAATATGTTTAATAATTCAATATTGGAAACTTAGTATAATATTTAATTATCCAGATGTGTTACATGGTTACGTGAATTAAATTCCAATATGAATATTCAGACATTCATAACCAATCATATGATTTTTATGAACTGAACTTTTGTCTCTCTTCTATTCTTTTGTGCTTATAATTCATGATCGTTTTTTCTATTTATCTTTAGTTCAAAAATCAGAATTATATTTCAGCCAAGTTGAGACCTGGTGGTCCATCTCCACTAGCAGCCGGTATGTTGATGGCATTGTCTGGAATTCATAACTGTAAGTTTATTTTACATTTCATAGGCACATATTCCATATTGTTACTCTTATCTATCTGTCAAAAGAAAAAATGCAAGATATTTTTGTTTTCTTTAGGAGATAACTGTTTTGTATTTTAAGCTTGGCCTTCGTTAAACGTTGATTTTACTGTTGCAAATTGAGTTTACCTAGCGATGCGTTGGTAAACTCAATTTGCGACGGTCAAATCTACGATTTGCCAAGGCCAAGCTTAAAATACAATACAGTTATCTCCATTATAATGCCACATATCAAAATAAATTCCATTTTAGTAAATGTTTTAGGTTAAAAATGCCATAAATGAAAAAGTCCGCGAAACTGTTACGTCGTCTTTGGCATTTAAACAATATGACGTCATAGGTATACTCCCGATGTCTAGCTTAAACACTAGACGTATTTATACTTTTCGTATGCTTCTGAAGGGTTTAAATATTGACAAAAAGAAAATTTTGAGGCACAAAATGTGACTTTTTTGTTTATGTTTTGAGAAATTACATACCAAAATAATTCGGTATTCAAAATGGTGGCTTTCCACAGTTACGGACTGGTAGAACGTGGAATCTAACCCTTCAAAATAATTGTCAACGTTCAATGAAAATTATCGTTCCAAACGAATTGCATTAAAATGTGATTTTGATTATTTTGAATGATTATAAAAGCAATACTCATTTTCTGACAAGATAGTATGCATATCTATATCTAGATTCTATGATTTTTTTAAATCAATTAAAATGAGGAATTTTCATAAAGGTGGTCCCACTACCCTCGAGAACCATGAGTTCCTACCGTACATTATTGTGATAACGGATGGAATTCCAACTAGCGTTGATGCTACTAGTGAAGCGGACAGAGACAGTATTGGAATGATGGAAGAGTCGTCTATACCAGATTTATTGGTAAGTATTAATTAATTTTAGAACAGATAGACTACTCATTCAATCAGGATATTACTGGTTATATCAAGCCTTTCGATTTTTAGGAAATCAAATGATATTTCAATTATGCTCATAAACGATTTATTTATTTTCCAGTGAACGCTAAATGGCCGAGTCCGAAGAACTTTTCTGGATTAAACTTCATCAGGAACGTTCAAGCAGAGTTATTCATGAAACACGTCTCCTGTCTCATTAACATTATAATTGGTGCTAGTTGCATAAAGTGGTCGAAAAACAAATTAAGAGATTAACTTGTGAACATTTTTTTTTAATTTGATAACAAAAAATTACACAACACTTAATAATTTCATGCGCCCGAAAATGCTTTTATGGATTTACCTTCAACAGGAAGGCTAAAAGTTGAATATTTGAAAACTAAATAATTTGATAAATTTTGATAAGGACGGGAGTTTTTAATGTTCGTTCAAAATAAATGCTTTTTTTAATTTTGGTTCATTTATATGTTTCGGAGTTTAGTTTGAAGTCCATTTTTGCTGAACTAGTACACATGTTTGTTTAGGGGCCAGCTGAAGCCCGCCTCCGGGTGCGGGATTTTCTCGCTGTGTAAAGGACCTGTTGGTGACCTAGGGCTGTTTTTTGCTCTTTGGTCGGGTTTGTGTCTTTTTGACACTTTCCCGTTTCCATTCTCAATTTTAATTTCGAGCATTTTGTTAATGAAACAAATAAAATTGTTTTAACATAATTGTGTAAACGTATTTCTGTTAGGTAGACCAACATTCAAAACTAAAAACTCTGTTGCATACTCTATTTCCATTTTGAAGGATTTTTTTTCCTAATCCTTGTTTAACATATTTTTATAATATGATAATGTGACTTTTGAAGTCCAATCTGTCAAATTACTATACAATATACTTTCAACTACCCATACTTTATATTATATTTTTTGTATAATTAGATATATAGTGTGAATCCAAACACGAATAAGTTGTAAAATTCAATTATAAGAAATCGTCCGTCCCATGAAATATTCATTGCATTTTTTACAAGAAAAAAATTAGAACCTATTGGTTTTTTATATTAGCATGCTATATTGTGTGATACGTTTCCACCGTTCATCAATTCATTGTTTACAGAATACTTATAGCGGTAGTATCATTTGTAAACAATGTCTCAAAGAATATCTTGTTTTAAACATTTTACTTTACTTCCAGAATATGTTGCAATTCGCGAGTGAAATAGGTAAAATTGTTCAACATATTGCACATAGAGGAACGAAAATATTTTGTGTACCAATAGGAGCTGCGAACACTGATGTAAGTTTTTCTTATCAATTTAATTATTATAAATACTGTCATAATATTATGTTACGCTTTGTAAAACCTAGTTTAAGATATCAGGCTTATAATTTGATACTCCAGACGCACATTTTGTCGGTTGCATAATAGTGTTTTGTCTAAATAAAGCTTTTAGTTAATCATATTTCCCTTTTCTCTCTTTTTTTTCTTTAAAAGACGAATTGTTAAAGAAGGAGAATATGTTTTTTTTTGTATTTGATAACATGACGTTGTAAAATGTTTCAACCCGTGAATGAATGTTAAAAGTATGAAAAAAAATCTTCTATTTTGATTTTGAAATTATCGAATGTAAACCTAGAACGTCTGTGTCATATTTGATATTGTTCTCTCAAAGATTTAAATAATGCTGAATTTTCTAGAGAAAAGTTTTGGTTAATTTAGAATTACTTCTTATGTTCTGAATAAAAGATGTCAAATATGATTTCATTTAAGATTATGAGTATGGTTGTTAAAAAGACTTTTGGCAAGTTCATACCACCAGATCAGATTCAACGTCTTACACAAAATACACAAGTTCTGGTAAATATATTATATTAATGTTTTCCAGGCTTCAAAAATAGGTACATGTTAACTTTTATCTTTCATCACATTCCCTCTGTTATCATTTTTTTAAGTATTTTTCAACTATTTCTGTGGACGCAATTCCTACTAGTCGAAACGTTAACAGTAGTATATATAAGTATTTACAAACAACTATTTGACTTTGAATATACTTTTTAATGCCCTAATAGGTAATTCAAAATAACGAAGTTTGTCTTCTTTCTGTCTGAGATGGGAGACAGGACTACAAAAATAAATAAAAGGAGAGGTACGCCATGCGTCGATGAAGCAGCAGCACAACAACACAAAAAGACAGGAATGTAAACTATATCAAACTAAAAAAGGGCAGTTGAAGACGAACTTATTCCTATTAACTTAGTTCGTTTTTGAAAGAATTAACATTTTCGATGATATTAGAATACTTTACTGGACAATTTGTTTAGGATTTTAATTGAAAAATATGTTATATTTTTTAGTCATTTGTATATTTTATCTAAAAAAAACATTCAATTTAATTTTGGTCGTTTCTATTGTGATAGAAACAACACCTTTTGGTGGGTAGGGTGGTTTTTTTCCTTGGGGGATTTGAATTTCTTTGATATTTATAATCTTGCTTTTCAGAGACATATTTAACTATAATCTACTGCCATGAACTATTTAATTGATCTAAAGTTTTATTTTTTCTTTAAAATAGTTGTATCAAGACAGCAACGTATAGCGTTTGTTGTCGTTAACTTTTTATTTTGCAAAGTTACTTTCTATGTTTCTTCATTATTTGGATTCTTCCATTCTCCGAATCATAGTGAGGTTTCAGCATAAAAACTAGAAATATGTCAATTTAACAGCACTCAAAACACAGGATTCAGAAGCTTGATTGGTAATTTTACCACAGACATACGACAGAAGTATGCAGTTATGATTCCTTTTGTATTTGATAGGTAAAAAGAGATTATGTAACAAGATTGTGTCTTTTGGACACTATTTCCGACTATTCAATTTATGCATTAAATCTATGAAGTAAACAAAAGTAGGAAGATACCAAAGGAAGAATCAAAACTTACAATTCAAAGAGAAACCGACAGAGGCATGACAGAAAACGATGAAAAGACAAACAACAGTCTACAAAAGACTACAAAAAACTAAAGGCCGAGCAACACGAAAATGACTGGTATAATCTTTTCATTAACAACAAATGAGAGGTGTGATGAGATGATTAAAGCCGTAAATTTTCTCCTTGACAACAATTATGTACGTTTCCGCAATTAAGTTTATCGACAGTATCTAGGTATGCCTATGGGCACCAATTGTGCCCCTTTAATAACAGACTTGTTCCTGTACTGTTATGAATCACAGTTTATGGCCAAACTCAGTAAAGACGCGTCTAAATTCCATTTAATTGGTACATTCAACACCACTTACCGTTATCTTGATGATATTTTTTCGTTAAATAATCAAGAATTCTCTAAATATACTGCCGAAATTTCATTAGTTGGTATTGGTTTTGAACTAACTATCAGTAACTACAAGTAGCTCATATCTATTCTTTGTATCTTTTGTTGTTAGGGATGTATAAATACCCTGCCATGTCCAGTCTGTGTTTTTTGTTAGATGTGTTTCTGCTTTGTATCGATCTAATGAGTTAAGCGCTTTTCAACTGATTTTTATAGTTTGTTCTTATGTTGTGCTGTAATACCACTGTCCCAGGTTAGGGAGAGGGTTGAGCGCTCACAAAAATGTTTAACCCTGCCACATTATCAATGTACCTGTCCCAAGTCAGGATCCTGTGTTTCAATGGTTGTCGTTGGTTCATGTCTGTCATATTTGTTTTTTCGTAAATTGTTTTGTTAAGCATAAGTTAGTTTTTTCAATTGAATTGTTTTATATTTTTCATGTCGGGGCCGACTATACGGTATGGGTTTTTCTCATTGTTGAAGGCCGTACGGTTGCCTATAATTGCTTACATCTAATTCATTTGAACTTTGGTGGATATGTGTCTCAATGGCAATCATACCACATCTCCTTATTTTTATATTCAGTTCAGTTACTTAATTTTTCAATGATACAGTTTTAAGATAGTTCTATCTTTTCATAGATTTTTGAAGATTAGTTTTTTTAATTTTATGTTTATGTCTGATCTATGGTCATGTCTATTATTTTTGTTTAAACTTTACAACACGACGCAATTTGACGATGACAATTGAGGTTGCGGATCGGCAATTTTCAAAAGCGGGAGGAGGGCCCCTGAAAAAGGTAGGGTCAGTTTCCCCTGTATTTCCTTCACTCACAAGGCCGAAATCTTAATGTTTCAGGTCCTACTGGAATTTTAGAATCAAACGTGATTTCACCTTAATCAAAATAAATCCATAAATCAAAATTTCATTCAGCGCATGATGTCCGACAGAGTTAGACGATTCTTTGTAACGTTTACATTGTTAACGTTCTGAATTTGCGATCGTATATTAACAAATCAAATCAAATCAAATATTTTATTGTCTTATAAACTTTACAGTTTGTGACCAACATGTATTAACACAATAAACATATATACATACATATCAAACAAACACAATAAAAACAGCATCAAAATTTATAAAAACAAACAAGTTGTTAAGAGTCCCCTGCCCTCAGTTCTAATGACTTTTTCAAGAAGGATCCTAACTTATTTGTTTGTAAAGGCGTTGATGGATTTAGTAAATAATGATTTTTTTCTTCTTCATTTAAATTATTAAAGTTATTATTTTCAGTACATATGTGTTCAAAAAAGGCATTTCTTAGTGTTTTATTATAATCACAATAGAGTAAAAAATGTTTCTCATCCTCTAGTATTTTACATTTATGACAAAGTCGTTCCTCTCATGGGATTTTAAAATATCTCCCCTTTTCAATTAAGAGGGAGTGATCACTTAGTCTAAATTTAGTGATCAATCTCCTTATCTGAAAAATAGATATATTTAGATAAGATTCTAGTTTGCAATCCTTTTTAAGTTTTTTATATAGATATAATTTACTTTTATCATCAATGTTTTCAAATTTAGTTTCAATTAAATCTTCATATCTATTTTTCATTTTTAACTTTATATCGTTTTTTATTAACAAACACGTCGCACTTAGGATCATTTCGTTATTTTCAATGCAGCAATATAAACATGAAAAACATAAGACATTAAAAATTGTATACCATAATTCGTTTGAGATAGGTTTTATCATCCAAATAATGGTGTTAATCAGCCGATATGTGCATTTATTTTAGATTTATAGAAAAATCTAAACTTTTTGGAAAATTTCGTAGTTTATACCAGTCCAATTCAAATCTACAGATAAAAATAATTTAAGTTATGTCTACCGTTTACATGGATTATTCTTATACAAACAGCACATCCCATTTAAGTTTGGGGGTTATAAAAAAAATAGTAGTACTTCGTCTATTTTTATCACGATTACGTCATCTATTTTTATCTAAAGGAAACGAAGAAGAAAGTAGCATGGAAATAATGATGCTAACATGGATAATAAGTATTATTTCATTTAAAGTTACCAACCTTGGCTTAGTATAAAAAGCTTTGAATGCAATTTTATTTGTTTTTTTATCAAAACTTGTTACGCATATACATACGTTTGTGATCAATCCACTATGCAGTGAAGAACAACTGTTTCAGAAATAGTAATGCATACATTGTAACTGTCTTTTCGTATGAACACCAGATGATGCATGTGATACGCGATTTTTTTTTTTCTTTCCTGAACTTTTGTTTAAAAGCAAGAAACTTTTAAATTTATGTGACAAATAACGGTGTAATATATACACTTATTAATTGGTTATGAGGGTAAAGGAATTTTGTTGTCTATGAGATATCAACTATTGCTCGAGGCCAGATAGTGTATTTGAATTTCTTTGAAAATGCTGTTTTTCGTTATAATAAACACTTTATTATTGATTATGAGTATAATAGCAATAAATGATAAACTGTTTGGTTAAAAAGAACAGAGAATTTATATTTAAAGATGCACGACTTAACCTCCTTAATTATATAAACTGTAGAAAACGAACATTGTATTGTATTATTTTTAATTTTAGTTTCTTGTGTACAATTTGGAGTTTAGTATGGCGTTCATTATTACTGAACTAGTATATATATTTGTTTAGGGGCCAGCTGAAGGACGCCTCCGGGTGCGGGAATTTCTCGCTGCATTGAAGACCTGTTGGTGACCTTCTGCTGTTGTCTGTTCTATGGTCGGGTTGTTGTCTCTTTGACACATTCCCCATTTCCATTCTCAATTTTATTGATTCCTATTGTAACCTCTGTTTGATGTGAGAAGTGAGCAAAAACATTTTCAACTTGGCTATATTCTCTTTTGGATCTCCCCCTGTTAAATACATTGCTAAAAGTCGTTTCATGACCTCTTGGCGTGCTTCTTTTAGACATCTTTGAGATCGATACCGGAACCAAGGAAAGTTGAATGTGTTGAAATTCTCCTCTGTAAATGTTAGTGTGAACTCAATATATACGTCTATTCATTTATATTGTTCTAAATCTGAAAGTATTATATCGATGATTACTTGACTCATAAATACAGTTATTTTTCTCTAAATGGTGAAGATTTTTTCAACCTCTACATAACATAATAGTACAAATTACATGTATATACAATTTAAGATGTCGATATGAGAATAAGTATTAATATATGTATCAGTTAACATATTTCGTCGAAGGGACTGTGCTGTGTATAGTTAACTTTTTATTCGTCTAATGTGATGTTCTACATAAAGTCGTTTTGCTTAAATCTTTCCGTTGAGGTGATCTGATTTCCTATGTCTAAACAATGACGAAATGACTTACACAGATTGATGCAGGGCATATCTCCAGAGGAGACATTACCATTACGTAGTTATTGTCACTTGCTTGTTGGCACCATTTATCTAGCTGAACACCCAATTGTTATCCCATATACTTCAAGAAGGTTACGCTACTAAGATGGGATAATCACGATCAACGCAAACTTGTCAACGAGATGATTTGAGAAAGAAGAGTAAATGTAAAAATCCCAATATACGAACGAAAATTTATTAAATCATAAGCGATATTGCACCAGTTGTATAACTATGTGCAGCACTGTCCCTTCGCTGAAACATTCTTCATGATTAATGTGCATCATAAATGAAGTTATACCGACATATTTAATTGTGATTTACTTGATTAGTGTATTCAGTAAAGGTTGAAATAATAATATTCACTATTTGAAAAGATTCATGTGAATTTATGTTTCATGTAATATTCGATGTGATATTTTCAGAAAATTATAATTGAATATACGGGTTGAGTTCATTAAAACTAAATAACACATATATTAAGTTCGTTAAAACTATGAAATAACACATATATTAAGTTCGTTAAAACTATGAAATAACACATATATTTAAACATAAAAAAATGCAACTTACTCAACTATACTTTGTTTCGGTATCAGTATCAGTTTCGGTTTCAGCTTTGGCTTATGGTGAAGTTGTCTTTTTATGAGATTTTGTTGAGAGTTATTATTCCATTGACAATCTTATCCAAATGTATATCAATAATGGGGGCTCCAACAAGGTTGTAATTATGACTAATAAATTTCAGCTCCATTCATCAATAATAGCAAACCAATTGGAGACAACTTCTGAGATTAATAGATCTACCGTAAAAACAGCTGTTCGTTCTGCTAGTTCGCCTAGTCTGCAGGAATTAGATGCATATGTAAGTTGTTCGAATTTTTATAACCTTAAAATAAACTTTTACTGAAAGTACGCTTCATTTAGGGATACATTTATTTCATCTTTACAGACTATATATGGTTCAGAAAGAAAATGCGTAGAATAATGTTTGTACTAAATACAAAAAAAAAACATTTTATTTACAGTGTATTTTGATATTTAGAAGAATAAGAGCCGAAAACATAATTCAAAATGAAAACAATATAATAGTAATAACAGATAAATCACAATTTATCATCTAATATAGTTTTATTACCGATCCAGGATGATATCACGGATAATATCATGTTGTTATTGGATCCTGTAACGCAATATCATGGTCGGTTCAAACAACCAAACTGTCAAGCTGTACAGTTAGGAACACGTGTTCGAAGAGGACCAGATTGGCAATGGCAAAATCAGGATTCGGAAATGGCTGGTACTGTTATTGGTGAAGATAAACGTGGTATGTTATTTTTTCCCGCAGATGAAAGCTCTCATGAACAAATGCAAACAAAATGAATCTATATCATGTATTCTGTGTGTGAAGCATTTCAAAAAGAATCAAGCACGTGTCTAGAATACTTAAAGAATGCTAATTAATATATTATAATTACATGACATGTATGTTTCATTAGAATACATATTTTGATTGGCTGACAACAATCGTGAGGCACTCCAATATCATATTTTATTTCCGTATGAAATACAACCGCTATGACTACCCGTGCTATCCGTGACAATGTCAAAATGATGCACTGAAAAACAAACGAAAAGCTTGATATAGCCCATAATTTCATGGTTGTATCATAGAAATGTACTTATAAGAATTTTGCCGGAAAATAATATTCATTTGCGATAAATGCTTATAGGTATATTATATTTTTTATTTATGTATTTCTCTGTGATTAGCGTTCTTGTGTTTGTTTGTACTGTATTCCTGTCACGTAGTGTTGTCATTTTGGTGGTATTTTAACATTGCCATAAAACCAGGTTCAACCCACCATTTTTCTTAAAATGTCCTGTACCAAGTCAGGAATATGGCAATTGTTATCAGACAGTTCGTTTCTATGTATGTTGGCGTTTGTTTTTGTTGTTGTTCGGTGTTTCTGTTGTTCCGTTGTTTCCCTCGGTTTTAGTTTGTTACCCGTATATGTGTTTTGCTTAATCAAATTATGACTATTGAACAGAGGTATACTTATGTTGCCTTTATACATTAAGAGGAAAATACCTGGAACAGTAAAGAAAGGATAGAGTAATAAACATTGCGATTTGTATAATTTAAATCCAAATGTAAATCCTTTTCAGGGAAGATACGTGTCGAATGGGATAGTGGTAACGAGAACATTTATAGATATGATGAAACCAATGAGTGTTATGACATTGAACCTGTAAATGAACCTAGGCGACTAGAAAATGAGTTGATTGCTGTTGGATGCAGAGTTAAAAGAGGTATTGTATCAAATGAAGGAATAAAGAAAATTAGTCGCTTTCAATGATAAAAAAGTGACAAAATGATTTAACAACAGAAGAATAAAATTTATTGTCGGTGACCATTTACAAAAGAGATTGAGAGTTAAACAATATCTATACCATGAATGAACTACTAGTATTCAAACTGTTTAATAATCTGCGAGCATGTTTATAGCACTTTTATGAGTTCGCTTTGGATCAATATTATTTTTTTGTATGATAAGACTGTTATACAACCAAAACTGTAGCTGATTAAGGAGGTACCAAACACTTTGACTCAAATAGATTTGTCTCGTTGGCTCATGTAAATGAAGACAGCAGATTATACCAAAGGTGAAAAAAAAATAACAGCAACCAATAACGAGATGTCTGATTGAACCATTAAAATGTTGAAGAACTACCCTGAGGTAAAGAGTACTCAATGTTCACCCTTAAATGCATCATTTTTTGTTAGTGTACACATTCTTTAACAAGTTCATCTACTTTGTATACTTTGTTCATGAAGGTAAAGATTGGAAGTACGGTGAACAGGATGGTGGAAGAGGTAGCCGAGGTACTATCCTGTGTGTTGAATCAAACGGAAAAGTTGTGGTATTTAATATTTAAAAATGTATTTGTATTGAAAGACGAAATATTAAACAAACACACGTCAGTTTAAAGCAGTCATCAATCTGTCATTAAAACTGAGAAAAAACACTGTACGCTATTTCAGTATAAATTTCTTTATTAAACGTTCATTTGTTTTGTTTTGATATGATAAATATATGGTGAATCCCTAGGTCCCGATTGGATTTGTTTGCATTGATTAAGTTATGTTCCTGCTTTCGGTCGTTTGATATATACAAATTATCAAATATAAATTATTTGATATTTGTATAGTATTATATGGTTATTGCATGAATATTGGTGAGTATTGTCTCGTGATTTTTTTTTTTCATTACAGTAGCTGGTAAGGGGGATGTGGTACAAAGAAAGTTTTTGTTAAAAGAAATGCCTGTACCAAGTCAAGAATATGACAGTTGTTTTCGATTCGTTTGGTGTGTTTGAGCTTTTGATTTTGCCATTTGATAAGGGACTTTTCGTTTTGAATTTTCCTTGGAGTTCAGTATTTTTGTAATATTACTTTTCATAAATTTTGAGAAACATCTGTTCGTTCTGGGATTTCAGCAAAAATTTATTGAATTCGAAATAGGTTCCAGATGTCAAAAATAACCCAAATGTCGTGATAAAAAACTCTTTTTCTTTATATGAAATCATAAATTTTGAGAAACATTTCTTAAGGCAAGGATTTCAAGGAATAGTTATCCAAAGGTATAATGTTATATTCAAAATTGATTCCGTGTGTTTCTGTTAAAATAATCACAAATTTTGAAAAATATCTGTTTTTGTTTGAATTTTAACGTAAATAATAAGTAAGTATAATTTCATATTCCAATTTGAATCCATGTATAAAAAATAACCCAAAAGGTGTGATAAAGATTTCATATTTTATTAAAAAAAAGACAAACACATTTTGAGGCTAGGATTTAAACGGATACTCTTTTAAAGCTATAATATGCTATTCCAAATGGATTCACGCTGTCATAATTTTAGTTAAATATTAGTTTCTGTTAAAAGAAAATGGATTCACAGTGTCATAAGTTAAGTTAAAACCTAGATTCTTTTTTAAAAAAATCACAAAATTTGAAGAAAAAAAAATCTGTGTTTAGTTGGATTTCAAAGAAAATAGTTACATAATTATAATATGATATTCCTAATATTAAAATAAAATATTAGTCGGCAACCATTGTGCGACATGGTTGTCATAATACATAGTGCTTTGGTTTAACAAACCTTTATATTTATCGAGAACACATCCTGAATCAATTCCTGGTGTCAACATTTACGAAAATTGATACCCTATGGACATGTGGTAGTACTCCACGTTCAGGAAATAAAATTAAAATTGACCCACAATGTTTTTAATCATCTTCTATTCCTGGCTTTCTAATGCATTTAGCCAAATGTATGTGTCATACATGTCCATATGTGTGTAATCGGTATCTTCCGTAGATTTGGTTTTCAACAGTTAAAATGGTGAACTACAATTCATTTTTTGTGTATCCATGGCAACATTCTGCATTTATATACCATCAAATATTGCAAAAAAGGCCATTAAAATGTCAAATATTCCCCCGAAATTTGGTTCAAACTAGAATTGCGAGTGAGTGATACCTTTTCTGACCCTATTGATATCAATCTATCAAATCATCAAATAAAAATAAGGTGTCTTTCGCCTTATTTGTTCGTAAAATTGAATAACAAAGTTCGTGCGACAAAAAGGTCGAAAAAACATTAAAATAATTTCTTGGCCAATGTCTGGTATATTATGAAAATACGGACTGTCCTACAGAAAACAGTTCATAATACATACATTACACAATATTGATGTTCATATAAACCCACTTTGAAGGCTATATTAATCTTCAGCTATCCAAAATATAATTTTATTGCACACTAGCTTTCATATTTGAAAAATCCCCCAGGGCCAAAATGCGAAACTATACACCTAACTGTGGCGTGTATAACATTGGTAGCATCGAAGATAATTTAAATATATTTAATTTAAGTGCCAAGTTTGGTCCCAAATCGTACCTTCTCTTTTAACTTAATAACAGCAATCTTAACTTAAGTTCGGTCATTGTAACACATTATCAATTATTTGGGATTTGCTATCTCAATTTTCATTTGTAAAAATAAAACAGCATTCGGGTTTCAGACAAAAAATAAAATCACCTAGATAAAATATTTATCATAACAACAATTTCAGGTTCACTGGGATCGAAGAAGACTTGGAACATACAAATTTGCATGTGATGGTCTGTTTGAAGTGGCAGTCTGGTGTGTAACTTCATTTTATTTAAACGCAAAACGTAGTGAGACAGCACCTCAGCGACACAAATAACCAACAAACATGTATGGGCCAACACACAAACTTGAACAAGAAGTGTATACGAAATATTCAAGCTCTCGATCGTCCCGAGTCTATAACACGTCGTGAATGAATTAAACAGACCCTATCAAAGTTCTACCATCAACGCCAACTTTTCAAAATACCGTAAACATTAGCATATCAAACAAAATAAATCAATGACACTGTTCTTGACTTGAGACAGTCATATAAATATGTGACATGCTTAACTAGGTTTTTTAAATATCAACCCTCACCCATCTACATGTAATCTCGATCAGTAAATCAACAAAAGTAATGTAAAAAGACATACAATACAAATTAGTGCAGAAAACACATTAAACTCTAAAATGACGATGAAAATAGACAACAAAAAACACAAAAAATGAGTTGGACCAACTTTCTTGGAATATATACAAAAATCGACATCGTTTACAAAGATTATATCGTTTATACATAATATATCTGCAGTAAGAGGGACACCGTTAGTTTCCGTGGGACTACCGATACCATGGTGGTATATTTATCCCCAATTTCTAACAAACAAATGGTAAATAATATTATATAATATATCAAAGAATGGGTGCATTTACTGAACCCAAGGTCAAAGAACTCAATCTGCTGATATATAAGACTATATGCCGTCCTACACTAATATTATTTGCGGTACTTCGTAAAATATTTCATAAAACTATGCAATAAACCGTGCAGGAAGAGACGATCTTGTGCAATGCCCACAACAAACAGTATATGCAGAAAACAAAAGAATTATCTTATAGTTTGGTTTTAAACTATAGATTTACTAATTGATGTTTACCACCAAAAATACCAGAAGCAATTATAAAACAACAACATTGGAATTATAACCTTTAATAGTAGGCAGCCAAATTGGAAGATTTGAAGGAAAATTCCTCAACTAGATACCTTAATAAATGACATGACCATTAAAATCTTGATACGAAATACCACTTTTATCTTCGTTTTTTTTTTATATCCCTGCTGTTTTTCAGTTATGAAAATAGTATGTTAATTGAAATTTGAGACGTTAGTGCAAACGCACGCTCATCGAACCATCTGAGAAATGTACTTTATCTGAAGGAGCCAACGAACAATCACCATCAAGGAAAAGACAAGTCGCTCTGTTTATCATTAGTTTTACTATGAAGACTACCATGAGAAATTTTAATATCAAGGAGGATTTTTGGCGGTCGGAATATTTATTAACCACTAAACATACTTCTCTATTTTTAATTTTGTACACTATCACATTCTGCATTTTTTACATGTTGGGGAGGAGGGGTGCAAAATATATTTTTTCATCCTGTCTTAAGTAAGATTTGATATGTTCACATCTTACCAAAACCTTTAATTCCTTTCTAAAATCCTTATACCCCTCATATTAAATTAAATGGTCGTCCCCTAAAAATGAGTTGTACCAACTTTCTTGGAATATTTACAAAAATCGACATTGTTTACAAAGATTATATCGTTTATACATAATATATCTGCAGTAAGAGGGACACCGATAGTTTCCGTGGGACTACCGATCCAATGGTGGTATATTTATCCCCAAATCAAACATAAGTATTATGAATAAAAAAACTATTAGCTTTATTTCTTTGCATATCCAATTTAATAGTGATAGTTCAACTAAAATGGGATTTGTAACAACTGTAACAGGTATCGTAACCAAGATCAAGCTATCGAAAAAAAACATTTATTAAATGCAACTACGTGCATTTGAGTAGCTATTTAAGTCATCGTCTTGTATATCTGCAAGATTTTGATTTTGCTTCAGCGAGGATGGTCGTATGATTGGTTCACCGGATTTGATAGACAATGAGGAGAACAGTAGACAGGAAATGGTATCCGAGTTACCCCTTATACTACCTACCCATACCAACAAAAGTAAGTATATAAGTCATGATTTCCATATGAACAAATTAAATTAATTCTTTGATCTTGCCATCAGTAAATGCAATCATTATTATATATTGATTTACTCATGTTACTTGTACCTGTGTTATTTGTACCTGTCTTTTGTAATACTGATAGGATATAGTTATTTTAGAAATATTTAAGTACCTCTATATATTCTAGATTATTGATCGAGATATAAATAAGTGAGGGTTAATATCATTTTCAACCTCACTGTTACCCATACGTTAATATGCCTGCACAGAGAGAAAACAAACCACGTCAGTAATTGTTTTTGTTTATATTTTAATAGTATTCTTTTGAAAGAATGTGTTGTCGACGGCAGATCTCCGATAGTCTCTTTTCAATTTAATTTCAACTTTTACCACATGGTATAGACACTTGTCCATATTGTAGAAGACCCTATGCGGCCTTGCACAATACAGTTTATTCTTGTTTTATTGTTTGATTTGATGTGCTGTCATATCAATATAAACCCACATCACTGTTTATTTAAAGCTGCATACAAGTACTTTCAATGAGACAGTAAATCATAACAATACTACTTATTGGTATCAATATTAGATGTCAGGTACATTTGAAATCATAAAGGAGCATAACATCATTGTTAACCTTGTATTTTTGTATAAATTGTAAAATTTAATCCACATTGACTTGAATATATAGCAATTAACCTTCAAGACAGTTACCAATTAATATTTAACAGTGAAGCCAGTTAAATCTACCTGGCAGTATCAAAATGCTAGTGGTAACTGGGAGTCTTATGATGAAGAAACTAATGTTAAGATAGAACGTGCGTACATCAGAAAAACAAATGGTAAATGTATTGTGGAAATAAACAAAACATTGTAAGTTAATGTATATTTACACACATCAGAATCCTTCACTCCAAACCTTATATTTTATAGACAAACTTTGGTCAAAACTTTTACTAAGCTCAAAACATATTTTACTATGCGTTGTACGTACTTTTTATAAAATTATAGTGTTTACCATTAATAGCATTATTGCAAAAATACTATCTTGACTAGTCTCCTATTTGTCATTAGCAAAATGGTGTCAGTTCTTTCTTACTGGAGTCACAGACTGTTTAAAAATACCAATTTGTATTTAAATAAACTCATCGTAGGTACCAGGATTGAAATTGTGTACGCCAGACGCGCGTTTCGTCTACAAGAGCGTGTAATTCAGTGGTTGTCGTTTGTTTATGTGTATTATATTTGTTTTTCGTACATTATTTTGTACATAAATTAGGCCGTTAGTTTTCTCGTTTGAATTGTTTTACATTTGTCATTTCGGGGCCTTTTATAGCTGACTATGCGGTATGGCTCATTGTTGAAGGCCGTATGGTGACCTATAGTTGTTAATTTCTGTGTCATTTGGTGTCTTGTGGAGAGTTTTCTCATTGGCAATCATACCACATCTTCTTATTTTTATATCATAAGTGACGCTCGAAACTAAAAAAATTTAAAAGGCCAAATAAAGTATGAAGTTAGTTTTTGATAGACATATAAATGGTCAAGTCTGTAATCGACATCTGCAGCATTGATAAGCTCAAAATCTACTCACGAAAACATTCTATTGATTGACGAATCAAACGCATACTATTAACACTAGATGTACTGACTATCAGGCAATGACATGCATTCCCCGAAGAAAAAATTTATGTTAACTCTATGGCATAAGAAAGTTGTTTAATAATCTCATAACATTATTGCAGAAAAAAATTATACTTATCTTTGGGAGTTTTAGTTGAACACATTATTATTAATATAATTTATCGTTCTCTCCTATAGTTTCCATAGAATCATAAACAGTACTTATCAACAGTCTGCTTATATTAGTTCACCCATGTTCAACATTTCTGACGTATTATATGATTTTAGGCATGTTGTACTGTTTTCAAAGATGATTCAAGAAAACCAAACAGACCATAGCTCAGTTCCTGTTCAGCGTTTAGGTAAAATTAATACAGAAATATATTTCAATAATATTTTCTTAAAGCAAATTGTATGATGGTAAATAATTGAAGATGATCTATGATTTGAACAAGACACTATTATGAAATCAACATATCATTAGAGTTTTTAATCATCAGTTCACATGCAATAAGATTTTTCTCTTTTCCGATAAAACATTTGAAGAACATTTACTGAAAATAACAAAATGTTTATGCTTCCTGGCTATGTTAATGGGCTGTTTCCATTGGACTTGAAATAAAGAACACCACAGTTTCTTTTATATCTGCTTCATATCTTGACTTACATAAAGAAATTGTTGAGAACATATTGAAAGTATACTTAAAAAAAATTATTATTTCAATATTCACATTGTGAACTTTTCATTTGTATGTAGCAAATCCACAGCATATTTAAATGGAGAATATATATATATATATATATATATCCAAGTGAATACGATACCCAAGTGCTTGCATTTTCCTTTCATGAATTTTTGTGACGATGCATGGTTCTTAATGATGAATCGAATTAATTTCGCCGAAAGTTTACTGACGCCATCATGCTTTGGTTAACATTATGAAATATCTTTGTCACAGATGATCACAGATAAGTTACACTTGTCGAAGCAAACATTCCGTCGTCTTCTTTTCGTTTATGACATCACCTCAATCGCCATCGCATTAATATACATTTTTAAAGGTGATCGTATTGCATTTGCTTTAGTATGTTTTCTGTGTTGTATCTGTGATATTTTATCTTTTCGATGAGTCTATTGTTTCGATCGGTAACAGTCTTGTCCATCAAATTTCCATTAAAGTCGTTCTCATACATGTACCTCATATTTGGCAATGTTTTAATGTTAGCGAAGTCACATGAACCGATGGTTTTAGACTTAAATTTGGTAATGTCTTAGAGTTAGATGGTAGACAGCTGTTCGTCTACAAGACGCAAGTATGTGGTGCCTTATCATGAATTTCGTCTCATCAACAAATTATAACTGGAGTAACACAACGGGTGGATTGCAAATGATGACCTTCCGGATCACCTAAGTTAAACCATGATTTTTGCTAGGGTTCGTGTTCCCAATTATTTAATTTTCTGTGAAGTGTTTTGTAGACAATAATTTGATCTCATTTACTATTCAGATACTCATTAATTTTGAATCAATTGAAGATAATTGCGCTTTTGCTCAACAGGTTAAGTTTTTGAAAATAATGTCAGCAGGAACTAAGGTCGAACAAGCCTTGACAATCGATTTCGATGACTGACTACGACCCACAATGTTTCGTATACATGGTACAGGTGAATCGATGCTGTACATTATGATTATTACTTCAATCAAACCGAAAATCGTCATTACTATATTGCACACGTACGCTATGTGTATCTATCTGTTTATATTTATCTAATTATATGTATAGCGGGGTCACCACGTGGTCACATGCCAAACGACCATCTCCGGAAATCATATCGAAGGATTTTTTAGATGGTGTCCGGTCCAAAAATCTTAATACTTGTTACGATTTCACGCATTGTTGTGTTTAATGTTTCCTCTGTGACTTTCTTAATTCTTATATACGCTGTAGTATGCTATAAATCGAATTTGAAATTCAATTCGGTGGACTTGAATTTGGCAGCTATAATGCCACTTTAGTTAATATATTTATATTATGTGGTATATGTATATGTAAGATGTAGTATAATTGCCAATGCGAAAACTCTCCACCAGAGATCAAATGACATATATAGAAGTTAACAGATATAGATCACCGTACGGTCTTCAACAATGAGCAAAACCCATACCACATAGTCAGCTATAAAAGGCCCCGAAATAACAAATGTAAATCTATTCAAACGAGGAAACCAACGGCCTGATTTATGTACAAAATAATAAACGAAAAACAAATATGACGTTGCTTTTGTTGTAATTCGGTGTTTCTGTTAATTGTTCCTTTGTTTTCCTCTTATAGTTGATGTGTTTCCCTCGGTTTTAGTTTGTTACCCGGATTTGTTTTTGCTGAATCGAATTATGACTATTGAACAGCGGTATACTATTTTGCCTTTATTTATACAGCAACAAACGACAACCACTGCATTACAGGCTCCTGACTTGAGACAGGCACATACAAAATAGCCTACAAAGGAAATACAATTTCAAAGAATGCTTACTACTTTTTTTATTATAAAATTATTTCTTCTTTTACTTTTATATCGAACTTATCCTTCTTAATACCTTTCATATAGCAACATCAGTCATTAAAAGTTTACGACAAACACTATTAACTGCAATAGCCATACTAAATTTGTGCCAAAAATCCGAACATACGGGTATTAACGTATTATAATTAAACTACATTTTATAGTGTTCGTTCTAGAATCAAAACTAATATAAGAAATAATTGCTATCTTTTTACAAAAATTTAACTTTAACCTTCGATCGTCAAAAAGTTGTTTTAAGGCAGACAGAAAGATCCAAATGCATGACTACACTCTCAAACTTAATTCTTCGTAAACGGGCAGGGAAACCCCGTTTTTGTTTACATTTGAGCGTTTTAAGAAGCATTTTGGTGCTTACTTAACCAAATGTATTCGCTTCTCTTCCCTCGGTCTTCAAGAGGAAACTTTTCTTACTATTATTTGGTTTCTATTACAGATAAAACAACCGATCTTACAGCTACAGAGGCGAAACAATTGAATGACATCCAATTTTGACAATATGAAGTATGCGGACTAAAAGGATCAAGCTGACAGACTTTAAAATGTACATCGTTTTATAATAGTTTTTTATAATAGTTATGTTATATTTGACAAACAAAAAAACTACAACAGTACATATGATCTTCCTATAACATGTGTAAAGAACTACTAGTATTTTACAGAGAATGGGTTGCTTCAAGGACATTTTGTTGTTAAAAAATGCTTAATACATATTTGTAAAATAATATCTGTTCATAGGATACTGTGTCCTGCTCGCACTATCACATTTCCATGTTCAGTAAACATCAAAATCTGGGTCAAATCCCTAATTTTGTCATTTATTTAAAAAAAAAAGTTCAATTCATAATGATCTTGGATACAAAGATGTAATCACAACTTCTTGGAAGATGACCTTAAACCAAAACTTTAACCTGATACGGGACGGACGTCGAATCGACTAACGACGGACGCACCAACTAGAAAACAATATGAACATAAACAATAAAAAATTCACTCTTGGCCGAAGTTAATTATATCAATGTATGAATATACCCTGTAGATTAATTTTCTTTGTATTTTTGTTAAAATTATTTAGTAAAAAAGATAAATACTTGAAAAAGGAGTTGGTTTTTTATTGGTATAATTATGCTGATTGTAGTATATATAGACCCTCAGTATTGTTTTTACATGAACCAAGTCAAGATATCTGTGTGAAGTTTGTTGCTGTTTGTCTTTGATAAAAGGAATTACCCAAACAATTGAGAGAATAAAAACATTGGCGAAACCAGCGACCAATTGAAACACCCAACTCCTCCGAAAAAAAGACATTCAAAGACAAAAAAACAACGAACAGCAGAAGGTAAAGATAGCCAGATTTAGATTAGACGCAATATGTTGTTGGGTTACACCAGTTTTACGTACGCACAACCTCCCATTGTCCAATAGAAATATAACACACAATAAAAACCTTGCATTGACCAGCTACCAACAAGATGGTCACTAACTTGAACAAGGAAATGAAATGCTGCACAAAACTTGGGTCAAAATGTCCTCGCTACTAGGAAGCCAGCTAAGGTAGCCACACGGTTGCTGGTTGAATACTGCCGATCAAGAAGAAAAAATATCAGAAACAACACTCCTTATTTATCTAATGAAGTCTCATCATAAATATTTGAAATCGGTAGTACCTTTGAGAGGTCAGCAAGTCTCTTAAAACGTCACACCATCGAAATAAACAATCATTTTAATGGTTAGAATATCAAGCCAATAGTCATTGCTGCTGAGATGCAAGAACTTCCCACGGAGTTTTCAATGTTTTGTTCTATTTTCAAGACATTATACTTATATGTAAGATTATGGTGACTGTAAATGTGTTGAATCATTAAATGTATTCAAAGGTGTGTGGTATTTGTAACAGTAACTTTTATGTTAAATAATGCACAGGTTATGCATAGGCGGATCCGGGGGGGGGGGGGGGGGGGCTTTTGTGGGAAAAATTGGATTGATTATATAGGGAATCACTGATGCATGACTTGAGCGAGCCCCCCCCCCCCCCCTTAGGTCAGTCAGTGGGCCCCCTTTCAAAAAGTTCTGGATCCGCCACTGTTATGCTCATTAAAGTCAGTTTGAACATGTTAATGTTTTGTTTAAATGAATTACAACTGATATATGTATGATGTTAAGGGTTAGTATTAGTTTCCCACACTTTGGACAATTGGCATTTAGATTGCACCAATCTAAACAACATATGGACAACATTTTGCTGATCATGTAGCATTTGTTTATTGTATATCTACTCGGAGGTTTACCACGGTAACAAAAGAAAATACGATTTTGGGCTATATTGGCTCTAAGAATAACCGTTAGATGTTAAATCTTTTCTAGAAATGATTTTGGCTGAAGCTAGCGTTGTATATTTTCACTAACATGACTTGTTCATGAAATAAGCATATTTTTGGTTAAGTCGTCACTATGAGAAACACTACGATAGTGTAATAGTCATATTGTGTCATCTAGACTGGTAACCTTATATTTACATTTTCCTAAATGCTTTTTGACAGGTTAAAAATATAATCAGTAATGGTTTCATCCAATCGTTTTTATTTTTTATTTCAATTTAAAGGGATAAAAAGCCTAAAATAATTATATACTTTCTCCTTTTAGAGCACAGTATATATCTGCGAAATTAGCAGTAATAAAACTTGGGAAATAACTTTAAATTAAAGAATGCATCTCCTTCATGCATAGCTCTGATTCATTGTCAGGGTTTGGCTATGCTCCTAAAAATGTGTCTAAGGTTTTGGAATTTGAAATATTTTGGTATCGGGGATTCTACTGAAAAGACATTATTTGTCGAAAAGTACATCTGGTGCAGTGAATAGGGTACCATTTAATAATATTAGACAGTGTCAAAATGGAATATCTAGAGGGATAATACAAGGCAAAGACAAGAATACCATTTTTGTTGGCTTTGTACTAATTAAATAATATTTGATGTGGACACTATATGGTCATTGCGATAATGTTCTTGTTTTAGGTAACAACATAGGATGACAGCGTGTACTCTCTGACTGACCATATGGAAGCAAGACAACTCTTTAAGTGATAACCTACTACAATATGGTTTAATTATCATTTGTAAAGTATCTACTTTCGGGGCAATTGATGAACCAGCTTAGTAGGTGGTCTCCAAGTAACAAATTTCTTATAAAAAATGTCAAAACCAAGAGTTTCCGCGAAGATACAATGTTCCCTCAATCCACGAAAATTGGTACTCGATAAAATAATTAAATCGACAGTACTACTAAAGAGCATTGTTTAGAGTATGTCTTCTTCTAAACTTCAACAACTGTAAAATATAAATTGAATGAAGTAACAGTCCTTTTTGTTGAGGATTTGTACTAACTTGCATAAAATAAATCGATGATATCTTGGTATGAATCAACAGCGCTAAATGAGGACAGTTTACAAAGAAACAACACTTAAAAAAACTTCTTCTATGAAATAGGACTTGGCATTACATGTGTTAAGTCCCCTACTCACGAAGCTGAAGGGGACTATAGGTTTGCACTCCCGTCCTCTTTCAATCTGTTTTCACAAAATTTTCCACTTTTTTTCTATGATGGTGAAATCCATTACCCCGGTAATTAGATATTTGGTATGATAGTCATTAAATGGAGAGTTAAAGATAAAGGTCTTGTTGAGATATTTCTGTCCTTGGAAATTCTAGAAAAGACCTATCATAAGAAGTTACAGATCTAAGTATGAGTTTGATTGAGCAATTTTTGCAGAAGCTGTTATCATTGGGCATAGAAATATCTTGACAATAACTGTTTTCCACACTTTTCTTTTGTCTGAATCAATTGGTTAGATATTTCTAGAATAGTCATATAATAAGAATTTACAGACCAAGTTTGATGTTGTTCTTGTTGAATGATTTTTGTGCATATTGTGGCCCTAGGACATAAAAAATTGCTTTAAAATGTAAGCTTTTAGAGAAACAAGAGTGCACACTCTAAAATGTCTCGCCTGCTTTACTGATTACGATTGATTTAATGTTAAAAGTCTTCAGATAAATGTTTTAGTTCAAGTATAATGTAAATGAGGTCAAGGTAAGTGTATACCCTATCAAACCCACATCAATCATTTCATACACCAAATATAGTTGACCAACTGATTATAGAATCAAAGAAACAGACTCAACCACAAAAACTTAAAACATAGACCAATGAACCATGAGCATGAGGTTAAGGTCAGATGATACCTGCCAGATGAATATGTACACCTTACGATAATTCCATTTACCAAATATAGCTGACCTACCTATTTCTTAAAGTATCATAGATCAGGCTTTAACCAGAAACACATTGACCAATGAACCATGCAAATGAGATCAATGTCAGATGAACACAGCTATACAGATATGTACACCTTACAATCATTCCATACATCAATTATAGTTGACCTATTGCTGATAGTATCTGAGAAAAAGTCTTAACATTGACCAATGAACCATGAAGGTCAGATGAAACCTGCCAGACACACATGAACATCTTCCAATAATTCCATATACCAAATATAGTTCGAATCATGTACCTTAAAACTTGATCACTGATCCATGAAATGAGGTCAAGGTAGGATGAACAATGTCTGATTGACATGTAGACTTTTCAAGGATCCTATATACTAAATATTAGTATCCTATTACCTTACACATGATTAGTGAGCAACTCACATGACAAAAAAATTATACTGTTTTTTTAAGCAGTTGAAAATGAGGTCAATTGAAATATGTTAGCCCAAAACTTCATAACATAAGGCATCTACATACAAGGTATAAATATTTTGTATTTACATTGTATCATAGATCAAATTTATTTGTTCAGTGTATGTTCACAGTTGTTAATATGTCTTTTGATTGAGTTAAGCCATTTCAATTATATTTTATAGTGTGTCTATCTATGTTGTGATGTTACACTATTGTTTCAGATAAGGGTGAAGGTTTGGTACCATTAAAACGTTTAAACCCGCTGCAATTGTTTGCACCTGTCCTAAGTCAGGAATCTGATGTTCAGTAGTTGTCGTTTGTTGATGTGGTTCATAAGTGTTTCTCGTTTTTTATATAGATTAGACCGTTGGTTTTCCTGTTTGAATGGTTTTACACTAGTCATTTTTGGGGCCCTTTATAGCTTGCTGTTCGGTGTTAGCTAAGGCTCCGTGTTGAAGACCATAATTTGACCTATAATGGTTTACTTTTATAAATTTTGACTTGGATGGAGAGTTGTCTCGTTGGCACTCATACCACATCTTCTTATATCTATATAAAGCATCCAGGTCTTCTACCTTCTGAAATATAAGGCTTATACAAATAGTTTACTGAATACACCACTGCCGCCAGAATAGAATACAAATGTCTCGCATTCTGCAACTTTAATCTCAGATAAAGAAATAAAAACCTTGATGCTTCAGGGGTTGGCTTTTGATCTTCAAGATAATAAAACATCAGTAACAACTTATTGCTTGTCCCATAAACTCACTTAATGTTATAGCTTATATGGGACATATGTGATACCCTCAAAATGCTTGTTAAACTTTGGCATACATGTTTTAAATAAATACATTGGCTGTTCATTTCATTTTTATTTTACATTTATTTACTTTTGGTTTCTAGCTTTAATTTTTTTTTTGGTTTCATATAAAATGAATTTATTACTTTGCATTTATATATTTATATATCTTCATGCAAACTATGAGAAGTTCATTTATTTCAAGGGTATATAAATTTTGAAACAATAAAAAAAAGGACAAAACTGGCATCAATTTCCTGTAACTTTTTAGTTTTCAAATCAATATTTTAACCTGATTCCCATATGTGTCATGTTAATAAAGCATTGTTCATTTGCTTGCATGTCATGTTGATATATATATATATATATATATATATATATATGGTAATATTTCAGTTGATCTTGGTAATATTAATATAAAACAAAAATATCTTCAAACATTATTAGAAAAATCAAGTAAAAATGTATATAAGAATCAAATAATTAGTTTATTAGACTTTTGCTGAAAAAGGTATAAATCTACTGCATTCTACATGTATGGTTTAGGTAAGATCACTTTTTAAATGTATTTTTCAGTAAATGACTAAATATATCAAAGAGGATATTGTGTGTATATAGATTCTTACATTGATACCAGTGGATTATGGGATTTATCCAATCGAGATAGTTAAATTATCAATTTTAAAGTCCGAGCCTTGGCGAGAACTTTCAAATTTATAATTTAACTATCGAGATTGGATAAATCCGATAATCCACGAGTAACTATGTAAGAATCTGTTTCTCTAATGATTAAAAAATAAATTTTCTTTTTTTGTTAAACGAAAATCCCCTTCGAGAATTTCATTAACACCTGTTAGCATATTTTGATTCATCCAGTTAGCTAAAAAGGTTATGACCCTTAAAATCATCCAATGATCTTTTGAGATCACCGGCAACCACACGTTGATTAAATTTTTTTATACAATGGGTTCGGAAAGGGATAAATTTCCATAGAATTAGAGAAATATTTTTCTAAAACCAAAACATAATAAATTCTATGTCATTTAATATTACAATTCACTGTTTCATAATAGAAGTATGCATACATATACATCAACTATTTGCACTATTCTTATCTTTCAAAACTTCAGCATAAAAATGTATCAACAGTCAAGACACACAATATATATCAGAACCTAATGCTAATAGGAACATCAAATAGTGTCATCAAGAGTACACTCCCTTTGTTATACTGTCTTTCATTTTCTTTAACATATTAGGCAACATCTTTATATGGTTGTCAGCACAGTCCACTACACATTTTTCCATGCCAGCTTTAGCTTTAGATATATCTGCATCTGTTGAAGATGGTCCCATTTGATCTTTAGCTTTATCTTGACAATCTAATGCACCCCTCTGTAATCTGTCCTGTAATGTGAATAGATAAGATTGGTTGATTTTTGGTGGTTAACCCAATTTTTAACACAACGGCTATTTTGTGGCAGTCACTTTTTATAGGTGGAGGAAGCCGATGTTCCTGAGAGAACCACAGACTTTCATAAAAAAAATGACAATCCTACTCAATTAAGATTGGAGTTGGACGAACCTGCCACTTGCGGGGTTCAAATTCACAACTTCAGCGTTGACAGGATAGTGATACAGTAGTTAAACTACTTAGACCACTTGGCCATCTAAGCTCCCTAAATATATAAGGCAATCTTTTAGGCAATACATACTGTAATTATCTCCCTTGCTACAGATACAAATGTAGGACAAAAAAATCCTTTTCTTTCTTAACACATGTTTTACAAAAGCATTTAGTCTTGTAGTGTTAGGCTAAGTGATACTGATATTGGTTCATTCAGTTATTTTGCAATGATAATTTTTTTATTTCTGTTAGGTGGGAGGATATATTCCTGTTTTTTGAAATGGAAATCTTATAATCATTTTTAAGAAAATGGGATATTTCATATAATTTCCATAATATATATATGATGTGAAAACCTAAGGGATATACATGTGAACACCTCTAACAATGCTGAGTGTGTGTATACCTTTAAATTAAAATGTATCAGAACATTATTTCTAAAACCAAAGAATTTCAGTCATTACATAGTTTTTAAAGGTTTCATATGTTTATTTCACTATACACAGTACATGTATTTGAAACTATCACATTTCATTTTGTATAAGATTACTGTAAATTCAGAAATTATTGCATGCATTTATTATTGTGATTTTGTCATTTTGGACTAAAATGCGATTTTAATTTTTGCGATATTGAGAAAAATCATGTTTAATTCATATAAAAAATTTCAAAATGCGAATTTAAATTATTGCGATTATAACCCTGTCGCATTTTTCGCAATAGTTTCTGAATTTACAGTACATCCTTTAGTTAATGGTTTTCATGCACAATAATTGAAACAATCCAATTTCATTTTGCATACAGTTCTGACATTGTATGGAAGGTTCACATGTACATGTATAATACCTGGAACTGCTGCATTTCATTTTGTATGTAGGTCTGACATTTGGTCAATGGTTCTGCACATCTTTCTATACATCTCTGTACTTCTTCAACAGATCCAGATGTATTCTCACAACATTTGGCACCACATTTAAACATGTCACCCTGCAAAAAATATTATTAAATAATGTAGCCAAACAATTTTTCATACATGGTCCTGGAAACTTATTAGCTGGTTTCAAACATATATCACTTATTACATTCACAATAGTATTTTCCAATTGCAACCTTAGTTGAAACAGCTTTCTTTTAAATCTTTTTGTAATCAGAAATATCATTGAATATTGAAAATACAAATCAATTATGAGACTAGACATACATGGAATGAAGCCCCTGCTGTTGTAAAGGTAAGTTATTTAACTAAAAAACATAATAGAGCAAGAGGCTCGCCCGGTCAAAAAGTGCCAGTCTGCTAATGATGACTTTAATTGCACATACATGTACTAGTCTTTTTATGTGCTGCTGATCATTTGCAATTTACACTAAGTCTTTTAACCTACTTCTATATTCTTTTTACAGTTAACAACTAAAACTGCAAACAAAAGTGAAAATTTGACATTTCAGAGACAACAACTCCAAAACAGGTTGTCAGATTTTGTGAAGTTTTTCAGAGTAGATAGTTCTTATCATGCTGATTTTTTTTCAATCACTTTTAACCTAGCTCCTATTGTTTTCAAGGTCTAAACAGCAAAAACTGCAAATTTGAATAAACGGATATTTGAGGGAATATAACTCCAAAACAGCATGAACAGGTTAACAGATTTGCCTGATTTTTTTGGAATAGATAGAACTTGACATGTTGATCATTTTTGCAGTTTATACTTTTAACCCAGCTCCTATCATGCCTATAGTTGATGTAGCCAAGAACTGCCAAAAAAGTTAAAATCAATATTTCAGGGTGCAATAACTCCAAAACAGGTGAGAAGACGAAATAATTTATGGCTGACCTACTTGGGACTTTTATACACTATTTAGTAGATAATTTAATGATTATTTTCGACATAACTAGTTTCAGTATGATAGACAACAGCTCAATCGACATATGGAACTTCGCAACCAAGTGTCATTTCTCAAAAATATGAGTTGGGTACATTGTGGTTAATATATAAGTACATTGTATAAAGGTAATTTTTGTTCAATGACAAATGCCTGTTCTACATTGTACATGTACATGATGTATTGCAGTTCACTCAAAATTCAGACCAAATTCATGAACTGCTATTTATTTCATCAAATCAAACTGGAAAGAATTTTTAGCAAAATGCTGAAAAGAAACACAGTTATGTCTTCAAAGTGCAAAGTGATAAAATTATCTTGTATAGTGTTGATTTTAGGACACATTTCCGGACATTCAAAAATAATGTTTCTATGTTTAATCAGCTCACCGTCAAATTATAGGTGTTCTCTTTCCCGTCAAGTAAAGGACATAATTAGTATCTTCGACCTACACATAAAGATACATACAGATAGGGTGTACGCGTTTCGGACTATGGAATGTATAGGTTGTCGGACTAAAGGGATAAGGCATGAAAAAGCAGATTCGGAAAGCAACTTGTAACGGTAGAAAAATGTTCTGTAATTTGCGCACCTGCATTTTTCGCAAGACTGTCCTGTCAAGCTCTTCGTACATCGAAGTAGCGGCATTTTGAACACGTGCTTGTGCGGATTCCATTTTTCGACCTTCAAAACATTCGAAAGCATTTATCAACTTGTTTCATCATTATTAAATTGTACAGGTAAAACACTTAACTGATTCTGACTAATTACAAAAAAAACAAGCAAAATAGTACCAAAGGAGGAAAACACATGAAATAATTCCGTATTGACAATGAAAAAGTAAAATCACAAAAATACCGAACTCCGAGGAAAATTCAATCGGAAAGTCCCTAATCACATGGCAAAATCAAATGACAAAACACATCAAATGAATGGACAACAACTGTCATATTCCTGACTTGATACAGGCATTTTCAAATGTAGAAAATGGTGGATTGAACCTGGTTTTATAGCGCTAATATATATATAATATTTTGAAACATTTAAAAAAGAGAAAAGAATAAATTACTTAATTAGATGAAACTGAGACTACTATAACACAGAGATTGGTCACTTCCCGTACTGACCAGTCAAATAGTAATTAATTGTAAGTCTTCGATCACGTGACTCGGCACGTGACTCGCAATGATTGACAAGAAGGATTCGACCGCCATTTTTGACAGCGAAAGAGAAAATAATAATTAACAAATGTGGATTTATAAAGAGTGTTATGTTCCGGTAAGTGTGAATATAAGATTTGACATGTTCATAAATGTTGGTTTATAAGCACTTTAAATAAAATAAGTGCAGTTATAGACTTGAATTTACCGACCAAACCGGAAAGTAAGGGGACGACCATTTGATATTCTGGGGGGGGCCAGGAGGATTTGTTTTGGATCGGTTATTTATTTTTGTAAACTAAGAGGACAGATTATCTATTTTCTGCACTATTGAAGCAAGATTTTTCATTTTCATTAAAGCAAGGGACTGATTATTTATTTTCACAACTATATTTATAATATTCGAAAACATACAATTTTTAAATTGTTTATTATAAATAATTCATGTATAGTCAAGTCATTATGTACCATTTAATCAGAATTAATTATTATCCTCTGCAGAAATGAATTTTCTATATCCCCCAATGCATATACATGTATTGCATACATACACAGTATTAAAGTTTGGTTGTAACTAAGGCTCTTTTAAAAGTATTGGCAAACATGTTTCGCCGAGCGGAGCGAGGCAAAATTTTTTTGAAGGGTTTTTGAACCGCTGAAGGCCCAAGAAGCTATAGAACAAATGATGCAAAATCATGCCTTCTGGGTGTTCCACAGACCCTTTCTTAAACTGAAAATGCAAGTTCTGTTTTAATAATCTTATGACAATATGTTGGTCTCAAAGCAAAATCACGTTATAGATTCAGTGTAAGACTTAAGTTTCTAGGAACAACATCAAAAGACGAATATGCATGATGAAGCAAAAATGTAATTCACATAGTAAAGTCTGTGGCTGCTGTGTTTTTTTAAACTCATGATCAAGTTAATAATAAAATTACTAAATTACAAAATGAATGCAACACTAACAGAATACAGAAGGGCAATCAATGAACAAAAGACAAATAAATAAGAAACATTGATCCCGAAAAATCAGGGGCTATGTCTGAGGGAGAACAGAACTTGCTTCTTGCAAGGCACTCACGGTGAACACAATTTGATATGGAGACAAGCGTTTGGTTTTGAAATTTCCTACATGAGGCATTTGTCTCAATGTAGTTACGGCCTTGATTTAATAAAAGTGAGGTAAGTGTTCCTGAGACAATTAACCTCAAGTTAAATGAAACCAATTTTCTGACATTTCAAGTATATCTAAATAATATTTATACTTTTATTATTAAAAGATATGGGAAGTGTTTCCCGATTTTTTTTTTGGAAAAAAGATGAATTTATGAAAAATCTGGTGCCATCTCATACTTTCGATTAGACCTGCTGAGTTATTTATTTTCAATACATTGCAAGTCAGGTAATTTATTTTCAAACTACCACAGAACAAACCATTTATTTTTGTGATTATCAAGGCTGAGTTATTTATTTTCAAAATCCTCCTGGCCCCCCCCAGAATATCAAATGGTCGTCCCCTAACCTCGAGTTATTACCAGTCCGTGGGACAGGGTCAATGAGCAACTCACCCATAACTTACATTCAGATGAACAATCTGTTTTCCGGATAATGTATGTGCAAGCCTTAGTAATTAACCGATGTAATGATGTAAAATTTGTAATTATATGAAATTCCAATTTTTCTGTATCAGTAAGTTCCCGCTGCAGAACTGAGAAACACACGAGACAAGTTGCACACACACATGAGGTCTGATAGGTGAATTTGTATTGTTAGTGAAAGAAATTTAGATTTATATTTGGTTCCCTTGATAATATATATGCAGTCTATACATGCTAGTATAATAATATTATGCAATGAAAATGTGTCACCATGTGAAATACCAGTACATCATGAGTTCCTAAATAGACGTATTTTTTTTTAAATAATTGACCCAAACATGATGTAAAAAGTACATGCACCTTTGGTCTGCATCCTTTATCAGTTTAACTATTTTGATCCATATTGACATGATTGGTCAATTACTGCTGAGTCTCAAGTCTCAGATTACTGTCTTAAAACTTAATGAATTGCCTATGCTATAAACTTGACAAAGATTATTTCTTTTTATTTATAATATATTCTTTATTGTAGGAATACCCCAGAAAGAAATCACGCATTAGAAGAAGGGAGAAGTACTACAGGAGAAAATGACTTTTTTAGTATTTTTTTTAATTTCATTGAATTTGTCATGCTTGTCTTACTTGGAGAAATAAATATTTAAGTCTTTGAATATACATTTTTATTATTATATACATTAAAACTAAGACAGGAATGCAGAAATTCACTAACACGCTCAGTTTGGATAACAGTTCAATGAAAGAAAAAAAAACAAGTAACCACACATCTTTATATATTAAAGGAATAGCCACTTGAAGCAAACTTTAAGGAAGATTTTTTATATATTTTTGCTAATGATCATCAGACAACTCCTTTAGTCCAAATGAAGTTCAATGAAGTGGATGTAAGTTATTGGAATGCACCGTAATTACCTTCAACAATGAGAAAACCTATACCGTGCAGTCAGCTTCAAAAGTCCCCGACATGGAAAATATATAACAATTCACTAGAGAAAACGAAGTGTCTACAATAACAAAGCAATTTACGAAAATTCAAATATGACGGACATGAACCAACAGCAACCACTAAATTGCAGGCTCCTGACTTGAGAGGGGCACATAAAGAATGTGACAATGTTAAATATTTTTAGGCGCTCATCACCACCACTAGCATGGGACATTGGTGTAACGACATAACATAAAAACAAACTTTAAACATAAATTGAAAATAGTTCATTTCGGTTTAATCAGGCTGACTGTACATGAAATATTTGCCATTGACAAGCAGTTGTGAATCGAAGTTGATTTTACAAAAAGGTGACATCAATATATGCTATCATATTTAACATTCTTGTTTAGATCTGACATTGCTACGTATTTATACATTCCGCATTATTTTTGGCTTCTCAGAATTTTCACATGGTAATCTGTCAGCAGTTACCCAACAAAAAAATGTTATAGGGAACCTATTTACAAAGCATCATGCCGACAACAATTAACATGGTTTGTCACCAAACATTGAACAAGCACATATATATTTGCTGTGGCTAAAAAAACTAAAGCAAATTTCAACTCTTTTCATCTGAGTTGCTCAATTATTAGGGTTGCAAAAAGTATAGCGATATAACTAAAACATACGACACTTTAACAATAGACAATATTCAAATTTTCAAAAACTTGAAGGCTCTGTATTGAAGCACAAAATTTCTTGTCTGGGATTTTGAAAGAGGGCACATATTTCTGGTGTTGAAAAAATGTCATCGTAATTTACACTAATGTGGTTCTATTTATGTTAACATAGACGTTGAAACGTGTTTGAAAAAAAAAATTACGTTGGATAATCTGAATGAGGGTCTGGATGGGGGTTCTTTATTTCCTATAATTTCTATGCCATTTTTCTCTATTCTTTAAATCTTAATAACTCATTATTTTCTGTTCTCTATTCTTTATTTTATTTTTAAACCCCATACACACCCTCCTGAATCCTACCACAAGTGCACCGACGATATTTGACAAGGTTTACTACAATAAACATGTATATTGGGCACTCAGCAGTGAAATACCTTACAAGTATAGAATAAAAGTTTACTGCTATAAACGGAGCCTCGTGTACCTTGGGCACCCAGCTGTGAAACAAAATTCATCTCCCATGCTTTTGAGACTACCTGTCTTTACAGGTAAAATATTTGTATATAAGATACAATTAACGGACGTGTAGCAAAACAATGTAACTGTAAGATTGATAAGATTAATCACATTCACATTTTCAAGAGTGGCCGCATAATAACAAACTATTAACAAATTATTAATGATTAAAAACAAAAATTTAAATATGAATTATAAAGATAACTGCATTTGAAAGATAAAACTATATTCTTTTTTTTTTTATTAATTAAATTTTTGTTTTTAAATTATTTTTAAAAGAAAAATGATAATATCCGATACTGTTATAGTATTCTCAGTGATAGGTGATATATGTCGTCTGCTACGGTCGAATACGAAACTACGTTAAAATAACGTAGCTAACTACCGGAGACTCAGATAATCCGATAAATCTCTAGTGACCAATCTCTGTGTTATAGTAGTCTCAGGATGAAAGCAACACAATTTATTAATAAAAAACCATAAAATAAACTTAAATAGATAAGATTACATCTGTCTCAATAATTTTGATTTTAGAAATTTAGAATGATTTAAGTGAATACACTCTTTAAAATAGAAAAAAGGCAGACATAATAAGATCGATAGAAATCATAGCTATAGATTCTGCAAGTTTTGCAATATAAATATATATATATATATATATATTAATTGGAAGAAGAACATTTCTTCTTAAATTGAAAAAAAAAATATCAAGAAAATCTAGATGGAACTAGCATCTATTCAGGAAGATATGAAAACTATAAACAAGACCATGATTTCTTACATGAGGTAAGGAGACTAACTTTTTTTAATATCACTGACCGTGATATGTGTCGCTTGTTGTTTGC